GCGGCTCCGGCGAACTGGGAAGCGCAGAAGGACTGGTTGGCGCTTGGCTGGCCCTGGCATGTTCTGTATGCACGGTAGGCCGTGCAGACCTTTTGGGAGGGCTTTGTGCCATCGTCGGCTGGGGCAGCGTATGTGGTAGGGGCAGCGAGAGCACCAGAGGCCGAGAGGGCGAAAGCGAGAGCGGTGCTGTACTTCATGGTGATAGATTGGTGTTGTTGTTGTGTGTGAGAGTGTTGATTGTAAAGCTGTTGTGATGCTTGTGGAGTGATGAGTGTGATGATTCAGTTTGAAGCGTGGGAGAAGACGTCTTTTATGTGATATTGATCACAGCTCCCAAGTAACCTCTCGTCTCTGAGGTCGACTCTACCATTGAACTCACTCACTAGTCAGTGTCTTGGGACGTCATGCTATTCGTATCCCGCCATTCCATTCGTATCCGCAAAGTGTAACTCTGAAGAGTTCTGCAGAGCTAGATGCGGCATTTCGGCTCTGGTGTCGCTCGCTTGCCGAAAAACAATGCGGGCACTGGCGGTCTATGATGCTAAAGCATCACGATGATTGTACTAGTGCTCAGTCACTGCCAAAAATATTGTTAGCTGTTCTAAACTTACCACGCTGTGAGGTGATCACATCTGGTCGTGGCAAAGCTCAATTGGGAAACACGGACGCCACCGTAGATCTAGCCTCCGTACCTCGTGTAGAGCTCTTAGAATGCAACCTTACGGTGTACAACTGCGTCATGCAGGTCGCGACGCGGAAAAGTCAGCATCGTAAACTCGATGCATCACACTGCTGCGACTGTTGACTTCGTCAATCACATCTTCGAGACACACAAACAGCAATAATGTCGTACACTCCGCTGATGAAGAACGAAGAGTGGCCCTCGCAGGACGACTATAGCGATGACAGCCAAACACCGCTCAACCGACAAAACCAGCGACCGCTTCGAAAAGATGGCTGGAGGGTTGTTTTCGCCGTGGTCCTTGCAGCAATAGTCAGCCTGACTGCTGGTGTTGCAATTGGAATGGCTCTGGGTACGCGAGGAAACGAGCTGTTGTTTTCGCAAACCATGGCTCCGTCGCCTGTTTCTCGAGATTTGGACATTGCCTTCCACGAGACGCAATTCGAAGGCCATTTCATGGACGAGAACATATATCGCCTGAAAGGGAACAACGAAACCGATGCAGCCTGGGAAGCTCTTGGGATAGATTGTAAGATCCAAGTGCCTTGTGGAAAGATAACGTTTGGCGACTAACCATCGCTGGTAGATCGAAGCATGCAAATACCGAAAGATGTTGGCCTGTCAACCGGACTGCGACCTGGCCATGTCCAGATCAACGACAAGTATGGTGGAGGATTTCCAGCGCACCTCGAAGGACTGCATCACCTGCATTGCTTGAATCTCGTACGCCAGGCTCTGTACTACAACATCGATTACTACCGGGCCAAGGGTACGGGAGCCTTCGTGAACGATGAGATGGTCGTGCAAAAGCATGTCTGTGAGTAGCTTTCTTCTCGGGTGACAAATATGCGATTGAAATTGACATCCAAAACAGCACATTGTCTAGACATCGTTCGACAGCAGCTCATGTGCCAGGTGGACGTTGGAGTATTGGGACAAGTGTGGTGGCAACCGAAAGATACGCCTGTACCGGAACCATTTGTGGACTTTAACACAAAGCACGTTTGCAGGAATTTCGAGGCTGTGCGGCAATGGGCAGAGGAGCGCCAGATGCCGATAGAGACACCAGACGATTTCCTGGCACCACCAGAGCCTGGGTCGGTACTTGATCACATGCCATGATCAATAATGAGCTCATGAAATAGCTTGATTTGTAGCGTTCAAGCGGCACCGCCCTCGTTGCGGCATCTCGATTTTGACACCCATTTCCGAGAGGCCAATTGCTGGTGTCAGCCCAGACACTTCCGATGAGGATGACTTCTGGTTAGACGTTCATGTTGCCCATGGGAAAGATGCGGTGTCTCGGAGACACTGCATTCGGGACACTTCTTGCAGCGCCTTGACTTCAGCTTTATGTCAAGGCCACCGACGACACTGTTCTCACGACTCATACCATGCCTCTTTCCGGTGGCAATAATGCATCGCAAGAGCTCCATACGGTCGATGCTCTTCGGCGGAATAGGGTGTCACGGATGAGCAGGAACCTGGGACAGAGCGATTCTGCTCTTGGATGAGCTGAAAATGTGGCTGCGCCTTCGTACGCGTACGCATCCTGACGCTTGAAGGACAAGAGGTCGACTTGGCTGGCAATATCCATCACGGGTTGCTGCTTGGCCCACACTGCTTGGATCTCGGCCATCATGGTACTGTGAATGGCTTGTCTTGGAATCTCGTGTCGTCGGTCCTCTCTCCGAAGGGCTTCATCAAGTTCAGTTCGAGAACTTCTGCAACTGAGACCTTCCATAAAACCATTGGCAGCATCGCAGTCGACTCGGATCCTCCACCGCCTCATGTCCAACTCATCAAACCTGTCGTTTCATCCTGAGTCCTCAATCGCCCATAATGCGCAGTCAGCATCGAGGACAAACCGGCAAACATACGGTGTCAGCATCTTGAAACAGGCAACAGCATACCAGCACAACGGCTGAAAAGGCAGGAACGTTCTCGCCATGCAAGTCCGAATTCTGGCTCTTTCTGCTTTCTCGTCCGAGCCTGCCGCTGCAACGTATTAGTCCGAGACATAGTCAATGGGATCTCGTCGGCTTACAGTGCAAATGCTTAGTCCGTACTAATACAGGGGGCTTCCGATGATATGGCGCGTGGCATGGACATGGATGGTGAACCTTATCCAGATGCTTGGCGCGAGTCTGACACTGTATAGCAATCTTGTAGGAGGCACTAGGAAGGTTACTGGGAGGTGAAATACGAGGAATGCTGGCCGAGGAGATCGAACTAGGAGGTGCTGAGCGGCTGGCCGAGCTAGGGGAAGTTTTTAGAGTTTGGGGTACAAGAGAGGGGGCACTTTTCTGGACTTGTCCGGATGTGAACTGTAGACCAGAAACGAATCTCGAAGACCAGCATCCCACGGAACCGAATTTCATTGATCAGATTACTCATCATCATGCGTGTCGCTACCATCATCCTTTCTTGCGCCAGCTTGGCTCTGGCCGGCAATGTTTTCGCTCGTGATGACACAGTACGTATCGAATTCCAGACACTGAGGCCGGCCCAATTCTTCGAGTACTAATCGTTCCAAAGTGCACATCCGACGACGCTTGCGAGAGCGTCTGCAGAGGTAACTCTCAGGTGTCCGGAACGCTAGACGGCAAGTCTATCACACCCAACGAAGCCGTTCAGGCCGAAGCCAGGAGGAGATACCAAGATTACCACTGCGTGAGCAGCAAATGCCAATGCGCCGTAAGTACAGTCAAGCTAATCAGAACACCGCTTGCTGTTGTTCACGTTACTGATATGATGGTATTATAGATCACCAGTGACGATCAGGCCCAGCGTTTCTGCGAGTACTGGATTGAGAACGCGAAGGACGAGTTCAATGGAGCCAGATACGAGAATGGTGGCCTTGACCAGGATAACAACAGCATCTACTGCGTGTACGTTACTGTTGTCGGCGGCTCCTCGTAGAGAGAGATGTCGCTTGAATCATGGTCCTGATGTACTTCGATATGTATATTTTTGCAGGAAATTGGACCCAGTATGTCCGTCAGCATGAAGATCCTTCGCTCTTTGGTCGCTTGATTGATCGTGGTTTCCCAGCAACTCTCGAGAGAATGTGGTCCCATGACTGGTCAAAGGGCAGCGTGGGTGACGATGATTCGTGATGCGTCTATCCATCATGTCATGGAGGAGTCGCTCTCGAAAATCGAGAGATCTCGATGAAACCCTCACAGCCAGTCGACCAACAAAATCAGACCCAGATCAAAAGCGTCCTTCCATGTCACCGGTCCATTTTCACGTCGCAACCAAGCATCCCTCTTAGGTCTGTAAACTCCATTGCTGTCTTTGCTGAGTCTCTCCTGCCTCGCAGGTACACTTGGCGGAAAAGCCATATATCGAACGGGGACAAGTGCTCCGAGAACAAATTCGAACAGTCGCAATGTAAGGCCAGTGTGAATGTAGCCTGTACTCGAAGACTTAGTGTCCCGAGTCAGCGACACGATGGTGATCCACGCCGCCAGAGATGCAAGGGCCGCTGTTCCATAGGCTATGTGCATGAGAATTACCGGATCGAGCATCCGTCTCCAGAACGGCAATCGATCCTTCTCCGACCTCTCATTCAGAGGATCTTGGAAACTGCCGGTCACCACGAATTCTGCTTTCTTGACGTCCGTTTTGAACGATTGAATGACGGAGTTGATCTGGTAAGGGATGATCCAGTGTTTGTACCTTTCCATATTCCACCAGTTGCCCGTGCCGATCCTGGCGAACATCAAATGCTGCCAGACTCTATTGGCCAGGAAGAAGAGGAGGTAGGCCATGCGGATCCGCCTACGATCAACTGTGGTCGATAGTGTACTGCCCACGGCAGGCAAGAGGAGGCTGCCGAAAAGAGGGATGAGCAATAGCAAGCAGACGTAGTTCTTGAACGAATGCACGATCCAATGTATTCGCTGCTTCCATGCCATGCTGGTTGTGTTGAGGAAGGGTAAGAAATAATTGAATTTCTTTGCGAGCAATAGTTCGCCTGTAGACTGAATGTGATACTTCAGCGATGTTCTGGTCAAATGTCTCGCTGACTTACCCAACGCATTCGCTGTGCGATCAGCGTATGAAACGATTCAGGAGCTAGTCCAGCTTGGATCTGGTCGGGTATGAAGGCACTTGACCAGCCCTGCGCTAAGAGACGTGTTGAACAGATGAGGTCTTCTCCCACGTTGCAAAGAGGCCAGCCACCAATGGAGTCCAAAGCGGCGCGTCGGAGGATGTACCCTGAGCCATTACACTGACTGCAGTTCCTCCGACCTCTCAATGGCTCAAGGATGTTTTGGAAGCATCCGTGGTCTTGCCCGAGTATGTCGTCTTCCGGCATGTTGTACGAGAACTGTGGCGGGCTGACGAGAGCAAGGTCAGGAGCGACTATCAAATGAGGAACCGTGAGTTGCAGCCAGTCAGACTGAGGAATCTGATCAGCGTCGAGGCCAGCAATGAATTCAGAGCTACCATATCTGGCGCGGGAAAGTTGTATGCCGTGATGCAGATTTCCAGATTTGTAGTAATGCGGTACTCCGGGTTCCTTATGTCTGGCTTCGTACACGACAGGGAGGTACCCTCTCTGCACATGCTCCACGTTGAAAGATTCCACTGCGGCTCTGAGTGACGATCTGTTCGCATCGTCAAGAACGAAGACACGGAAGGAAGTCTTTGGATAGTCTTGCACAGCGGCACCTGCCACTGTGTCCATAATCACCTCTTCATCTTCACCGCAGACCCTGCGACTGTCAATGACTGCAAGATCTTGTAAGGTCGTCGACTTACGTCAGGAATATGTGAACGATTGGCGCTGGACCGGCGAGTAGCCTGCGCATGGGCGGATCCTTTCGTCCATAGGGCGGTAAGAGCGTAAGAGAAAGCTCGAAGTACTGGATAAAATCGATCGGAGCTGGGATGAATTCACACGCTAGAAAGAGCCAAAGGATCCAACTGCTGAGAGGTGACCCATTTTGAGGCTGAATACATCCTTTGACGCGGCAGTAAATGTACCAGAGCAAGGAAAGACCCAAAGCGTGATGAATCAGTCTGCCGGTTGGTGTGTCAATTGCCATTCGCCGCACTACTCGTGGTGTCTCTTCGATCTTGTATCCTAATGATTCTTGCTTCTCCGAGGGAAAGACTTTGCCGTTGTTGGCTACATAGGCCTCTTCTGACCGCATCGCTAAGTTGGGTCGTCGTCTAAGCCCACTGCTGGATGCCATGATCGCGAGATGGAGCTGAGAGCAGCCGTGAGGCTTGGACGTAGGAGCAAATGAGCAGAAACAATTGACAGTATGATCCAGTGTGCTTGCCCTTTGATCCGGGGTTCCAGGTGCAACACATGGCTATTGTATGTGCGGAAGCTCGATCGAGCACCCTTGTTACCCCTCGATGGAGCTAAGTCGTGCTTACCTTCACGTCTCGCAGGTGTGAGGCTCATGGTATGGGATCGAACCCGCGCGAAAGCTTGGAGACATGCTGGGCCAGGCTGATACAATTTCTTGCCCCCGAGGACAGGTTATCGGGACCGGTTTCGAAAGCAACTGTTTGAGTTCTGATCGAGTACGGCAGTTGAATACCGACATACTCATTGCATCTCCTTAGATTGTCCACGCAATGGATGTATCGAATGCCATATCAACGCAGAATGACAACACCCGGATCGCGCGGATATCGACCAGGGCCAAACCTGCTGCCGCGAGAGCGTTGCCTGTTTGATTACCTCGAGAATTGAAGTATTGCTCATCGCCGATAAAGATGATCGCTCGGAGATACGCCAAAAAGGCAGTCCTGTGGCTGCTCACTTCAGTGAGCCTGCAATACAGGCTGCAGCTTCAAAAGTCAATGGCTATTCGCAGCCTCATGTGCCACAATTGTCACGCTGCGATTGTTCGACTGGCTTGAATTCCATCAAGATTACTGATTGTGCATGGGACCTTGCAATTTCGTAGTGGCTGAGCAGGGCTGGGCGAGCAGGTAAGCTTGCTCTTTTAGGGCTTGCTGTCACGTCCCATGTTGTGATACCGTGAAGCCCAATCACACCGCTTGAGCGTGGATGTATCTTGCTCATATACCTGGTGAGACATCACCTTGTGTTTGCCATTGGAGGGAAGTGCAGCTGAATTTGAAACCGACAGGCTGCACGGCACGCTCAACAGTGGTCGATTTCGTCTACTTTTGCGAGAAAGTTCGCGACCACATTTCGGACCGCATCAGTCTCCTAGGGCACGAGCTCACAGTCGCGTGTGCTGATGCACATGCATCTGCAAATCGGTCGGGTGTTGAATTCGAGCTCTGACTCTACTGACATGGCGCATGAGCGACGAGAGGACATCATGCGCCAAAGCCATGCTTTGTGCAACCAATAATCTGTTGGACACTCTTCTTGACTTGAAGCAGTCGAATGTTGTGCGTTGTCGGCCCGGATGCGAGGAGAGCTGTGCGGTGCCTGGCTCGTTAACGGATGGCTACGGTTTAGTTCGTCTCGTTGGACTTCCGCATCACTTCGCGATGACACGCTGATCAGGCAGCGAAGAGCTTCAGCAGCACGCCCAGCGAAGTTTTGCCCACTTTAGCACGCCGTGCGCTTGAGATCCTGCAAGCCACCATCTGCTCGGCCTTGTCTTACAAAGTTACTACCCAGCACATGCAACTCTTTACGTGTCTCTGGCATGGCAGAGATTGATGAGGTTCGCACTATTGTCGATGCGCCGGAGAAATGGAGCACTGGGACTGACATTCGGGATGGTGCTTGACGGCATGGTGGGAGTAGGACGAACTGAGTCGTTGAAGAGTTGTTCGGAGAGACCAGTATACGGTCTGGCCGTCATCTTCTCTCTCCCTCTAGAAGATCGGTGTCCGCACGGCGGTATGGCATCCGCAACGCGGTAGATCGCGATTCATCCCCAGGGAGGTCGTCGACGGGCATGTTGAGCGGGCTCTTCAACAACAGTAGTCGATGTCATTACGGTTGTAGAATTGCGATGGCACGCGACTGTCCACGAAAGTGGCTTCCTGATTCTTGTGGCCTGAGGCCACACCGGGGCAGTCACGAAACTCACGCGCCGGCGCCTTCCTACTTCCGTGCGACAGCGACAGACCGCACTATCGAACTCTCTTCTCTTTCCTCCAACTTGACCGTCTCATACTATTCCTCACTGATGCTGAGACTCGACAAGAGTGATCAAGAGAATTGGGGGTCAGGATCATGAAAAGCATCGGCAGAGTCCCGACCGAGGAAGAGGCCACAGTAGTCTTGGGAATACTCTTAGCCGCAGCTTGCTGCCGATGCATGGTCCCGAAGAGCTCCGTCCGCTTCTTGAAGAAGACGAAGCTCGCCCATAATCAGGTCAAGTGAGTCAAGTGTTCTTCAGCAGCGTCGCTCTCCTCTACAAACACACAAGCCAGCGAGAAAAGAAGCCAAATGGAAGGTCCAGGATATCTCGCAGTCGCAATCCAGCCAGGAAAGGATACGGACGAAAAGGCTTTCCATGAGTGGTACAACACAGAACATGGTCCTTTACGCCTCCGATTACCTTTCATTGATACTGGAGACCGCTATTCTGCTGCCGATGGACAAAATCCGCAATGGTCGGCCGTATACGACGTTTCAGATTTGAAATGGATCCACGAGCGGATTTACAGCCGTCTACGAGAAGAGCGATCGAAACGTGAAAAGGCTGTGATGAGCACATTTGAATCTCTGGATCGTAAAATTTACAGTCTGGTTTCTGTTCGCGGAAACTCTCCCAAAGGCCCTGCTCCAGCGACGATGGCTGGCTCGTTGGTTGTGAGCGAATCTGACTGGGACGATGTCTGCAGATGGTATGAAGAGGAACATATCGATATCATCTCGAAAGCTCCTGGATGGATCCGAACACGGCGGTTCAAATTGGTCGTGGGTGGCATTAGGGGTATGCCTCCTTCGGGCCAAGTAGAGCATCTCGCCTTGCACGATTTCGAGCAGGTTCCCGATTTAACAGGACCCGTTTTCAAGGAGGCGAATAACACAGACTGGAGAAACCGCGTCGTAGGAAAGACTCACTGGAGAGAACTCCGCCTCTGGAGCCACCACCTAACATTCGACGCGCTGGAAGAACCTCCATCATCAGTCATAACCACCGACGGAGCAGAACTCCGGTTCCAACTCGAAGGCAACCCAGCCGACCCCGTAATCGTCTGCGTAAACTCCATAATGACAGACCTCCACATCTGGGACGACGTCTCCAAATCCCTCATCACAGGCGCCGCCTCCAAAGACGGCAAAACTTACCGTGTCCTTCGCTACAACCCCCGAGGCTACAACCAACAAGCCGAGCGAAGCAACGACACAACCTTTGACATCCTCGCCGACGACCTCGAATACCTCCTCCAACGCCTCAACATCCCCAAAATCCACGCCGTCCTCGGTGTCAGCATGGGCGGCGTAACATCCATAAACTTCGCAATCCGCCACCCCTCTATGCTCGAGAAATATGTCGCATGCGACTGTAACGTAGCATCCTCTCCAGCCAACAGTCAAGCCTGGTCCGAACGCGTCGAACTCGCTCGCGAAAAAGGAATGTCCGAACTCGCAAAAATCACTGTCTCACGCTGGTTCACTCCTGCAAACGCCGAATCAGAAAACGCAAAGAAAGTTCTCCCTATGGCTGCGAATGCAAACTTCGAAGGCTTTAGATTGAATTCTCTGGCGCTGAGCGACTTCGATTTGAAAGCAAAATTACAAGAAATCAAAGCCCCGGGTTTATTGATCGCAGGAGAAGGCGATGGAAAAATTCCAGAGGCGATGCAGAAATTTGGAATTCCAAACACGAAATTTGTACAGATTCCGAATGCTGGACATTTGCCTTTCTTGGAGAATCATGAGGCTTTTGTAGAAGCTCTGAAGGAGTTCCTGTAATCAGGTGGACACGAGGTCGTCCGCATGTTGTACAGCGAGCGTGATTTAGGCAGCAAGTGCTGCCTTGTGCTCATATCGATACACTTGTACAGCTTGTGTACAAACCTTATTGATCCTTCTCCGGGTCGAGCATGCATATATCAAGTCGCCCTCTCTCGTGCTGTCCAACTCACGCTTCAGTTCTTGTTCCTTCCTCCTCGCTTATATTGCTCTACCTGTACTGCACAGAAAATGAGCTCCATCACCCTAGAAACAATGCAATCGCCAACCCCATCTCTCCCCGGCCTACCAGCCGAAATCATCGAATTAATTCTCAAGTTTCTTCCACTCGCAGACATCTGTTCTGTCCGTCTCACGAACCGAATTCTAAGCTCGAAAACTACTCAAGAGCATTTCAAATCTTACTTCAAAACCAAACATGTCGATCTCACTGAATCTGCTCTTCAAGCCTTCATTGCTGCGACAAGCGACGCGGGACCTCTGGCTTGCTCTGTCGAAAATTTAGTCCTTGTGGGTGTCGTCAATAATACCTTATTGCTGGAAAGGGTGTTGGAAAAGAAAAGTAGAAGGGTAGTGGAGAGGATGGGCATGATGTTTACTGCTCGCGAGATGGAATGCTCGAAGGAAGAATTGGAGTCTGCGGAGAGGGATTTGGAAACTTTGAAGAGGAGAAGGAAGGAAAAGGATGAGCTTTTTGAGCGCGGGGGAGCGGCGTTGTTGCTTGGTGGAGCTTTGGGTAATCTGAGGATGAATGGAAGGAACGGGATGCTGAAGAAGTTGAATTTGGATGTTGTGGTTTATCGAGAGGATGCGGAGAAGAGGTTGTCGCCTGAGCAGGGAGGAAGTTGGAAGTTGATCTGGAAGGAGGCCGCAAGGACGTTGGAAACAACGCTCTATGCGTTGGGAGAGAGTCGGCTGCCGTTGGAGGAGTTGGATGTTTTTAGTGAGGTGCCCAGGTGTGCGGTGGCGAGGGATGATGTTTCGCGGGCGGTACCTGGTCACGATGGCGGGGAGGAAGAGATCGTGGAAGGACTGGGAGCGTCTTTTGAGAATCTCAAGGCATTCTCAATCAGCATCAGTCATCGCAATATTGTTGAGAGGGAAGAAGATATCGGGAGAGAATGGAAGATGGAGCTGATCCCATGAATACCTCCCTTCGCGCCCATGAGGAAGCAACACCTCGTGACATTGAAGTGTTGCGGGCTGAAGCGGCAGACGAGCAGAATTTCGAGGGTCTGGCGAGAATACTGCAGTTGTGTGAGAAGAGTGTCGAGAGACTGGACTTGCACCAGTATCGACTGCAGCGCGTCAGGTTGCATCAAACCGACATGTGCGATGAGAAGGTGCTGCAGCGCGTTCTGGAAGTGGCCAAGCTAGAGCGGTTAGAAGGTGCCAGGTTGAGAGGAATGTTCGTAAGAGCAGAGGATCTGCGGCAGTTCTTGGGGCAGTCGAAGGAGCTGAGGCAGGTCGTTCTGCAGGAGATGCATGTGACCGAGGGAGATTGGAAGGGCATTCTTCACGACCTCACCTCTAAGAGACGCAGCAACGGGCAGGCCGACGTGGATTGTATCCTGCTCGACGATCTGTTCGAGGGAGGAAGACTGATGTATTTTGCGGGCGAAGAGGATGATGAGCCCAAGTGTCCGACGCTGTGTCGCACGCGAGGGAAGAATGCTTTCATCCGGAGGGGCGTGGAGGATGTGCAGAGGGAGATGCAGTACCACTTCGCGACAGAGAGAATGATGGGCAGTCCACAGGCAGCTGCGTGGAGGGAGGGCCGAACGGCCGTCTACGGTCCGCCTTGAGTGCATTGCTGTTGCTCGATATTCGTACCTGCTCTATTACTGCGATTGTTCTTACCTTGACAGCGCTTCTCCATAGATGGCCCGCGGCCGTGTCTCCGAGCATCAAAAATCTATCTGCGCCCATTCGCATGAAGCTGTGTTTATCCGCGACCGTCTGTTTCAAGTATCCTGCCGAAGCCCCCCAGCAGTTTCATCGCCGTGAGACCATCTCCTGCAGCGCGCTTCCAATGCCTGCCGCTCGACCTCTACTCGGGACATGTGGACGTCGACGATGTTTGGCAGCAACTGTCAACCACCGACGCAGCTGGCACGACTGACACCGCGGTCCTGCAAGACTGAAGATTCGTGCGTCGGTTGGGGAAGGCGAACGATCGGACCCAGCGCTGTGATCGTCAGCGGCCGAGGGAAGCGCGAATGGCGTCCACGTTGTCGCAATGCTTGGTCCGTCCAGCAGCACGAAGGAGCATAGTCCTGTCGCAGCACAGCAGAAGCAACAACAGCCGGGGTTGTGCAAAGATACACCAGCTTTATGCAGTGCCGAGAGGGAGATGGCAGTGGAGCAGACACGACGAACCGACTCGCGGCCAGAGATTCGAGAACGCGAAGCATCGAAACCGCGTCACGATCAGTGGATTCCACAGCTCCCACGCCGACATCCATTCGCCAATTCGCTGTTCACCCGCGCCGCTCGAACTTCGGCCGCTTGGCGAGCCCCATCAACAACAACGCTGGGACAGCTTATCGCCCTGTGACAGTGACGAGGGCCCGCAGCATAACCACGACAGAATCAGTGCTGAGTGGCCGCGCTGTGATTCGTGTGCCTGACTTTTGCTGGGCCTTCTCTGTCCAGACATGTGAAGTCCAGGGATCTCCGCCAAACTGTTCATCTGTACCCTTTTCTCCGTTCGTGCACCAATCCTCCTCCCCAACGCGACTCTTCACTCGTTTTCTTGATATCCGCCTCATTAACCAGCTTTCCATCTACTCTTCGACATTCGCTTGCTTCTGAACACCTTTCTCACATCGCAGCCCTACGCATATGTCCCAAGAATAGCCAACTTGGCGTGCATACATTTTCACAGACAGCACAAACCTTAATCCATATCGAGCTTGCGACGTCAGAAGGACCCACTCAACAATCGAGGGCGACGGCAAACGGCTTCCCGATAAACCGACTGACGACCAAGTGCTGGAAGTCGTCGGATCCAACTGCACCTTCCAACACCAACTTCTTTCTTCTAGGAGCAGCGTTCCAGGTCACTCGTTTCCTGGTTTGCTGTTACCAATACCGCCACCATGACGACCCCAGTGGACGAGAGGCCGGAGCCGACATATGTACAACCATCATACAACATGAGCAATCCCGGTCGAAATAGTATCGAACGACAATCATTACCTTCATACAACGTCAACAACACTGCACATCGAGGAGGTCGCGCCAATAGCTCGGACGATGGGACCATGATTGGAGACCATGAGGCAAATGGGAATCAATATCAAAACGAAAAAGAGAGTCTGGACCGCAGCAATGAGCATCTTGGAGTTCACACCAGACAACGAAGTGGCAGCCATCTCACCCTGGACACCCAATACGAGCCCGGAGATCCCCTTCGGAACATTGCCTCACCCTCGCAAGCTCGAGAACAGACAACTAGACTGGATGATGATCTTACGCTTCTCAAAATCGAACGTCAAATTTCGCGTCAAGAAGAGGATGCTCTTTCCAAAGTCAAGAGCCAAGGAGGAGAGACTTATCGAAGCAAATCGCGAACGCGTGTAGAACACGTCGATGAGTTTGATGAGGCGACGAATCCAGTACATGAGAAGACCCAGGTCTACAAGCCGGTCGAACATCCGACCACGAAAGTCGGCAAGTTTTTGAAAAAAGTACATCAGTCCAACTTTTTGATCCGCTGGTTCACATACATGCTGCCAGTGACGCTGATTTTACTGATACCATTGCTGCTTGGCGCGCTGGTGTTCAAGGATGCCACCGTGGGCGGTGTATACCTGATGTGGTTCATGATCTGGCTCGAGATTGTCTGGCTCACTCTTTGGGCGGGCAGAATGCTGGCGAAGTGTCTACCCTGGCCCATCGGCATGGTATCCAGCTTGTTTACCAACAACAGCAAAAAGTGGCGAGATATGGGCAAGCAGCTCGAGCTTCCGGCAACACTATTTTTCTGGTGGCTGGCCATCGAAATCTCCTTCTTGCCGACCATGAAGAGCCACCAACGGGACCATGGCTACGACTATACGGCATCGTGGATGAACACCATGAACAAGGTTCTTGTTAGTTTCATGGTGGGAGCTATTCTCAACTTTGTGGAAAAAATCATTATTCAACTCATTGCCATCAGCTTCCACCTGAGGACGTATGCTGACCGCATCGAAATCAACAAATTTCAGATCGGCTCGCTAGTAAAGCTCTACAAGTTCTCCAAGGAAAAGATTGAGATGGATGACGCTGAATTCGAAGAACGAACGGAGCCCGCTAGTGGCGCTCGAACTCCTGGCCAGGCCTTCAATGAAGCCAAGCAAGCTGCTAAACAGGGTTTGAGCAAGTTTGGCGACGTGGCTGGCAAGGTCGCAGGCGATTTCACTGGCAAAACTGTTACCAAGAGCACGCATCCACACCAAGTCGTTCTGACACTGCTTAGCTCAACAACTGGCGCTCAAGTGCTCGCTCGTCGTCTTTACCGCACCTTCGCTCGCGAAGACATTGAGACTGTCGTAGCAGATGACCTCCGACCTGCTTTCGAGAACGATGATGAAGCTACTGCTGCCTTCACAATGTTCGACAAGGACATGAATGGCGACATCAGCATGGAAGAGCTTGAGGCTGTTTGCGTCGAAATCGGTCGCGAGCGAAAGAGCATCACTGCGTCCCTCAAGGACTTGGACAGCGTCGTGGGCAAGCTTGACGATGTCTTCATGTTCATTGTCTGCGTCATTGTCATCCTGGTCTTGATTTCCCTCATCTCGACTTCGGCTGCTGGAGTACTCACATCGGCTGGTAGCGCAGTCTTGGCACTTTCATGGCTTTTCAGCGCAACCGCTCAGGAATTTTTGCAATCCGTCATCTTCGTTTTCGTCAAGCATCCTTTCGATGTCGGCGATCGTGTTGGCATCTACGGAAACACAGGTGCTCTTCTTCGAGGAGACGACTACTTCGTCAAGGAGATCGCATTGCTGTACACCGAGTTCAAGAAAATGGAGGGACACATTGTGCAGGCACCAAACAGCTATCTCAACACCCTTTTCATCCTGAATCAGCGTCGTTCCGGAGGTCTCGCAGAAGCTGTCAGCATTACCATCAAGTTCGGAACCACTCTTGATCAGATCGATGGACTGCGAACCAAGCTCCTCGAATTCGTCAAGTCTGAGAAGCGCGAGTACCAAGGGAACATCCTGACAGAGCTGCGCGACATCGTGGAAGTACATTCGATGAACTTGAACGTCGTCTTCTTCTACAAGTCGAACTGGCAGAACGAAGGATTGCGTCTCGCTCGCCGAAACAAATTTATCTGTGCTATGATGGTTACCATGCAAGAATTGGGCATCGAAGGACCATACATGCGCTTCCCAGGAATGCGCGAGAGCTTCCCAATGTACTTGTCGAACATTCCACATGTTGGAACCACTGGCGCTGGACATGGCGGGACACCAGATAACCCTTACGGCAACCCACCAGCAGGCTCGGAGAACAATGAGGGCGGCTACCAAGATCCACCATTTGTTGCTCCAGAAGGTGGCGCAACTGGTGGCTCACAGTTTCCTCCTCGCTCGCGTGGCTCGATCATGAAGACTGGTGGTACCGGTAGACCCCGCGGCGAATCTCTTTCTCACATGAGCAAGCGAGTCGATTTCAGCTTGGGCATGAAGAGCTACGCTGCTATGGGCGACTTGTCTGGTGATGTCTACGAAGACCGCAACAGTGACCGACCTCGTATGGAGATAATTCAAGCTTCACGTGAGCGCGAACGAGAACGTTCCGAAGCTCGCGCCTCACAGGAACGCGCCGCTTCTGCCCGTGGTGGAAGCACGGAGTCAGCTCGTACCAGTGCTCGCGACAATTTCGTTCCTGGAGGTCTGGCAAGACGATCGACAGATGTGTCATTGAGAGCGAGAAGCAGTCTGCATCGAAATCGCTTCTTCGGACGGTCCTCGCATAGCGCCGAGGGCGCTGCGGCCGATGAAATGGAGCGTGGAATCGCGATGGCGGGGATTCCGGAGGAGGCTGCTAGGAATTCTCCCACTGGTACGAATCAACGACTTGATCCGCGCACGGGAATAATTTCTCCTGCGGCCTGGAGAACCACGACGGACGAGGACAATGCCAACGGGCCTCGTCATGTTTCAGTGGAGACTGCTCCGGAGCTGCCCCATCAAGTGAGCGGCAGTGGCAACTTGGGCGATGTGCCGCATGTCAATGCTGCTGCTGCGCCAGATGGACATAGAAGTCTTGCTGGCAGCAGAGCTCAGACTTTCCGGTAGATGATACATCTGTTGAGAGGCTATGGGTTGCTTTGGTGCGCTGGAGTTGACGAGTTATACACTTGGGTGGGATGTGGCATAGCACTGGAAATAACGAACAGAACGGAACACGGAAACGGCCTGAAATGGGAGCATAGAAATAGATCAGATGTTACTATTACTGAATTACTGACTGCGAAGAATGCAGACGGAGTGAGAAGATAGAGAAGATGGCAAGCACTGATGAAAGGCTCTCGATGAAATGCAAAAACTACTATGCCTTCGTTCGATCTTGTATTTTGCGCTCCATGATGGAAAGAGTGAGTATCACGTCACGTTGAGTGGACTAGAACATGGGAGTCTTTGATTGTGGGTTGTTGATTGTTTGGTCGTAATTGCGATTGTTGTTTAAATGTCTGAAGTCGTTGCTGCCTGAGGATAGCTCGTGGTTTGATGCTTGGTTGTTTCCACAAGGAAACAAACACCAACGACAAACTTTCGCATGTGTTTTCTACGTGCGTGCACGCGTCATGTGCAGTATAAATTGCTGTCTGTGTCCCTATCCAAGGAACGCATCTGGCTTGTCATTTCACTATGTGGTGAATTACATTGAGGTTCGGCTGCTAGGATGGGGGTTGAGACTTGCTGTGAGTGAATTAGGAGCCCTTCAGAGATGTTGAGTTTTGGCTGATTGACACATAATGAAAAAAGGAAATGCTTTTCAGATGCAGGATTGCATGTGAGAATTGGAGGGCCACGAATTGCAAGACTTTCACATGGGTGACTCTCTTGAAAGCCTGGTTGCTTCAGCTATGGCTGGGCGTGACCGATCATGTGAAAACAAGGACAACATCACAGAAGTCAGCATGAACTCTGAACTTGCAGCTGATCCTCATGTGGAAGAACGACGTCCTGACACGTCCAGTCATCAAGTTGCGTGGTAGACTTTCAGGACATGATGTTTCTCTACCATGTTTCCCTTTGGTGGCCTCAAAAGGCTGTCCTTAAAATTTCTGGGCAATTCTCACATGCTTAAATACTACAGGCCTCCCCGATAGCGTGCAACTCTCAAAGCTCACAAGATCGCCTTTCACAACACAACAGATCCACTTCGTTTTCAGGAGACACGTGAGGTACGCCACATTCACCTTATATTCACTTCTTTCGGACTATATTCACCACTTGAGAATTCACCTTGGCCAGGCAGCTACCGGTGCGAAAAGGATATAAGCCACGAAAACTCTTCGACTTCTATACTAACCAACAAGATCACTCACACCAGACTACCTTCGATCAACTTCTCACCCCTCCTTCAAGCCTTTCTTACTCCAACATGTCTAACGTCATGAACTTTCTCCCTCTCCTAGACTCGAGCCGCGACTCCGAGACTCGAACCGATGCCGAAATCGCCTCCAAACTGACTACGGAGGCACTCAGAGAAGAGCTCGCTCGCCGACAACACCACGAAGTCCCTTTCACCTGGTCCGAAGAACTCGTCACCCCTTCTGGAGCTTGGGCCTTCCAAACCGAAGCTTCTCTCAGCGACACCGCTGTAGCATGTGCCTCCCTCGCGGCCACCGGTAATCGTCGAATTGGACTCTGCGCCGCCTCGATCAAAGGTGATAGCAGTGAGGAATCCGAAGTGCAGACCTTGAAGAACAAGGTCGAAGGAGTTATCACCAACCTTTCGAAGATTATAGAGGCGGCGTATAGAGTCATGCGTCCCACTCTCTATCTCGATGCCTCATTCGATGCCTTGACAGAGGAATTTGGGGCCCTTTTGACGGCGTTGAAGGAGCAGAAGAGGCCAGTACAGGAGGATGTTGAGGTGCCTAAGGAGAGACCACAGGAGAGTTTGCCAGAGACGGAGATTGTGGTTGTTGAGACTGAGGAGGGTGTTGCGGAGATGGTTGACACGATCACTGCATGTCTCGAGGGAACGGCAGCATGCGAGGCCAAGGAGCCGCAACTTGCTGTTGATTTGGAGGGTGTGAGTCTGGGGAGAGACGGCGACATCTCCATTGTCCAAATCTTCCTCGCTCCGAAGAAGGTCTGCTTCCTGGTCGACGTTTTTACTCTGGGAAGCGTGGCCTTCAAGACGGCTGGCAGAGTCTCGAGAACCACGACTATCGCATCTCTTCTGGAAGACCCACAGGTCAAGAAACTCCTCTTCGATTGCCGCACCGACAACGAAGCTCTGGCACACCTCTACGGTGTCCATATGCGTGGAGTTGTGGACGTACAACTCATGTACTCCGCAACACGAACCGAAACTCGACAGAGAACGAAGCTGTTCGCTCTCAGCTTGGTGGCGACACGCTGCGCCAACATATCCAAAGACGACGAAGCAAACTTCCATTCGATCAACAACTGGGGAATGGCCGCTCTGGTGTTGGGAGGAAAGACAACCCAGTGTTATATGGAAGAGCAGAGAATGAATGCTCTCGTTCTGAATGAAGAGCCTGATATGAAGGACGCTTGGGAGGACTTCAAGGTGAGAGTGGATTGTGTGAAGGAGACGGAGGGGTACGCGATGTGTAATGAGAGGCCACTCAGCTCGCTTGCTCAGAGATACTGCGCACAAGACGTGGCATTGCTGGGGAGGATTTGGAGGTATTGCCGCGACCACGAAGCGTGGAATCAAGACTGGGAGGAGCGAGTGAGCAAGGAGACGCAGAGCAGGCTGGCAATGGCTGACCTTCCCACATCGACGCTCTCTTCTATGACGAGAGACGACTGGACCAAAGCTCCAGAAGGATGGGCTGAAATCGAGCAGGTCAGCCGAGTTACTGGAAAGGTCATAAAGAAGGGGAAAGGAAAGTCTAAGGCAAAGGCGACGAAGGTCGACAGTGGATCCTGGTAAGGCCAGGTCGCAGACGAGAAAGACAGAGAACCAGAGAAATGAAAAGTCGTGAAATTTTCACACAAAAACCCTTTGCGTTGCGATTTGAATGATAAAAGTATATGCTTCAGATCTAAAAAAAGTAGAAAAGCACCCCGCTGCTATTGAGTTTGGTTGTAACAGCGCAGAGATTCGCAACGCTTTCGACAAAAATGCAATGCCCTCCATCGATGTTGCTTGATGAATTGAGTCGAAGTACCGCTTGCTGGCTGTCGAAATTGCTTGATGCGCACCGCTTCCTCCATCACCGCTTACATCAAAGTGCAGTCGGTGTAGTAAGGGCCCTTCTTGCCCTGCAGAACGCAATCGGTGTAGTAAGGACCCTTCTTGCCCTGAAGAACGCAGTCGGTGTAGTATGGGCCGGACTTGCCCTTCTTCTCAGCGAACATTTCGGTGGTGGCGAACATCTTGTTTGGTTGGTGGGCTGGTTGGGTTGGTTTGTTGGTGTTGGTGACTGGCTAGCTAGTTGTCGTAGTGAGTGACTGGTGGTGAGTGAGGGGTTGAGATCTTGGGTTGGGGGATGGGTTCTTATATCGCTACATTGCTGGTTTTGAAGACAATGGGTTGCGGTTAGTGATTGTGCTGCTGTTCGCGGTCGCCGAGCATGTGTCTAGAGCGCTGGGCGGTGGAGATTGTGGATTTGGGGTGTTAGTATTGTAGTTGCGGTCCGGACGTAGTCAGCCGAACAAAGGAAATTTTTGAGAAGTTCACCTGTGCACATTTTCCATTGTTCTCATGCAATGAATTGTTCCCTTGCACAATCAGAACGCATGGCTTGGCTTAGTCTCGTGAACAGTAAGGCTGGCTGTGCAATCGCGGCTAGACTTGAACTTGGAGATTTTGCACGATCCATACCCAGCGCATGACTGCAGCGTGTTCCCAATCCGGACCCTAAGCGGAAATGAGCGAGGTGGTAACAAGGGCACACCTGCTTCGGTACACGATGAGCGATTTTGTTCTCCTCAGCCAAGCTTGAGGCTGTGCTCGTCCCCGCAACCTCGACTACGAAAGCGCAAGATTAAACAAACTTAGCTCACAAGAGACAGGCTTGTCCCTCGTCTTGTGGTCGATGCTAAGCCAGAGTGCGGTGGCTTTGCTTGGCGAGATGTCACTGATGCATGTCCGCTCGTCGAGCCGCCATAGCTTGATAGCAAGTCACGCCGACAGTTGGAGATGAAGGAAAATGCCTCATAGCAGAAGCTGCCCTGGGAAACACGCCTTGTGACGAGCTAAGCGCCCATATGGCCTTCAGCTGGCTGCAAGCTGTACTCCACCTGTAGGAGCAGCTTGGTTGCGAGGACAAGTGTGCTTGGCCTTCATGTGTGATCTCTTTGCGCATCAGTGGATCGCGCTCGGCGGTAAATCAATTCTCGGCGTCATGTGAGGCCTCATTGCTTCTCTGCGGTTTTCGCTGCGGCGGGAGTGGTGGTGGTGGGGTGAAGAGAGGTTGCAAATAGAGTTCATTGGATGCCGAACGTGCTGCGAGAAGTCTGCTGCCAAGACCAATGATGGCATTGCCAGAGCTCGCCTGCTCCACTTTGCCAACGGCAGCCATTGACAACGAGCTATGGCTTTGCGGCGAGAGGTAGAAGTATGTATACACCACTTCCCTTCCCCGAGAGAAGCTGTTTTGGAGCTCCATCTCACAGATCACCATGTCAGGTCCCATCACGGTCCGCAACCTGACCGCCCAGCCGCTCACCATCAAGCTGGTCGAGCGGTATGACAACCCTGGCTCACGTCGTGCTTCCGTCGATCGACGTGCCTCTGTAGAAAATGCCAGACCAGTCGACAATTTCCGACGCAAGTCCAGTGCTGGCCTGGGAGCTCTGACGAAGAACCTCACGAATTTGATGAGCAATGTTACTGGCGGTGGAGAGAGCCATCCGCCTACAAGAGCCGAATTGCCAGATAAGGCCGAAAGCTTCGCCCATAATGATGTGGACATTCGTCTTGAGCCATTCAGCACCACCAAGACCGATATCAAAGTCGCCGAGCGAGATGCCAACGACATCGTCCGTCTGACGCTCGAAGGCGAAATGGGCGGCAGATGGCGCGTAGAAGTCCCAACAAGAACAACTCTCACCGAAAAGCTCACCCCTCTCACACCCGATCCCAAGCACGACTATCGCGCCCTATACCTCCAACAATCCGCCTTCGTCGCCATAATCGAAGACTACAACCCCAAAGCCTGGATGAAAGAATTCCACGACGACACCTCTCTCGCCGCCCTCTCCATCCCCGGAACCCACAACTCCCCAACCTACTACAAAGCTCTCCCGTCCGTCCGCTGCCAAGCCGTCTCCCCGCGCGAACAACTCGACAACGGCATCCGCTTCTTCGACATCCGCGTCCAACCCCAAAACGTCGATGACAGCAAAAACGACGAACTCAACCTCGTCCACGGCGTCTTCCCCATCTCCCTCACCGGCCCTAAAAAGTTCCGCGACCTCCTCAATACCGTCCGCGAGTTCCTCAAAGAAAATCCCTCGGAAACTGTAATCTTCTCTCTCAAACGTGAAGGTTCTGGTGAAGCAACCGATCAACAACTCTCCCAAATTCTCCGAGACCACTACACCGGATCCGCAAACACTGAAGCCCAAAATAAATGGTACACGAACCCGAAAGTTCCCAAGCTTGGCGAAGTTCGCGGAAAAATCATCATAATGCGACGTTTCGCCCTCTCCGAACGCATAAAATCCGAATGGCAAGGCCGTGGCTGGGGCTTGAACGCCGAAAATTGGGCTTACAATACGCCGGACTGCACGTACGGAGACGTCCGCGTGCAAGATTTCTGTGAAGTCTTGGAGACAGAAAATATCGATAAGAAAATCGGTCTCTGTTGCGAGCATTTCGAACGAGCAGCAGAAGTTGTTTGTCCCGTTCCGGGCGTGACGACAGATTCGACGAATCCTGTTCCAGCGGGACCATTGTATGTGAATTTTCTGAGTGCGAGTAATTTTTGGAAAGTGGGGTGTTGGCCCGATAAGATTGCGGCGAAGTTGAATCCTGCTGTGACGAGTTTCCTGGTGGAGAAGCATGATATTGGGGATAAGGGGGCAGATGGGGCGGGGGAGAAAGTACAAGGTGATGGGGGGGTGGGGATTGTGGTTTGTGATTGGGTGGGGAAGGATGGGGATTGGGATTTGATTAGGGCCATTGTGACGATGAATAGTAAGTTGTTGAAGCAGCAGAGGGGGATTGGGTGGAAGTAGACCTTTCTTTACTGGAGGGACTGAGCAAGAGATGGAGATGAGATATGATGTGACCATGATACCACGCATGACATGAAATGTACAGACGATCGTTTAGAAAGCGTTTGAAGTTTCGATTTACGTACTCAACGGCAGTCTATGAAACCCGGAGCTGCCGTAGTGAGCTACAGCACTACGTGTCACGTCCACCTCGTTGCGCTCGAACTGATCGTGCTGCCGATGCAGAGTATTCTCATTCGACAATACCACATTACATATTCAGCTTCGAAGCAGAGTCTCTCCAGCCGGACGAGATGAGGTATCGTGACATCTGCCTGCTTCGTCTCCTGTAAAGATCTGCATGTTGCACATCACAAAGGCGACGGCGGTTAGGCGAGCTCGCTCTTGACACTTCACCACCCACCACCAGCGGCCGGCTTGATGCCAGTTGCTGGAGTTGGCACCTTGTTCAAGCACAGCAAGTCGGGCGGTATAGACGGTGGCTCGGGGATGTCGATCGCAGTGAGCGGCAAGGGTGGAATGGTAGGCGCGCTGCGAGCGTACGTTGGGCGATTGGGATTACCACGCGGCTGAGCGCGAAGGTCCCGACCTCGAACGGTACCCGCTAATTCTGGCGGAGGTCTCGGTGCCTCTGGACCTGTCTTGATGCCTGCGTTTTGCCCATTCTTCTCAGCTTCGAAGCGAGTCGTGTCAGCCTCTAGGCGTGCCTTGTCAGTTTGCAAGCGGACTTTGTCGTCCTGCAACTTGACCTTCTCAGCTGCTTGAAGAGCCTTTGTAGTATCCAGATGGAACCCCATGGCTTCCAGGCGGAGCTTTGCAGTTTCCTTGTTCATTTCGGCGAATTGCTCTTTCTGCTGAGCTTCGAGCTTCGCGATCTGAGCGCGAACGGCATCCCGGGACGAAATCACATCCTGCAATTGAGCACCAACAGCATCGAGATCATGAGAGCTTTGTTTCGTTTCGACGTTCTCGATACGCTTCTGAAAGGCTTCCGTAGTCTCCAGGTGCTTAACGAACGACTCGCGTTCGGACTGGAACTCTTTGCCATGCTCCACCATACGCTGCCAAAGCTCTGTCAAGGTGTCGCTGTTCTTGGTATCAATGGCCTCCTGAACCGATTCGAACTTGGTGAGTCGCCCATCGACATGCTCCAGCTTGTTAGAGAACTCATGCAGACGAGATGTTATCGGCTCAGGAATTTCGGAGCTCTGCTTCTCCTCCAGATCTTCAATGCGCTTAAGGAGTGCAGACACAATCTCCTTATGCCCATCATCGATTAGCGTCCTCTCGTCACGGAACTCCTTCATTCGCTCATTGACGACGTCTCCGACCTCTTCGCAAATGCGGCCTTGAGTAGCAGCGAGCTCAGATGTTCGCGAGTGCATGTCACGATCAACACCTTGGATATTCTTGAGAAGCACTGAATGAGTTTCCAGGACCTCAAGCTTGAATGTCCCCAGGCGGTCGGCGGTATCGTCGGACATTTGAGAAGCCTGCTTGTTCTCTAGATTCTCAATGCGTTGCTGCAGCTTGGAAACGATAGTCTCCTGATCTTTGTCGGACTTCCGATCGGATCCCAATTGCTGCACTCCCTGATCAACAATGTGGCCAAGCTTATCGTAGAGCGTGTTAAGCTTAGTAGCGGTAGCCTCCGGCATTTGAGGGGTCTGCTTGTTATCCAGCTCTTCAATGCGCTTGAGAAGTGCTGATTCAGTGTCCGCGTGCTTGCTCTCAATCAACTTCAAAGCGGCCTCAACCTTCTGCAATTTCTGGGTAGCATCATCTTCCTTTTCGGCCGGGAGCTCATCAGACAAAGCGCCATAGGCGATGTTCTGCAACTTGTCCACCACGGCAATGGCTTTGGAGCGAACGTCAAATGGGAGGAACTTGACGCAGTCGCCCAAGAAGTCGAGCTCTCGCTTCTCAATACCCTGACCGATTTCCTTTCGTGGCTGGAATCGGGCGACCAGGGCCAAAGGTTTTTCCCATACGAAATCGTGTGACACCTTATTGTACCAGTGTTGGCGTCCGTCACTATTGATGTGCTCGGTCCAAGGATCAGTCTCTGCAGCGGTCTCTTCGCTCTCGAAATCGTAGGTGTTGCCAGCCTTGCACTGCGCGACGCGCCACTTGTAGTACGTATGATAGGTGTTGGTCGGTTCGAGGAAGGAAACAATGTCTGTGCCTTGATTCTTGCTGCGCACCACTTCCTCAAACTTTGGTCCCGAGCGAGCAACATATCTTGCTACCTTCTCGATCTTCTTCCTTAGATCTCCTGTCGCAAAAGTCATGGCGTCACGCCTCACTGGGCCGCTGCCGCTGCTATTGGTCTTGTCATCATTGCGCACCGGTCTGGATCCGGGACGATGCTTGCCCTCAATGGTGGAGGTATCATGGCGAGCGGAGCCTGACCAGCCAAGGCGATTCGAAACTTCGAGCCAGCGCTGATAGTCTTCGCTGGTCCCCTCATCGATGATTCGAGGAACGTTGCGAAATGGGACGAACTTATAGACAGGCTTGTCCGGATCGTAGCTCAAGTTGTGGTGAGCGGAATTGGCCTGATTCTGGACTTCCAAAGGCTCAGCCGGAGCGCTAATGGCATGGAAGTCTTCTTGCTCAGGTGTGGATTCAGGAGTGAACTCGACCTCAGACTGATTGCTGGAGTTCCCAGAGCTCCAGCTAGCATCTTCACCGGTGCAGAAAGCATTCTTGGCTGGAACAGATGGCAGCTTGCGTAGATGTGGTTGACGTGACGATGCCACGTTCTCTCCAGGAGCGAAGTCGGTGAAGGTGTCAGCCTGAGAGTTGCCTATGTTAGACTGCTCCAGAACGAAGGGACCAGGAAAGTCCGGAAGCATTTGAGTCTTGTTGCGAGGCACAGTGTTCGGCTGTGGAGGAGAAAACTTGAGATCTGCAAAGGAATCCGGCTGCCATCCAACTGGTCTGTCGTGCTCGAGGTCACGGCCACCGTGCCAATCGACACGTTCGCGTGCGAAGCCCGGCCATTGTGAGATTGGCTGGATCTGTGTCATGCCGGCGCCGCTTTGGGAGCCGGTTATCTTCTTGACCTCCTTCCCGTGTTCGGCGGGGTGTTTGGCGGCCATCTGTGCATCTCCACGATACAGGCCGGGGGCTGCCTTCTGCTTGCTTGCTGTCTGGACTTGTCCACTCTCTGGCGCCCTCTCCACTGCCTTGAGCGTGTCTGGCGGCAAGCTGTAGCGAGGACAGTCAGGAAACATGCATACGCCAATTTCGCGGAACAATGGACGCAGGTGCGCTGGCGGGCACGGAATATCCTGTCGAGTCTTGTCAGCGACTTTCGTCGGCGCGCTCGAGTTGATATTGAGATGAGCTTACCATTGTGCGGGTGCTGCGCTGTGCGCGCGGGTGCGAGAGGGGTTGTGGTGACGATGTGCGAGTGCGCGGAAGTTGGATGTTGGGTGCGCAGTCGAGTTGATGTTTGTGTGTTGTTGAAAGTGCTTGAGGAAGACCGGCAGAAGAGCTGTGCGACTTTGTTTGCTTGTGGAGCCATGCACTCGTTGCCTTCCGTTCACCCTTCGCCTCGCGTTCACTTTCACGTGCAGGAAGACAAGAACGACAGAAGGCAAATTATGAGAAGCCAAGCAAAACGTCTGAACACTTATCTGTGTGTACCTACTGAACAAGGCAATTTGGCCTTTTTGCGCTTGCCTGGGCACTGCCGCCAATGCGTGGACATGTATCTGTCAATCCAACCCGACATCTGCACCTGAGTACTAGTCTTCAATGCCGCAGTCACGGCCGGCCTTCAGCGAAAAACAGCTTTCGTGGCGTTCTCGAACTCCTCGTCGTACGCGGCAAGGCCTGCAAGACGGCGCACCACGCGATCCCGCAGTACCAGGAAGTCGTCGTAGGTGCCTTCGAATGGACCGGCACGACGCACTGTATCAATTGTCAGTCATGTCCTTTTGGCGTATTGGCGGCGACCTTACCTTGCCCATCTTGCTCGTTTCGGCTAAGAATCTTGAAAAGCTGGTACAGTCTCTCTCGAGTCTCCGCCATATCAATCTCGCGGAAGTGCTTTTCTCTCTTTTCGGACTTGTCTTGGAACTCGCGCAGTTGATCCTGAGACGCTGTTAGAACTAGCAGACGAATACTCTCTGTTCAGTGCAGAACGTACCACTGCTCTCATTGTTCTCTTCTGTTCCCTGTCTGGATCGCTGCTGCTGCTCCCTGAACCTTCTTTGGCTCCTGAAATTGGCCTGGCCTCAAGCGACAGCACGCGGCGCTGCAAGTCTTGCGCAGTGCAAGAGGCAGCGAAGCGAACTTCTGCTTGCTCGGTCTCCACTTCTTGGGCCTTGAGGCGTTGTTCGAGATCGGTCAGGCGGTGGTCATGTCGTACGAGGACTTCGGCCATCACCTTGAAAGGGGGCGCGTCTGGTGTCGCTGGCGCCACTGGCTCGTGGTCGGAGTGCGGCTCGACAGAATCAGGTCTCGCAACGACAGCGTAAGAGTCGTGCGACGAGTCTCGGCCGGATCGCTGAATGGAAGACGCATCAGTGAGGTCCTTGATAGTAGTTTCCTGCCTCTCGCAACGGAGGTGCAAGGCATCATTCTCGGCTATGAGCTCATCGTTATGCGCTCTGAGTTTCTTGATGGTTTGAAGCAGGCGCTCCTCTGTCGGTGAGAGGCCGCCCTCCATGACTCTGATGTTGTTGTGGTGAGCTGCTGTTGCGTGCGAACTCAGTCGACTTAGGCAGAAGCTTGGCTCATGCAGCCCGCAGCAATCCGCTCCAAACGCTGCTGCACGTCTCAATAACGAGACCAACGAAGGCGACGCATTGGCGAGGACCTTCTACACATTCTCGAGGGTGGTGCCGTTTCGCGAAGGATCGAAAGTGTAAGATCCAGCATTCTACATTACATGAAAACTGATCTGGCGGTCGCCCTCGGGGTGAGGCTATCGTGGCACCTTCTCATAGTCTCTGCAAGCGATTGCGGCCTTCACTGGAAAGTACGTTTGCGTGTCAGCGAGCATCACAATCCCGCCTGCCTTGACCAGCATCGCCGAAATGAATTACGAACTGAGTGGTGTCTTTGAGGTATTCCACGGCCCTGGATCTCGCAAAACCCTCTCTGCCTGCCTGCTCATTCGTAGAGCTATTGCGTTCGATGAGCCGGTTCCCATGCGCAAGTCTGGCTCTCGTGGAGAGTGGAACCATGTATGAGACTCAACTGTTCCAGCTCAGCTCTCGGCTTGCAGCCAAGCCAGAGCACACACGTGTCGCTCTTGCGTATTGCGCACATGCAGAGTAGCTCGCTGTCTCCTGAAAGCCACTTGTACTGTGCGCAGGCTATCGCTCTAGATGATTCGAAGTCCATTTTAATGCTTTCATCGCTAGCACAGACCAGTGTTTCGTGTTTCGTGCTATGGCAGCTCGGGACTGTTGTGCAACTCATCGCCGTGGTGTCAGCTTACTCAGTCGCAGCAGTGGTACTGCAGATGCCATCACGCCATGCTGTGATCTCCAGACAGTCTAGACCCAGAACTGAAGTCATACAGTGAAAGATGGAGGTGAGAAGACGGAGCAGAGTCATGAGGTAAATCGCTATTTCGCATTGCCAGGATGTGGCTTCCAGAACGTGGCTGATGAGTGGGCCACATGAAAGGGGTTGAAGCGCGTTCCACACACCGCGCGGCACACCTCATACCTACAACGTCCACTCACTTCTTCGTCCTGTCGACCACACTCCCTTGATCTTTCGCATAGCACAGTTTGTGCAAATCCATTCTTTTGAGAAGAAGCACACACCCTCCGCAAACGAACGGACAACAGAAGCGACAGCGAGCGTCCGAAGCGCAAAACCACACATTCCCTTAATTAACGAAACACTACATCACTACCAACACCACCATGAGGACCACCCTCGCCGCACTCGCGCTGGCCGCAGTGCCTGCCGTTCTCGCCGTCGAAAAAGGCATGCACGGCTTCGCCCTCGGCACCAAGAACCCCGACGGCACCTGCAAATTCCAAACCGACTACGAACAAGACTTCGACGCAATCAAAGCCGCTTCCGGCTCGACTCTCGTGCGCGGCTACTCCGCCTCGGACTGCAACTGCGCACAAGAAATTCTGCCAGCTGCCAAAGCTAAGGGCTTCAAAGTCGTTTTGGGCGTTTGGCCTGATGTGGAGGAGAGCTTCAATAAGGATAAGGGAGCTTTGGTGGACCATGCAACGAAGTTCAAGGAGCAGGTCTATGCTGTAACTGTTGGGTCTGAGACTCTTTACAGGGGTAATTTTACTGGAGAGGAGCTGTTGGAGAAGATTTTGGATGTCAAGGAGGCATTGGGTGGAGATGTGAAGGTTGGAACAGCGGACTCGTGGAATAAGTGGGCAGATGGAACTGGTGATGCTGTGATCAATGGAGGTGTTGATCTGATCATGGCAAACGGTTTCTCGTACTGGCAAGGTGCTGCTGCTGGCGACAAGGCCAAGGAGGTGTATCTGGATGACATCCAGCAGGCCCTAGGACATATCCAGGAAGTGTCCGGTTCGCTCGATGCTATTGAGTTCTGGAATGGCGAGACTGGCTGGCCGACAGATGGTGGAAGTGACTACGAGGCTGCCGAGGCCGGTACCAAGAATGCAGAGGCTTTCTACCAGCATGCTTTCTGCGGTGCTCTGGACTGGGGCATCAACGCTTTCTTCTTCGAGGCCTTCGACGAGTAAGTTCTCGCTGCATGCAACGCACCCGTAGGCGTACGATACTGACAGTTTGATAGACCATGGAAGCCAGAGTCCATCGGTGACAACGGCGTTGCCAAGGACGAGACCAAATGGGGCGCAATGACTGCCGACCGCAAGACCAAGTTCAACCTCCAGTGCTAAGCTCGCACGCCCGAGACACCTGACGACACAATATGGCTGCTCATCTCATCTGCATTGGGTTGCGAGGGATCTCTCAGAACCGCCTACGTAGCGTGACTCGGACTGCTGGGGAGCGTGAGAGAGCGTTAAGCACGTAATTTACGAGAATACATAGTGCCAGCACTCCAATACCGAGCGGCATTGCGCCTCTCTCACCCTCGCCTTCGGCTCGAGCTCCTTTGTTGCCTCTACGAAATAATACCATCTTTTTTGAGGGCCTATGCCTTACGCGCTTGAGTATCAGATATCGTCGCTGTTGCTCGCCTCGCTTGTATGGGAATCTAGTTGCATTGTCGCGTTATGTTGTGTATTATCACGCTCGCTGGCGATCCAAGTCATGCTCAGTAGGCGGCTCGGCGGATGTCATGCACGCCGCCCACGCTCGAATCCTTGCCGTTGATCTGCCGCGCATAAGCGTGGCATGAAAGCCCGTGCGTCTGCACGTCTTCTCGTCACATCTCCTGGCTTCACTTGTTAGACCTTGGTTGACATCGTGCACTTCACTTCGTCTTCTCATGCCCGTTTGGGACAACCCGACTCGCGCATTGGCGATGGTGTATAACAACATGTTGAAACCGTCGATGCCATCACGGTCATGACGAACTTGCCGAACAATCCGCCAATATGGCCAGGTGCGACTGGCTCGCCCAGCACGGGCTTCTCTGCTCGAAGCTATCGTAGCGCTGGTCTACACCCGAGATGCTCCCCCGATACCAACAGGTCGGTGCACGACGACTTAAGGGGACGTGTATAAGAATCGCTGCCCAATGGTCCAGGCAACACGATGCATTGGCATGAGGCAAATGAAGACTTTTCTGGGAGCAAAGCGTAGCTTTTCGGCGCAGAGCTGTTTGCTGTGCGGGAGCACATTGCTGCAATCGTCTTGTGTCGTGAGACAGGCGCGGAGATGTGAGAAAGAAGCGCGGCGAAGTGTTTGCAGAGACGTGGTCGCCGGCGAGCGCAGACGTCGTTGGAGGAAGCCTTCACCAGCACCTTCACATTCGCCTTTACCCGTCTGTGCAACATGATCCCTGTCACTTGACCATTGCTGCAGTTCTGTCTAGTTTGCAGGCGCACCTACCAGCAGTTGACAATCACAGCAACTCTTATTGTCCGTCTTGGCCTTGCGCACCAAATCCGTTCCACTGTCTTCATCTCGTGCTCCGCACCGCGCGCAACATCGCATCTATGCACTTGCACAACTACCGCCGTATCCCACAACAGTATTGGCTCGATTCCACTGACCAAGCAGGCGCGCCTGCCCACTTCACTTTGATTCAGCGTCAGGATGCCGCGAGACCGCGAACGGCTATTCAACGAAGCAAGAAAAACCAGGTGCTCAGGCTCCAGCGACAGTCGACGATCATCAACGACCGTTGACGAGAATGGCTGCATCATCACCAGAGGTTTCGTGATCCCCAGCCGCTCGTCTTCACAATCCTCACTTGCAAGAAGCACCACTTCCTCCTTCGAAATCCCAAGCACTCCGCTCTCACCAATGGAGCCTCCGACACCAGGCTTCGCGCGGCCGAAGCCGATTGAAAGCGCTCTGCGCACAAGCACATCAGCCATCTCGCTGTCGCGCGCAGTTCATGGCGTAACGCTCTCCAGTCGCCCGGAGCCAGAACGCCGACAGACATGGCAATCTATGGGCAGCTCAAGCGCATCAAACAGTCGCTGGAATGACGATGACCTCCTAGCCACGACGTGCAGTTCTCAGTCTGGGCAGAACTTCCAAGTCCCTCAAGGCCCGCAAGTCGTTGCTCCAGCGCGCACAAAGACGAAACGCTCTCGTCCGCCTCCACCGAAGACAACGACTAACTTCCGTCGCGTCAGAAGCGAGCAGAGCAATTTGCAACAGCTTGTAGCGCGAGAAAGCGGGAAGGAGAGATCAAAGTCGACTCACGTGGCCTTGGATCGCTACGACAAAAAGGCTCACAATGAGCCTGCAGTCAAAATCGTCGCCCCCGAGCAAGCTGATGATGCTATTGCATCCGACAGCGAGGACGACAATATCGCATCTGACGGTTTGTTGCGGAGCATGACCATTCGACGTAACCGTCTCGGTTACGCAACACGTCGTGCGATGACTGACGAGAAAAATGCTGCTCTTATGCAGCAGGTACAACTTGCACCAACGCCAGCGAATCTCTACTCCGCAATCGACACGCCCATTGCGGACGCTTCGGATGCTGGAGCAGACCTGGTCAAGGTCTCACAAAAGCTGGAGCTCGTTTCTGCAAGCCTCGCCGACAATGCCATCGCATCTGACAGCGAGGATGACGACTATACCTGCAAAGGCGATCCGAAAATGACAGCTGCACTCAGACAAGCAGCCTTGCACCGTGAGCGCAACGTTGCCATACATGTCTCTCACGATGGCTTGCACGACGAGCCTGCACTGGAGCTTCAGAAGCGCTCAATGTCTGACGCAGCAGTCGCCGTCCGTCTTGCCGAGCCTAGCAGTAACTCCCCTCACAAGCGCAACTTCTCGACAGGCAGTGCTACTGTCAGACTGTTACCACCCAATGCGTCTGTCTCCAAGTCCAGCGATGTCGACGACCTCGAGACTCCAATCGAAGTTAAGACCTACGATACCAGCTCAGCTCTTGCTATGAGATCTCTGCGACCATCGAGGACAAGGCCGAAACCTGCCAAGGGAGTACTGAAAAAGAGTGGATCACCTCCATCAACAGGCGCTTCTACAACCGAATGCTCGCCTACGAAAAAAGTCCAGACACGCAACAGAAGTGGAAGCGGTGAAGTTGTAGGGGGCATGGTGCGCCCGAAGTCTCCGCCGAGAATGACTGCCGACGGTGTCTTCAGACCAGGACAGGTCACGGCGGCTGAAATGAGGAGGCTGACTGAAGCTGCTGATATCTTTCAGTGATGCAGAAGCATATGCGGCATCAAGGAGAAAAGTCAGGAAAGAGCGAAATATCGAGAGAAGCTCAAACTCCTGCAATAATGCGTAATGAGGAAAAGGGGAACGAGGTTCACATTTCGGCGTTCTTGTTATCGGCATCGTTGAGATACCCCATTCGAAGCTCAGATGAAGCTTTTGTTTTCTATGTACACTTCCCACAGTATGCACAGTCTCTGGCCCAGAAGCCGGCGTGCTCAATTCTAGCATGTTAAATAGCGGGCAGGAGACAGATCGGGCCACACAGCACATCGCAGCCTAAGCTGGCGAGAGAGCCTCCTTGTGATATTTTGCTGGAACGAAAGGCATTTTCGATACGACAGCTTTTCTTGCTTTTCCTCGGACTTTGACTTGGACTTCTGTTCCGGCTTTGTGTTGACCGTCTTTGATGTAGCCCATTGCGATGTTCTTCTTGAGAGTTGGTGAGGGGCAGCCTGAGGTTATGCGGCCGATGACTTGTCCGTCTGTGATGCAGGGGTCAGTCTATAACAATTTTTTGAGCAAGTCAGGAGGAAACTTACCTTTATCCATAACCTCAGCTCCTTCGCGCGCAGGAGCACCTTCAACAACGAACCCAACTCTTCGCCGTGTAACACCCACACCACCTTCCTTCTTCGGTGTAATCTGTGGCACAATCGTCTCCGCACCATTGAAATTCGCTCGCTCGCCAGATCGTCGAGATTTCGGTATAACCCAGCTAAGGGCGGCTTCCACCGGCGTAGTCGTGTCGTCCAAGTCATGCCCGTACAAACACATTCCAGCCTCCAATCGCAGCGAATCCCGAGCGCCCAGACCTGCAAAGCGGAGACGATCGGGTGTGCCGGTTTCGAGGAGGAATTTTGTCACTTCGACGGTTTGGGAGGGGTGGATGGATAGCTCGAAGCCGTCTTCGCCTGTGTAGCCTCCTCGGGATGCGACGATGGGGAGAGACTCGCCTGAAGGGAGGTTTAGGGTTATGTATTTTAGGTTGCCGAAGTACCATTTCGAGAGGTCGACTTTGCAGTTTGGTGCGAGAGCGGATTGGAGGATCTCGCCGGAGAGGGGCCCTTGCAGGGCGATCAGGCCGTAGGGTTGTTTGTCGGCTTCTAGGTGGCGGAGGGAGACGACTGGGTTTACGGTGTTGTCCCAGTTGGAAATGGCAGAGGACAGGTAATTGTAGTCTTTCTCTCGACAGCCGGCGTTTGTGACCATGTAGAAGAGATGCTTTGGGCCGGCTTCAAGGCGTGTGATGATGCAGTCGTCGCCGATGCCGCCCGTTTGGGGAAGAAGCAGGGTGGAGAGCGTGGACTGGCCTACTGGGAGCTCTTTGAGGCCTGATGGAGTCAGGCTCTCGAGGAAGGCTTCGGCTCCTGGTCCCTCGACATGGTATTGTACCATGTGGCCCACGTCGAAAAGGGACGCTTTCTCGCGGGTCCAGGCATGGGATTCGCCTACTGAGAGATCGGAGTACTGCACTGGCATGCTGTAGCCGCCGAAGGGGACCATTTTGGCGTCATGTTCCAGGTGGAGATCGTACAATGCTGTTCGTCCTGGGCTTGATTCTGTGTACATTTGCGGTGCCGGTGAAGCACTCGAACTTTCAGCTCGTTTCTGCTGCACGAAGGAGCTGGTGAAGAAAGTCTTGGCTTTTACTTCGCCATGTTGTGGGCGAGTCGACTTTGTGGTGATGCTTCTGGACGATACTGCTGTGGCCACTGCAGCTCGTCCGGTGGTGCGTGAAGCACTTAAGGCATTTCGTAGTGGCAGGACCGCCCTTGAAGCTGTCCGGCTTGCAGCCATTGTATTCGGTCCGTCGCCCTCTTTGGATTACAGGTTGGACATGCGCGATATGTTATTGACCTGGCCGAACCTTCGGAAGGAGTTGCGATGTGTGAGGTCAAAGGCAGGCGTAGTCACAGTAGAACGCTGTTATATGACAGATCTCTGTTTTGCCCATTGGATGGGTGCCAGATACCGATAGAGTCAACGGATGCGGGCACCGAACTAGTCTCGCGGCTCAGGCCGCCTGAACGCTTGGCGTTTGAACGCCGACCTTGTGTTGTCAACGTCACGAGGGCCTCGAGCTTGAGACTATTCCAGAGCTCTCTGCGAGAGCTTCACACTCGACGCGAGTGAGCATAGGATCGACTTCGCTGGACCGACCGTTCCTCCCTACCGCAATCCTCCGACATGCCTCCTCAGATCTTCTTTCTAGTCTCATTGCCGACCTCAATCTCGCCTGCCAACTCCCGCGACGAAGCTCTCACCACATTACGCTCCGCCGTGAACCCAGATAATGGCACGACATACCCCTTTGCCATTCCCGAGTTCAAGATCGGGACTCTAGACGCGCTGGTGCAGCAGGCAGATGAGCTAGCAAAGCTGGAGCAAGGTTGCAAAGGCGTCGTCGACAAGGTCGGAGACTCGCTGCGATCATTACTCGAAGGCGATGAGGAGAAGCTGCAGGAACAAAAGGTGGTGAATGACAGTATGTGAAACAGCTCAGCTGAGCTTCAATGGTATATCATGCTGAACTAGATTGCAGAGCCGGTTGAGAACTACCTCCAATCGTTCCAGTGGAATAAAGTCAAATATCGGGCGGACAAGCCCATTGCTGAACTGATTGACAGCCTGCAAAAAGAGATTGCTGCAGTGGATAACGATGTGAAGGCAAAATTCAGCCAGTACAACCAGACCAAGACAAATTTGGCCACCTTACAGCGCTCTCAGACCGGCAACCTCTCCCAAAAGTCCCTCAACGCAGTAGTGAACCCAGACACTCTGATTCAACCGGACCAGTCCGAATATCTCCAGCAACACTTGATCGCCGTGCCTTCGCAGCTTGTCAAGGACTTCCTGAAAACATACGAGTCGATAGCACCCATGGTCGTGCCTCGATCAGCGCAGCTACTGGCCAAAGACGACGAATTCCAGCTATTCGTGGTGACGACTTTCAAGAAACATGCATCAGAGTTCGTGCACAAGTGCAGAGAGCACAGGTGGACGCCGCGCGAGTTGAAATTCACCGACGGAGGCAGAGACGCGGAAGAGGCAGAATTGAGGAAGCTAGAGAAGGAAGAGAGGAAGACTTGGGGCGAGGCTTTACGGCTAGGACGCACAGGATACAGTGATGCAGTCATGGGCTGGATCCATGTGCTCACGTTGCGAGTTTTCGTGGAGACGGTGTTGAGATACGGTCTTCCGCTGGCATACGTCTGCGGCTTGGTCAAGGTAAGTCTGACTCTCGTGCCCCTGGCCATCAACATACTTACCCTACACACAGACAACACCCAAACTCTCCAAAAAGGCCAAGACTGGGCTCGATAATCGGTTCTCTGATCTCGGTGGCAATGCTCTCAGCCGAGACAAGAAAGGGCGGCCGCAGCAGGACGACAGCGCGATGCAACAAGAGATGGCGGGTGCCGGCCTAGGCGGCGACCAAGGCTATGAGCCTTATGTCTTTTACGAATTCGAAATCATATAGCGAATTGTGAATGGCGAAGAAAGATAGACGAAGCGAACTCTGGCTCCATGCCTAGCAGCTCGGAGTCATGTGGCCATCGTGGACCCACGCTCCGTACTCGACACTCCCATGCAGTGCGAATGTTGGCTGGCTCAGATGAGCAGGGCATCAAAGGTATCACTGGTCGAGGCGTGATAGCGAACGCGAAGCACTGCAAGATGCTCGCGCGAGCATCATGTCCGCCGATGCGCCACACATTCGAGATGGCCGCCACACTGAGACCGCTTGACACCGTCTACCGTACCTACTCGATGGAGTCGTGAATTGATTCAGCCGCACGAGTGGAGCTCTAGCGCAATCTCTTCTTTTCCCGCTCCCTTGTCACGACAGGAAACTGCAGCGATCTCGTGCTGGCTTCGCAGTGAGACACGCAGACGCCATGCTTGCCACTCAAAAGTCAATTGTCAGCGCTCAAGACAAAGCAGCAGACGTCTATTTGTGCGAGGGCGAAGTAGTGAGAGCAGCAAGCGAGGGTCGTCAGGCCACCTGAAATTGTGGGGCCCTGACCAGCTAAGCTTGAAATAGCACAAGTCGCAATCCTTCGGTACACCTCATGCAGCAGTAGTTCGGCAGCGAACAACAGCCACCACTTTCTGGGCGATCTGGCCGATGTCGTCGCTGTTGGTTTTTGGAGCATCGACGGCCAGTTCCATGCGCCGCGACTGTCTCACGATGGAGAGCGCTTGCTTGCGAGCTGCGGTTTGCTGCGGCGGGCGCTTGCACGAAAGACGAACAACTACGCCGCAATGTCTCACCTGGACTAGCATTGTGCGCGCCTGCAGCTACGAGGACTCATAAGAAGGCGCAAGTCGGACATGAGAGGGTTCGGCCAAACTTACTGCCACCGCTGGCCGAAAGGATCGATCAGCCCGGTCTACCTCCTCTTCTGCCCACATACCATCCCGCCCGTTTCGCCCCCACTATCAGCTGAAAGGTCAAACCAATTTGCGCAACGATTCCTTCAGGCGGACGAGCACCCAGCCTAGGAACCGACCTGCAGCTGAGGAGTTGGTGCAACAATCTGCCGAGATCCAGCTGATTAAGTGTCTACTCCCTCTCACATTGTCTCTTTTCGCATTCCTTCCACACCCATTTCCTTTGCACTTCGAGCTTTGAGCCGAGAACAATCGCATTTGAACAGAAGAAACAAGCAAGAGCACTGTCGGGTCATCAATCTAGCCGCCTATTCACCCTTCACCGGTCTACACCTTGTGTCTGACGCATAGCTTCGTCCCACCATTTGGCCTGCTTTTTTTCTGTTGCCACATTTCGTCCTACCTGTACGATCGCTTCTTGCGCGTGAGCAAGATCAACAGCCTCGATGGCTTATTACGGCGACAACGGCGGCTACGATATCTACGGGCGTCCGCTGAGACGGCCCTCACCACATCATATGCGAAGCGACAACGCAGGCTTCCTGGACCCAGGATATGGCGGGGGTTTACACCGAAGCAGATCTACAGGAGCGAGACCGATGCCTCAAATCAATGTTTACAACAAGATGTACCAAGACAATGAGAGCCGAACACCGTCGCCTATGCCATACCCAGTTATGCCTCCAGTCATGCCGCAGTACGTGCCATACCCAGTCGCGGAGAGCTCACGTCGCGCTTCGCCGCGTGGCTCTCCTGCAGGTCGAGGTCGCAGCACGAGCCGAGGACTGGCAGAGGGTATAGATGGGCTACTCTCGGCTGAATTGGCAGACATGGCAATCGAGCATCGTTACGGCCGATCGCGGTCGCGAGGTCGTTCTGATGCGCCATCGTACACAGCTGGACTAGCAGAGTACCAGCTAGCCGAGCAAGCCAAAGAATTGCGACGCCTTTCTCAAGAGAGACAGTGGAGGCTGGAAGAAGAGAAGCTCAGGAATCAGATCAAGCTTGAGGCATTGGCCGCCGAATCAAAACGAGAACGCGAGGAGCGCGAAGCCGAGGATCGCAAGAAGCGCATCGAGGAAGACTGGGAGCGCCGGTTACGCTTAGAACGCGAAAAGAAAGACGCCGCTGAGAAGGCCGCAGTCGAAGAGTACGAACGCAAGCAACGCGAGGCCAAGAAAAGAGCCGAGGACGCAGAACGCGCAGTCAAGGAAAAGATTGAGCGCGAAGCACGAGAAAAGAAGCAGAAAGACAAGGAACTGTACGAAGAGTTCAAACGGCGCGAGAAAGAGGAGGAAGAGAAACAGAAGCGCGAATGGGAAGAGTTTGAACGGAAACGCAAAGAGAAGGAGGAGAAAGAGAAGAAGAAGAAGGCCGACGAGGAGAAGGCGTTCCAAGAGCAAATGCGCGAACGTCTGAGAGCATTGGGCTACACGGAGCAGACGATTGATATTATGGTCGACAAAGAGAAGACCAAGAACTTCCAGCAGGAAGTGAACGCTCGCCCGCGGAGCCAAGACCGACGAACAACGACAACGACCACACAGCAGACTCTGGTCGCATGGAATCCACCGGCACGCGCTCCGGTGTACCCCAAAGTGCACAAGGACTACATCGAGCTCAAGACGTTGGAATACTACCAGTTGCCATGGCACTACGATCGCGTAAGTCATTATCCCTGCCGCACTACTGTAACCTATTCACTGACGCCTGCCACCTTTTGTGAACAGGATGACCCAGATTTTATCATCATTCAGCGCGACATGGACAAGAGACATACTGACGTTTTGTTTGAGCATACGGCAAGAATACGCAAAGGCGCCTTGCTTCTCGAGGCACCAAAGAAGGAGCAGAAATTCGCAATGTACAGAAAGCGGTCACGCAGCAGGCACGGGCATGGCGCTGTTATTGAGAAAGGCGTCCTCAGGCTAGCTTGAGTGGATCCCCGATCCAGCGGGAGTATTTGACATCATGAGCATCCTTCGGCGACTACGTTGTGAAGTGGTATGCTTGAGGGTCGCGTTCCATTGCCGTATCGTTGCAGCGTAGCGTCGACCACAGCACTTGTGGTAGAATTGCAGATAGGTGTACAGTCAACTCAACTTCGAAACAAAGTCGTACTGCTCAAAGAACCTCAGAGAAAGGTTTCCAACAAGTCTACAGGGATGATTGCCGGCATCTGATTCGCTACCCAATCGCGCTATTCCACGTCTGAGCCTTAGCATCAACTCACCTCTTCCTCACCCAAGACATTCTGTCACAGCCTCGCGGTGCTTTTTCCGTCATGCCACATCGCACTTTTCGACGGCCATGTCAGCACGAATGCCGCAGAAACGGGGCAGAGCCTGTGAGGCTTGCTCAAAGATCAAAATTCGGTGCGTGATCAGAACTCCCCGATCAATAGTGGTGCCTGCCACGCGCTGATGTGATCTGCATCAAGGTGTTCACTGGGCCAGGCATCAGAAGATGCAGCACCGCCATGTGAAAGATGCGTGCGGTTAAACAAGGAATGCGTTTTGAGCGCTCCAAAGCGTCAGAAAGACCGCGTCGCCGAACTTGAAGCACAAGTGGCACAGTTGACACGACTGCTTGAGAGTCAGCATATCCAAGTACCTTCCGTTTCTCCGGCTACGGCCTCACAAAGCAATCAAGATGAGTCACCTACACCCGCGCAGATGGCAAGCGCGTCTGGAACAGCGACGAAGAAGCGACGACTAGACTCCGATGGAGAAACGCCGCAATCGAGCGTATCTTCACCAGGTACCCAGAATCCAGACATCTCTGACATCCAACGACTTGATCGGGTACTCTCCTATGAGCTGCAACAGCGAACGCTGACTCGCTATGTCACCGAGATAGCACCACTCTTCCCAGCAGTGCCAGCGCCAGCGGATTGCTCGTTGCCCGAAATGAGAGCGAATCGACCCACGTTACTTATGGCTTTCTTATATGCTGCCAGTTGCGGCTTTCTTTCGCTTGATACTCAAGAAGATGTAGCTCAAATTCTCCTCAATACCCTCTCTGCAAGAGCAATCACGCACGGAGAGGAGACGCTTGAATTGATACAAGCTATTCAGATTGCCTGCTTGTGGTATCGCTCACCGAAACACCATCGTCGCGCAGCCGTATATCAGCTCATTGATATCGCTTCTGCCATGGCCAATGGTCTCAGCGCAGGCGGTCCACTCGCTCCTCCGGCCAAAGGACTGACTTTGGACGATTGCGCGGATACGGGATCGTACGAGTCGGTAGAGGGCTGGCGCGCCTGGCTTGGCTGCCATGTACTGTCTGTGTCTATGGCCATATTCATGAGGAAACCGATGACTGCAACTTGGACTGAACAGCACGAGCAAGCACGACTGATGTTGCAGTACTCGCCCTTGAACGCAGACTCTGATAGGTGGCTTGCCCAATATATCAGAGCCGAGCGACTATGCGAAGAGGTCTCTGAACAGGTGGACCTGACTAACACATCTTTCTATCGCGACGTAGCTGATCCTGCGACGAGGAATCGAGTGCAGACATGTCGAAACAAGATTCTGAATTGGAAAATGGGTGTTCCGCAAAGCTTACGCTCTCCGTTGATCATGTTCTGGGAACATGTGGCAACAGCGTATATGCATGAACCAGTTCTGCACACAGCAACCAATAAGGACAGCTTTACGGCACCTTATCTGGCAGAAAGGCTGTCACTGACAGACTTTCCGACTCCGGTCGTCACTCAAGATCACATCACAGCTGTGTACGAGCTCACTGCAGCTGTACAAGCCGTTCTGGACATCTTCATCAATTACGACACGAAATCGCTTGTTGCCTCTCCGAGCTTGGTGTATGCTGCCAGAGCTGCGTATGCTCTCTATGTTCTGGCAAAGCTGTACATCGCTGTTACTGCGCCAGGAAATACACTTGGCACAATTCTGGACGCCAGTATTCTCGCCCTGCCGGAGTACGCTGACAGGCTGGCGACATGTGGCTCACGGATCAGAGCGCTCGACGAGCGTTGCGGCCCAGCTCGAATTATGCATTGCGCACCGGCGATCAAGGACTGGTATATGAACTATACCCAATTCCTCTCCTCGAACGCTGCACTCGCCCAGTCGATCCAGGTCTCCAATGACAATGTGGCGGAGGCTCAGATGACTTTGCCGCCGCTGCAAGAGAACACCAACGCATTCAGCACCATTCCACCGGATTGGGAGAGTCTGCTCATGTTCGGCGATAGCTCCACTGACTATGGGTTCGATCAGCTGTTCGCTGAGCCTATTCCTCTGCAGCTTGAGCAGCCCATGTTTGCCAATACGATGCCTGCGGCGTTTGCGACGAAGTGATCCAACACGCGGCAAAATGTCAACGAAGCAGCGCATGAAGCTCCAGAATGGGGATCACATACCGACGATACGATCTTCTTGGGCGAGGAGGAGGACGTTCATCATCAGCGTACTGCATTGTCGAGGTCGGTGATCCACGAGCAAATCGACGGCTCGCCTCGCATGCCATCAATCCGAAAATTTGCGGTGATTGGGCACACTCGTCTTTGCCCAGCTCTGCCATAAGTCGCCCTCGGAAGACTTCGTGGCAACTATCGATGCGTCAGCTGCAGATAGGCCAATTCTTTCAATTGCCGTGTTAGCAGAGGCATGGACAAGCCCGCACCCTTAGATGTCTGCATCCTGCAAAATGGCGAATGTCCGATCAGGGCTCGACAAAAACTGTCAACGGAGTCTGAGCTGTGCCCATACTGAGGAGCGATGGAAGACCGCACGTCTGCGAAGTCGTCTGTGGACGAAGAAGTCTGCATTCTGCGCATGTAACCTCGTACATGTGCACTGTCGGAAATAGCTGGAGCAAGTGGGCTAAGGTTACCCGAAGTGGAACATTAGCCAAGCTCCATCGGCGCGATTGCTCGATCTTATCGAGTCATGGAAACCAGGATGACAGTCCCGCGCCCAGCGCCGCCCACGTGCAACTATCAGACTATCTATCTCAGTGCTATCTATTGATAAGCACGAAGCATCACGACGAACGGAATCGACAGCGATGACCATGAAAAGCTGCCGGACACATGGGTTCACATCATTCATCTGCAGTTGCGAAAACCTTTCGCCTGCACATCAGTCCATCGGTTGTGGGGTCTCGCGAAATGCAATTCTTTATAATAACTACTGTTCGTCCACATGAGTGACGCGATACAAGTGGCCAGCAGAGCCTGCTGCCAAATCCCTGTTTCGTCACCGGACGACCACGGGCGCTGCTCAGAATCAACACCTTTGCTTCAGGACTCAATATCCTCGGGTGGTCATCGCAATATGTCGTCCAGCATGGAGAAATTCAAGAATTCTAGCGTTTCGAAAACACTGGACAGGCTTGCAGTGCCTGCAGCGCCAGGCCTCACGACTGCCCAACTTATGTTGGCCAACGAAGATCTTCAACCCGTAGAGCCAGCGCGTCGTGTATGGACGCACAAGAACTTCATATTCTTCTGGATCAGCGACTCGTTCAACATCAGTATGCTATCCGGAGCCCAGCTCACCCCATTTCCATCTTGGTTCGCTGACAACGTATCAAATAGACACATGGATGATTTCGTCCTCGAGCATTGTCGATGGCTTGTCGTGGTGGCAGTCCTGGCTCTGCGTCTGGATCGGCTATGGAATTGCAGCTTGCTTCGTCGTGCTGACTGGCAGAATCGGAGCCAAATATCACCTGAGCTTTCCCGTCATCGCCCGGTCGTCTTTTGGGATTTGGGGCGGCCTGTGGCCTGTGCTCAATCGAGCAGTCATGGCATGCGTCTGGTATGGCGTCCAAGGTTGGATCGGCGGGACATGCGTCTATCTCATGATAAGAGCTATCTGGCCCAGCTGGGACGACTATGACACGACTGGGCGCAAAGACACGATGCCAGCATCGTCTGGAACCAACACCCGCGACTTTGTGAGCTACTTCTTATTCTGGGCTGGAAGTTTGCCATTCCTCTATCCGGCTGTGCACAAGATCCGTCACCTCTTCACTGTCAAGGCAATCGTCGTTCCTATCGCTGGAATCGCGTTCTTCATCTGGGCCGTGGTTCGAGCAGATGGACTGGGACCTATCGTCAAGCAAGGAAGTACTCTCCAAGGCAGCGCACTGGGTTGGGCTATCGTTAAAGGCATCATGAGCGCGATCGCGAACTTCGCAGCTCTCATCGTCAACGATCCGGACTTTGCTCGTTTCGCTCGAACACCGAAGGATGCACTCTGGTCTCAACTCTTCACCATCCCCGTCGGCTTTGCAGTCACCTCGTTTATCGGAATCATCGTCTCTTCTTCGTCGACCGTCATCTTCAACGTTGACGAGCCGGTGTGGTCGCCGCTCACTCTGCTGCAGATGTTCCTCGAAGAACCTGGTGTCTCAGGTGCGACTCGCTTTGGTGTCTTTGTCATTGCAGCAGCCTTCACCCTTGCACAACTCGGAACAAACATTGCTGCCAACAGCATTTCTGCCGGTACAGATTTGACCGCTCTGCTTCCGAGATGGATCAATATCAGACGTGGTTCTTACATTTGCGCTGTCGTCGGTTTGGCGATGTGTCCTTGGCACCTTCTGTCCTCGTCCAACAACTTCACGACCTACCTTTCGGCATACTCTGTGTTCCTGTCCTCCATTGCAGGAGTCATGTGCGCCGACTACTACATCGTTCGCAAGGGATACTTGCAGACCCGCGATCTCTACAGTGCTCGGAAAGGAAGTCCTTACTACTATCACTATGGAGTCAGTTGGCGAGCGTACACTGCTTACATTGCCGGCATTCTGCCCAACCTGGTTGGCTTCATTGGCGCAGTGGGCGTCACAGTACCTGTTGGTGCCACTTACTTGTACAACTTGAACTTCTTTGGCGGTTTCATTGTCGCTGCTTCGGTCTACTGGGCACTCTGCAAAATCAAGCCCATCCCAGCATGCAGCGACACTTGGCTCGAGGTGGATGATGACACGCAGAGTATTGCAGATGGAGATTCAGCAGCGAGTGATGATGCACCTTATGGAGAGACAGTCTTTGGTAAAGGCTCGTTTGATCTGCCCAAGGGAGCAGTATAGAACGCACTGATAGATAAAACAATAGAGTGATCGCAGAACGCAACAAAATTTCATGCAGAACAAGCTTGTTCCTTGCCCCCTCAAGCTTACAACAGCTCCGCTGCGCCGCCTAAACTATCGGAGATAGGCCAATGCAGATCGGCTGTACGTATATCTGCGATATCTGCTCAGTTAGAAGCATCACTTGCATCACAGCTGGCGTTCCAAAATGACGCCGGCTTTCTCTGCTATGTTCGCTCCATTGGATTCTACTCACAGCGTCATTGCAGTCGTGAGCTGTACCGTTCTGCTATGTCTGCTCTATCGTGCAAGTCGGGCCCCATGATCTTGACAGAACCTCAATGCTAACACTCTCGCAGCTTTCCATCAAAACGGACATACCCAAAATCGAAGGCCTCTTCGAGGTCCCAGGCGCCTTGCCCATCACAGGTCATCTCCTCGAACTCGGCGACGACCACGCCACTGTCTGTGAAGTGCGTATTCACCGCAGCTTCACCTCGAAACAGTGCTCCTAATGCACCTCCCAGAAGTGGTGGCGAAAATACAAGCAATCCGTCTTCCAGATCCGTCTAGGCAACACACGAGCAGTAGTCGTCAACAGCTTCGAAGACTGCAAAAGAATGCTAATCGGCCACCAATCCGCCCTCATCGATCGACCAAAACTCTACACTTTCCACGGCGTCATTTCTTCCACCCAAGGTTTCACGATCGGAAGTTCGCCTTGGGATGAGAGTTGTAAGAATAAACGAAAAGCTGCAGGACAGACTTTGGGAAGACCTGCTATGAAGACGTACTTGCCGATGTTTGTATGGCATAAATCCACTCGAAAGTCGCCGATTGCATTACTGATAGGTAGCAGGACCTCGAAACTTACAGTATTGTGCGAGATATAGTTCGGGATAATGAAGGCGGCGAAGCGTTTCTGAATATTCGTCCTTACTTGCAGCGATATGCATTGAATACGACTCTTACGTTGTGCTATGGCATTCGAATGGATAGCGTCTGGGATGATATGCTGCGAGAGATTCTGGAGGTGGGAAGTGCAATCAGTTTACTCAGGAGTGCTTCCGAGAATTATCAAGACTATATCCCAGCGCTGAGGTACTTGCCAAACAACGAGAAAAATCAGCGCAGCAAGTCTTTGCGTGATCGGCGGGATAAGTACCTCAATGAGCTACTGGTAGGTCCGTCAATGCGAGAACGGAGCATTGCTGACATTGTCCAACTAGGACAAAGTGCGTGAGATGATAGGACAGGGCGTCGACAAGCCATGTGTCTCGGCTGCAATATTGAAAGACGAAGAGACCAAGCTTACCGGCGTCGAAGTCTCATCTATTTGCCTGTCGCTTGTGTCCGGTGGCTTCGAGACTATCCCAGGCACCCTGACCAGCTGTCTTGCATCTCTATCCACGGTCGAGGGGCAGCAATTCCAGGACCGAGCGTACGAGGATATCAAACGTCATTACCCAGACATCCAAGATGCATGGACTCGGTCTCTCGAAGCGGAGGACGCGCCCTACGTCAACGTGAGTGGAGACCGTCGATCGAATGAAGCGTTCGCTGACACGAGTTACAGGCGATAGTCAAAGAAGCAGGCAGATACTACACCGTTTCATCTATGAGTTTGCCGCGAAAGGCAGCCGCAGATATTGAATGGGAAGGCGCGATCATTCCAAAAGGCACCATGGTCCTCATCAACGCTCAGGCTGGCAACCACGACGTTGAACACTTCGGGCCAGATGCAGCAACATTTGATCCGGAGCGATGGCTTGAAGAGACATCGCCTCCACGCGAGCGACACTCGAGTGGCTTACAGCATTTGTCTTTTGGCGCCGGGTCTCGCGCTTGCTCGGGACAGTACATTGCCAGCAGGTAAGTCAAATTCTCCCGAGGACATCGTATCGCTTCGCGCGCTTAACTTGGCTTGGTAGACTGCTCTATACCGCGCTTGTGCGTATCATCACGAGCTTCAAGATTGTAGCCTCCACAGAAGAGCCGCCTAACACCGATTATGTGGATTATAACCTGCTTAAATCTGCGCTGGTCGCGATTCCGCGTGACTTCAAAGTGCAGTTGATTCCAAGAGATCCACAAACATTAGCGGAGTGCATGAAGCAGGCCGAGGAGAGAACCCAAAGCGCCTATGCCTGAGGACATTGGGGGATCATCAGACACGTTGTGCGCCGATTCTGGCCTAGCTAGCACTACAGTGTCCATAGCTGCTCGCATGTACTCCAGGCCTGTTGCATACCTCACCAGATCTGCTTTGCTTCATGGCAAGTCAATTAGAAATGTGACATGAAAAGCCGCGTCCTCTTAGCAGAGCCAGGAAAGTCAGCAGAAGGTGCTAGGTAGATCGTACACGGAATTCTTCTGGGCTCCTGTGGGAGCTTTTGTTGATTTTGTCAGTCGCTTTGGCTCTAGGTTCACTCTGGGCTGTGATCGCCGAGTCTGCTTGAAACGCGGAGGCTTGACCAACCGTGGCGAGGCATGAATGTTGTTGTTGCATTCCTCTCCTTGTTCAGATGGGAGATTGCAATCGATGGTATCATCGTCTGGTCGCACTGTATTTGGATGTGCAATTATTGAGGTTCTGCCACCGAAGTCGGGAGAAGAAGTTGAATCAGAGCAAGCTGTCAAAGCGTGAGCCGCGACTGTTGAGCCTCCTGCAGTGACCCTATCGGAGCGTAAATGGTCAGGGGCAACGTGTGGAAGCTGATCATAGCGGATCGAGGCATCCGCGTTCAGCAAGCGCCCCACATTGGCATTGCTGTTGAAAACCGACGACTCGCTGTCTGAGGCCCGGGTTCCAGTAATAGCTCGACGCCAGAATGCATCGTCAAGCTCATTGCTTTGGCCAGAAGCTCGTGTGGTGATGTCGTTCGTATCAACGATCGAGTGAAGTATCTGTGGCGCGGGAGCTGCGTTCGCATTGGTATTTACGAGGTCGTCACAATCAAACAGCATCTGCTGTGGCCTCTCATTTCTGTGTGATATCTTGCGGACGACGCCCGACGAGGCCACAACCGGTTTCGAGCCTCCGACCCAGTGCTGATGAGGTTCCAAACTCAGTGCCGGTTGGAAGAGACGGAAGGTGGGCGATAGCACCGCTTTCATTGATGTTCGGGTTGGCATATCGGGCTCGGCATATATCGACTTCGGCGACCAATCTTTCTCGTCTGACCGCGAGCGCAATTCTTCCACACCACCGTCTTCAAAGTCATGTGAAGGAGATTCTGCCGGTCGTAATGGTGGCCGTGAAGTCGAGGGCACGCCCTCTGGAGCCATCGTTCCTTGGTCTGCCACAACCGAGTGTTTAGGTTCTTCCCAACGCTCTTTCCAGTTTGTGTCATCAAAAGTCATATACGGAACAACTGGTGCGACTTGGCGTGCTACCCTCAGTGACTGCTCATCGCTTATCTGCATAGATGGTGGATACTGTGCACTAGTAGCTGCTGCAATTCCTTCGCTCTGGCTCCATTCCGCTGGTGCGTAAGCGCGTTGCTCGTCGATAGCTGTGGCAATCTCAGGACTTCCAAGGCCGAAAATTTCCATTTCATTGAGAAAGCTCGCGTCCTCTTCGTCCATGAGCATGGGTTCTTCAGAAAGCGGCCCAAACTCTGTGGACAAATGGCGCAAGCTCGTATTGACAGGAGTGTGGACCGTTCGAGAGCGCTGAGTCTGACTCGCGAATGCATCTGTGCCAATCTTTATGTGGATATCGTGATTCTGTATGGCACCACTCATCATGGGCTCGAAGAGGTGCTGTTGGTGCTGGAAGGGAGGCGTGACTGGCTTGTGGCGGGCCACCTGGACATGATGGCGAGGTCTCTTCACCTTGCGTCGCTTTCCGACCCTCTCACTGTCCCGGTTCTTGGGAAACTTCATCCTTAGTGGTCTCGCAGCGGCGAGTCCGAGCCAATCTCTGCGAGAAAGCAAGTGGTGGCGGCTGGCACGAAGCCGGCGGGCCTCATCTGTCATATCAGCTGCCAGCGCTCCTGCCAGTCCCTCGGGATCTTCAGGTGTAACGCTGTCGCGTAGTCTCTTTCGCGTGATCAAACGCGTCCTGTTTGTTGTCGTATGCTGGTTAGAAGTGTTGCTGTATCGGTCGGCGGCTGACTGCTGAGAACCGGCAGACACTGAGCCACGGCCGCTTTCACCTACCCCTTCGTCTCGCCGCTGGTGTTCGGCATTGTCTTTCGCTGACATAGCCTGGCGAATGAAGTCTGGCACCGCGTGGGGCGAATGCGCTGCTCCACTGGCGCGTACTTTGGCAAAGTGCGCCTTCTGCTTCTGTAGGACCGCACTCTTCTTCGTATTTGACGCGTAACGGCGACGCGTTCCACCAGTCCAATCCATATTGGCGGTGTCAGGCTTGTGGAGTAGTGGAGGGTGGAACGCGTGAGCGGAAAGCTGCAGCGGCGGAAGCCAAGACTCAAGCGAGGGGCAGAGTCATCAACACCGCTCCAACCTCACGTCCTCTTCGTGAACATCACCCACGCCACGCCTTCAAATGCAGATAATGGCATCTTTCGGTGCAAGAAGCAGCCACTCTGCAGTCTCAGACTCAGACCACTCACTCTCCACGTGTGCGGTGTATCAAGCAGCATAGGAGGCTCGAGGCGTCATCACCGATACCTATTCCTTTTCGACATCATGCACCTTCGGTCACCGCAGTGACGTGGGTAATGCGTTCCTGATGGGTGGCTCTGCGAGTGAGTGAGGGATTTGGAGATCTTGACGCTACGCGCAGGGGACATTATGCGATGGCAGCCCGAATACGCTGTCCGGCTGTACTCTCCGCGCATTGCACCTTCGTACATGCATGTGAGAGACGTGGTTCTTGAAGATGAACGACCGAACAGAAGATTCCACACGCCGTGGTTGGACGCTATCGGAACATCGTCCGAGATCCATGCTCGGCGGATGAGCCTACGACTCACGCTTTGCATTCGTAGCTGTGCTGTGGCATCAACACGCTTGGGGCCTCCCGAATGAAGCTTCCCCGACAACATTCATTTGTGCCATTGAGCAATTACATGGCCTCTCGAGACGCACAATGAGGTCACCCAGCTATGTTCGACAATGCCGGATGACAGCTACGCGCGCTATCTTTCGCATAGCAGATATTCGGCTGCGTTGGCGGACAGGCAACGGGATGCCGACATCTGTGGTTGAGCACAGACGGTGAATGCAGCGCCGCCGCATGTGACGCTGTAATCTGCGATACATTTGTGGTCGCTGATTGGTATCAGCAGCCGAACGCAGAAGCAGAGCTTCAAGAACAGAAGAGAGACGCCTGCTACGTCGGCAAGAGCACGCTACAGTTGACGTCTTTGCGTGCATTAAGCTCGACGCGGCTCTGCTCACATGGTCAACGCTATCCACTCTTGCATGTGCCAGAGGGCGAAGATGGGTGGCGCCATAACGCTAGAGAGGCGAGTCGAGTGGCATCGTCAATTGCCGCGGGCACATCGATCTCACACATCAAGCCGCTACATATCGACCCTCAGGTAGGCATCAAGTGGCGAGGCGTGGAAATCAGAATTGAGCGTCTCGGGAGCGGTAATTTCTTTGCAAACTCGAAAGCTCTCAACAGTTGCAAGGTCGCCAAGCATCCTGGTGGAGAGTGATGTCATCCGACCGGCAGCATATGCATGGACCCATGCAGGCACGAATAGGGCCGCGCGCTGACTTTTCGTTGGCACCGTTGAAATCCCTCGGACTGCAACGGCGATAGGGACGAATGATAAAACCAAAACACTCGCACGCAACAGCGTGCTTTATTGGTAGGGCACCTCCTGCTCGGTCTAAAACCTAGTTGACATGGCCCGAGCTGGTTCCGCCCTGCGCGCCGGCATGTCAGCTTCCAGAGAACCTCTTATGCGGCAACCAGCTGAACGACTAGTAAATACGGACGTCTGAGAATTTCGTAGCGGACCCACAGCGCATGGATCGAGGAGTTTGACTGCTTCGGTATCATCCTCGATGAGCAGCACGTCGGTGGCATAGCCCGCATCCGTCCGCGTTTTATATATCTCCCAGACCTCTCCCGACAACCGTTCGACATTCTCCACGCACCATCCCACAGTCTCCATATTTCTACAGTGTTCGTCGAGGGGTTTATATCGGAGCAACACTTGTCTCCTCTCTTCTTCGTCACTTCCTTCCAAACAACATCTTGGACAGCAATCGAGAACACTGAACCACAATCATCATGTCTGGCGCCCCTACAGTCACCCTGCCTAGCAGGCCAAGCAGGACCGTTCGCCGTGTGAGCTCTTCTGATGTTACGCTCAATGCACTTAACCTCCGGTCACCCACCGTGGTGGTGCCGCCCAAGCATTTGATGGCCCCTTCGAACGCTCAGGAGACAGCTTTAGCATTCGAACTGGCGAGGCACGAAATTGAGGATGCCGCTTCGCCACTTTCAGGGCCTTCTACGCCACCAGAGACCACCGTCACTGACAAATTTGCCTTTGCATTCGATATCGATGGAGTGCTTATCCGTGGCGGTCGACCTATCCCGGAGGCCATCGAAGCGATGCAAGTCCTGAACGGGAAAAACGAATATGGTATCAAGATTCCATATATCTTCGTAACCAACGGCGGAGGCAAGACTGAGCAAGAACGCTGTATTCAACTAAGCCAGCAGCTCGAACTTGAGGTTTCACCAGGCCAATTCATCTGCGGCCACACGCCAATGCGGGAGATGGCCGAGAAGTACAACACTGTCCTTGTTGTTGGCGGTGAGGGCGAGAAGTGCAGGCAGGTCGCCGAGGGCTACGGATTCAAGGACGTAGTGACACCCGGGGACATCATCAAAGACAACCCAGATACGACACCATTCCGCAAGTTGACTGAGGAAGAGTACAACAACTCAAGAGCCCGCAACTTTGCCGAAGTCAAGATCGAAGCCATCTTCGTGTTTGCCGACTCTCGCGATTGGGCTGGTGACCAGCAAATTATTCTGGACCTTCTCATGTCCAAGGGTGGCTACCTTGGCACTCGATCCGAGACTTTCGATGAGGGCCCGCCAGTCTTTTTCTCCCACAACGATGTGATTTGGTCAGCAAGCCACGACTTGACTCGTCTTGGAATGGGTGCACTTCGACTTTCTCTCGAGGCTATGTTCAAGGCTGTAACTGGCAAGGAGCTCAAGACCACTGCTTTCGGCAAACCACAAGGAGGCACCTTCGAATTCGCCACACGCCTTCTTCAACAATGGCGGAGAGACACCCATGGTATCGATGCCGCACCGGAAACTGTCTACTTCGTGGGCGACACTCCTGAATCAGATATCCGAGGCACCAATGAGTACAACAAGAACTCCGCGAATGAGTGGTATTCAATCCTGGTCGAAACCGGTGTATACCAACCAGGCACAAAACCTCGCTTCGTCCCCAGAGCTACTGTAAACACTGTACTTGACGCCGTGAATCACGGCATCGACCGCGAGAACAAGCGACAACAGAAGGTGCTGATGAAGGATGCACTGAACATCAGCGAGCTCAAACTCAACGGCTCTGCAGTACAGGATCCAACTCCTGCTGCTGTAAACAAGGAGAACCCTTTTGAGGCTGCTGTTGCCGCATAGGTGCAGAACAACCACCTTCTTTCTATTCTTCTCACTGGCATAGGGTTTGGGGCGCTGGGCATTGCAATGGCGTTTGGGATGAGTTCATGAAGAAACTATGATACCACTAGCATGCTTGATTGCGTGAGGACGAGAAAACTAGATTTAGATTACCATTCTGCTGGCTGGCTGGCGGATATATCTTAGAGAGATATAGAACAGACGACCTAGAAATGAAAATGATAGAAGCCATCTTCGCTGAATGCACTTCGCCACCTATTGTCAAAATCCCGTCTTCAAGTACGAAAGAACATGGTGGTGTCTGAGATGTGCTCGTGCCGAACTTCCTGCGCTCAATGGCCGCTCGGGTATCTGCAACTCCTCACAACGTTGGGGATGTCATCTCGGACGCTTCCCTAACCTCCACTGAGCGACTTCGTGGCTCCTTGGTTCCTTAGCAGGCTGCCGTCCTTCCGATCTCCACATGCGCTCTCTGCCGTCACCCAATACATCTCCACAACCCACAACAACAGAAGAACACATGTCTTCATCGTTGCATGGAAACATCTCCGGCTTAAGCACCCTCCCCTGCAGCGGACCCACAAGACCCTACCCACGGGTTTCAAGGGTCCCACCGCTCTCCCACGCCGCCGTCGCTCCAACCGGAGAACCTGGTCCATTGGTAACGAGGCATTTTCACATGCTCGACACGCCAAAACACGAGCTCTTCGGAAGAGGCGGGGAATCTCGGAGCAGCTTCCTCGCAACAAGGTGTCATCCTACATAGAAGGCCAGTCGACAGCAAAGAGAGCAATATTGATCGAGTAATGGACAATGGCAGCAGTACCCACCAGAGCTCTCCCATCACCCTGTTGCATTGCATGTCTCCAATAATGGAGGCGCAGGCCATGCAGCGGAACTACGCTACAAGAAGTATACGCCCATCGATCGACGTTCTGGTTGCCAATTGACCCGCCCACAACGAAAAATATCCGAGGAAGTAGCTCCTGCTGCTGCACGTGAGAAAAACATACTCTGATACATGCACGCAAGTACATACGCATGTCTTCCAGTCTCAGCCCAGCCACGGTCGGCATCTTCGATGAGGTGAAGATGAACACATCTCACATCGGACCCAGCAACTCGTCATAGACCGGCATTACAACGGTGTAGCAACGGCCAAAAAAGAAAACGCGCAATAGGCTTGCGCAACAAGACCGTCAGCATCCAGGAACATCGCTCAGCAAACAAGAAGACACAACCGAAGGAGGTCAAGAAAAGCTTTTTTACAGGCAAGTCCGGAAACAGCATGTGATGCGACCACGTTAGTAGTAATGGTCAGCCAAGCAAGTGCATACAGTAGCAGCACGGTCAAAGGCGCACGGCAGCATCAGGTACGTACTTCGTCACAGTAGTAGTCAGCATCCCACAAGCGCGCGTGGCGACAGCAAGAAGTAAAACCACCAGCTCGTCAACGCGCAGTGCATTGCCGAGACAAATCGTTTCGAAGTACGTACCTCCATCCTTCTCGTGCCGCACATGCACGAAGCAAGTCAGCCACACCTTATTGCAGCTACCATCGTAGGCGGTAACTGCTTCGAGCGGATCATGACAGCTGAATGAACGCTCTCTGACCGCTTCTTTGTCGAATGCCCCGGCTATATTGACTCAGTATCGACGTAACGTGCAGTAGGCGTGAGTCGGAGGGTGACAAAAGACGAAAAGCAAGCATGAGGAATATGAGATGAGAATCTCGATCATGAGGATTACACACAGGCTCAGTATCCGCTCTGTGACCTGTTCTACAATATGGCTATCACTTTTGACCTAGCACGCTCAATGCTTGACGCCATATGCGGCGCCGGAGCTCCACGCAGTGAGTGCTCTTTTCGCACTTCTCACACTCATTCCAAGCTGGAATATTATCATGGGCTAGGTAGCGAAGCCAGCGCCAATATCTCAAAAATGTACAATCGCTTCCTGCGCGTTGCCTCGCAGCTTTGGTAGTCTCAAAGATGCACGAATGGAGGATGAGCCTGCTAAGTCCTCCATCTCGTCGCAGCATTACTATTGGCCTCCCGAGCGGCCAAAGCTGCTAGGTTCGCACCTGTTCCACTCCCCATGCGTTGTTGCGTTGCAGCTGCCGGGGTTGCGCTATTGATTGGAGCGCCGTTGCTCGATCGCTTCGTGCCTATGCCAGGTCCATTGACGGTGCTTGTCCTTCGAATATGATCCGATGTCTGAACCCGCTTCGACGGGGACCCCAGAGTGGGCTGTGTCAACGAGACACCACTTCGGACAGCGGTCTGAGGCGTCTCCGGCAGTGGTCGCGATCTGTCCCTGGCTGGTGTGGCCGCTACTTGCTGTTGCGCGAATGCGTTAGCCGCGCTTCCATTCACTCCAGCAGTCGTATGCGTTCGTTTGACAGGGCTTGCAACACCGCTTCCGTTCGTCGTCGAGCCGGCAGGAACGGCAGCAGTAGATCGAACCCTCGCCGCGCGGCGTGCCTCCTCTGGGATTCCAGGTCGCTGATTCATCGCTTGGTTTGTGATGAAAGGATGGTTGATCGCCTCCTGTGGTTTCAGTCTTCGGTCCGGATCCCAACGTAGACAACGCGTAATAAAGTCCAAGAAAGCTTCGTCGTCCGACTTCAGCGCCTGAGACAGAGTCTTCGAGCTTGGCCGCCTTCGTCTGCCCTTGCTGCTAACAGTGACACGAGGCTTGCCCACCGAGTCGAAGAACAATTTCTTTCTCGTACATTTGTCGACGAGATGCCGATCAGGTGGTCCGAAGATCTCCATGATGCACGCCAGCTGCTCTTGCTCATTCTCGCCAGGAAACAGCGGATATCCAGTCCATAATTCGGCCAGGATACAGCCAAGGGACCACATGTCGATGCCAAGTCCATAACTGCTGCCCAGAATGACTTCAGGGCTGCGGTAGAAACGTGACTGAATGTAGGTGTATACCTTTTCTTCTTCCTTACAGCTGCTGCCAAAATCGATGACACGACAATCGGCCTTTCTCGCTTCGCAGAGGAGGATGTTCTCTGGCTTGAGATCACAGTGGATGATGCGTTTGTTTTGCAGCAGTACCAGGCATGCGAGCAGCTGTCGCGCGAAACGGCGGATGAGCGGCAGAGAGAACCCCACAAAGTTATGTGCTCGAATGAGCTCATAAAGGTTGATGCTCAGACATGGCGTGACGATGCAAAGATGCGATCGGAAGTAGAATGATGATGTGATCGAGAGGGTAGCATGTGCGCCATCGGGATCCTAACAATGTCAGCAATATGTCTGGAACAGTGTGAATGACTTCGCTTACCCATTCCCTCAGCCGGCCGAGGATGCTAACCTCGACAAGGGCCTGCTGATGGAATCGCTTCTTATTTCGAATGATTTTGATGGCAACAATGCCTCCTTCCTTGTGGTCGACGCAGCGCACAACTTGGCCGAAGCTGCCCTTACCGAGCACATCCACCACTTCGTATCGATATGCCAAATGATCGCCAGTCACAATATTGTAGTCGCCACGCTCATCATCGTAGCCATAATTGCCAAACTTGTCTTTGTCGCTGGAGGAAAGCGACGGTGAAGGTGTGAGGCTCCCGACAATCTTGCGTGCGGACTTTGTGCCTGTGAAATAGACTCCTTCCTTTTCGTAATCCATGATCTCGCCACGCTCAAAAATGTTGAGCGTGCAGTTCCGATCGTGCAATACACGCTCCGGTGACATGGGCGAGCGCGCTACCGCTCTCTTCTGCAGCTCTTCGGTCTCACGAGCCGCAGTGTCAACATCACGTCTCTTCTGTGAGAGTCGACGCATCTCCTCATCAGCCGCAAGATCATCCTTGTCCTTGACGATGGCCGACAATGTGGGCACAGACGCCGTCCTCCGGCCGGTGTTCGATGTTGCTGTCTTTGAGATATTTGAGAACTTGGCAGCGTTGATGCTCCAGCTCGTAGATCGAATGGATCCCGTGACCGGTTGCGGCTGCTCATTGTGCTGGCTCTTGGTCTTCGGCATCGATGGAATGTCACTCAAGTCTGAGCTTCCAGCCATATTCGAACCGACACTGAGAGACGTGGCTGCTGACTTTCGGCGAATGGAGTCCAGGCTTGGTCGAGAATGGTTCACCGGCACAGCAGGTAGATCGCCGGTCCAAGTAGCACTCGCGGGTAATTTTGGTGGCGGCATCTCGCTCTGGCGTTTCTGAAGCTTGCCCAAGACCTTCTCTTTCTCATGAGAGCCTCCATCTTGTGGGCTTGATTTGAGGTCCAATTGATTGCTACCCTTGCTGTTGTTCCTTCGCCAACCAAGAGACAGTTTTCGTCGCAAGCCGCCACCAGAACCCTCTTTCTTCGTTTCTGTCACTGGAGTCTCCACAGTCGGACTCTCATACGAGGATGGGGTCTCTGCAGTCTTATACGATGCATCAGTTCCACTTCGGCTCGGCCTAGGACCCAAAGGTTTCTGCTGCATAGTATCTTGCACTTGGTAATTCTGGAACTTTCCCAAGCTGAAATCGCCCGCGTTGAAGTCGCCGCTGGGCCTCGTACGGTGTGCCCTAATGAACTCGCTTGATCCCTTGGGCAAGGACCCAGAAGAGAAAGGCGTAATGGCAGTCCGCTGCTTGGAAGTAGGGATAGGAACGCCGTGGCCATTGCCGATGACATCGGCGTCAGTGTCGTCGAAAAATGCCGTATTGTCTTCGAACTGAGTCATGTCGCGAAGTGTGAAGTGAGAGGTCGAGCTGCGGATGGCCTTTTGTTTGGCGAACTCCTCGTCCTGGCGACGATAGAATGTCGCTTTGCTGGCTGTCATTGGAGTGGAAGGCGTTTTAGTGACACGCTTGGGTTCAGGCGTTTGGTTGACAGTCAAACTGCTTTGAGCACCCAACTCTTGGCTTTTTCTGGCAGAAGCAGCTGTCTTCTGCTTAGTTGGGTCATTGAGCGGCGTGAGATTCAAAGGTGGTAAGCGCAAGGGCTGCAAATTGCCATTCTTCCGTCCCCCGTTGTCGGCCAGAGGCAGCTGTTGTCGCGAAGATCTTGTGGCAACTGAGGTGTTAGCGGCTTTCTCGATATCATCGAAGGTGTTCATCCGCTGGTGCACCCGGGACAATTCGCTCGACTGCTTCCGACGAGAGTCTGTGTCCTGTGTCTGACTTTTAGTTGTCTGATGGCCTTCTGCCTCAGCCAAAGTGCTCTCGTTCTTGTTGAGCGAGCTTGACTGTGATGTTCTGGCATAATTCGTGAAAAATTGCTGGTCAGTCTCTTTCGGACTTTCGAATGCCTTGGGAATCGCGGGGACAGGTGGCACAGTATCTTCTTCGTCTCCATACTGCGCAGTGCTAGAATGCACAACACGTGGCTTGGGAGTCGGCAGGCGGGATGTAGATCCGGATGAGTTATTGAGAGAAGCGTAGCTGGACTTTGCGCTCAAACTGACCCCTCCTCCGTGTCCATATTTGTTGTCGGGCGAAGCTCTCGCCGAAGTTGGCGTGGCCACATTTGTTTTCCGCGGGATGAGACTGGGACTCTGCTGGACGAGGCGAGGCAGCTCGGGCTTTGATAGTCGATGTTCGTCAAAGGGAGGTGGTGGAGGGAGATCCTTGGAGGTATGGTTTGGCAAAGGCGGTGCTTGCATCATCGACAGTCTTTTGAGGCGCCTTGCATCTGTTGGGCTGATGGTCCTTGCCCCAAGGCCGGAAGCTCTACCAGACGCTGTCGACTGACGCTTGCCCGAGGAAGAGGGCGTGTGTGATCGGTTCGCCTGGCCTTTGGATACTGGGCGGACGGGAGTGTTGTCGGGAAATGGATCATGCTCCCGGTATTGCCGCGGTGGTGGCTGCAGGCTCTTGACCTTGTTGGCACGAGCCTGAGTGGTAGCAGTCAAGACGCGAGGCAGCTCTGCACCACCAGAAGCGGGAGTTTGCATCGATGTGCGCCGTGAATTCTTGCTGAGGCTACTGGTCCTGGTCAAATTTGATCGCAGGTTGGAGTCGGTCACAGAAGTTGGCAGCGGTTGACTGGCTTTCCTCCCTTCCATCATCGAAGCGATGACCCCTGGTCCGAGCGACTTCCGTGGCGGTCTTGTCGAGGATGCTGTGGGTGGTAAGGGTCCAGAGGGAGGAGGTCCCTGAGGTGCGGTGCTCTGACGCCTGGTGCGCAAAGACAGCCCACCCGGGTCTCTAGTTGTAGACTGTCCAGCGGATTGCTTGCCACCAACCACTGCACTTAATCTTCGACGCAAACTCCCTTCTCTTCTTAAGCCAATTTCCTCTCGTGGTTGCATCCTCGGCGTGCCACTCTCCATGGTACTTTCGGTAGCCGACATGGCAGAATCTCTCGCAAGATTGCTTCTGCTTGGTTCTCGAGGTAGCGTTCTGGTAGCTCCTACAGCGGGAAAGTCGCTCAAGAGCGGCTCATTTCCGTCATAGTTAGCAATAGACGTCTGCAAATCATCGAAATTGAGCGTGGGCATGAAGTCGTGACCGATGAGGGTGCTTTGGTTGGAGCGGTTCGAGGAAGGTCGATCGGAACTGAAGCGAGGCGCATCGCCGTTCTTGCTGCTGAAGTAGGGCTCGGAGGTCGCTTGCGGGAGGAAGGTACGTGATCCGTTGCTGGACCCGGTCATGGAAGTGACGCTGGAGTTGCTGCCACTGAACACCCTAATACCATCATCAGCTGAGAACTACGAGCATGCCGCACGTCTGACGGAAGAGACACGCACCTCTTGCCTGGGCTTCCCGGATACTCTCTTGGCCCGCTGGGCACACGAGCATTATCCCGCAACGTGCTCCTCCGGCGATGCGTGAAGTTCGATTTCTGCTCTGCCTGCGCTCTCGACGCAGATGCCGGGATGCTGGGCTTGCGAAAGGTCTCGTTGCTAGACTCGTCGCCCGTGGTCCTTTGGAATTTGCGGCGGACTAGCGACTCGGCTGGTTCATCGTCAGTGGCGGCGTCAGAGGTGTGGTGCTGTTCTCCCTCACACTCAGTGCCCGAGTCGTCGGGCTGGACATTTCGCTGCTGGTCGAGGTACGAGCCCGTCCGCACCCTGGGCTGGTAACGCGTAGCCACATCCATGGCGAAGCTGCAGCGTGCACAGCGGTCGTGAACGGCAATGTGCGTGCGCTACGCGGCGGGAACGTCGGCGGTGGTTCGTAGAAGCCGCGTGCTCGAGGCAGGTGGCTGTTGTAGGGGCGTTTGTCGTGTCGTCGTGTCGTGTATGGATATGGTGTTATGGCACAACTACTTCCTCCCTCTTGCTTGCTCGACTCTGCTACCGCGGGCCGTCATTCGAGGGCAGCTGCATCGTGGTGCCCGCACTCAATGCATCGTCCGCCTGGTGTCGCAGGCTCGGCGTCGGCGGCGAGGGACGTTGGCAGACGGTCGATGGCGGCCGTTGCTGAGCCAGTTCTGCTGGCGGTGGAGGTGGAGGCAAGAAGTAGAGGTCCCCTGGATATGCACGACAGACAGCACCGAGTGCCGATGGCCCACCGCCGATCAATGCTCTGCTCTGCTCTGCGCCCTCGACGACTCCTGTGCGGGCATGCAGAAGCACGTATTCAGAACGTCGTTGCTGTATGCGGCGATAGAGTGGTGCAGCGACGCCCGCTCGCTTAGGGCGCTCAGAGTTGCTGCTCACGCGGCTGGGCTGGTCCCCTTGCTAGCAGCCACCTTCTTCGCGTGAACCAAACAACCCGTCTCATCGCTCTCCTTTACGCGACAGGAGCCTGATGCGCCGCTGCCCAGCGCGACGGCGACGACGTACGACTCGCGCGCGAGGGGCCACACGGCCAGCTGCAGCTGTCTGGCGCGCCCTCCTGCACGCCCGCTGCTGCCATCACCGCGCGCCCTGCGCCGTTCGCCGTCCTCGCCGGTGAGACAGGCGGTTGTCCGCCGCGACAGAAGCTCTGCTGTTCCTGAACGCCCCACTTTAATCGTAGGGAATCTTCGCTATCTGTCTGCTGTCGTAGCACCACCACACATGTCGCGCTGCATCTGGCTCGATCACCTCCCGCAACGCCTGTAGCCACCTCGCTGAGCGGCAGCCGTGCAGCACCATGCCTCGCGACCCGCTCATTGGGCTCGTGGGCAAGCCGTCGAGCGGAAAGTCGACCACGCTCAACTCGTTGACAGACACCACAGCCAAAGTGGGTGCGCCTCGACTTCGATGGTCCATGTCCGAAGCCCGCATGTTGATCGCACCTGACAGGCAACTTTCCTTTCACTACCATAGACCCAAACCGAGCCGTCGGCTACTTACACATCCAATGCGCCTGCTCGCGGACATCAATCCCCGGCAATAGCCCGTCTTCACCAGATCAGCCTCCGCCGCTGTCTCTGCGATGCAAGCCCAATTACGGCGCATGCCAGCAGGGCACGCGGAGTGTGCCCATTGAGCTGCTCGACGTGGCCGGCCTTGTCCCTGGAGCCCACGAAGGCAAAGGGCTGGGCAACAAGTTTCTCGATGATCTGCGCCACGCAGATGCACTGATTCACGTTGTCGATGTGAGTGGGACGACTGATGCCGAAGGCAAAGCAACGAGAGGATACGACCCATCGCAAGACATTGCATGGTTGCGCTCCGAAATTGTGAATTGTAAGTTCGTGTGACAGCGGAGCTTCTATGTTCAGTGCCTAAGCGCTGCACAGACGTTGTCCTAGAGTCATTGCCAGAGACACATGCTGATCTCGAGCACCAGGGGTCTTGGGCAACCTTATGTCCAGGTGGGGCTCAATCAAGCGTCGGCATCTGGCTGTGAAAGCGACTGCTGTCGAGACGTTGCAGAACCAGTTTTCCGGGTATGGCTCCACCGCAGCGGTGGTTGCGCGTACACTGGATAAAATGAACCTCAAAATCCCTCTTCAAGATTGGGACGATGACACTATCAAGCAGGTCGTGGAGGCTTTCATCGACGAGAAATTCCCGACGGTGTTGGCCTTGAATAAGATCGATCACCCAGATGCTGACAAGAACATTTCGAAAATCGCAAAAGCGCAACCAGCAGATCGTATCGTCCTTTGCAGCGCCATTTCTGAAGTATTTCTGCGCCGTCTCGTCAAACAAGGCTTCGTCCGCTACATACCTGGGTCAGAGTTCATCGACACAAGAGAAGATCTGACAGAAGCCGGCGGAGAAGATGGAGGCGGCCTGAAAGAACTTGATGACAAGCTAAAGCAGCGCATCGAGAATATGAAGGATATGGTATTGTATCGGTTTGGCTCGACAGGGGTGAACCAAGTCTTGTCCCGTGCGGCCGACGTTCTCGGTCTCACGCCCGTGTTTCCAGTGAAGAACATAGGAACGTTCGGAACAGGCGAAGCTGGTACGGCAGGAGGTGATCGAGCTGCCGTGTTTCGCGACTGCGTACTGGTCAAGAAGAACACAACAGTCGGCGACGTCTATCGAAAGATCATGGGTGATGCACCGATGGCCTATGTCGAGACTGTGGGAGGCGTGAGAGTCAGCGAGTCTGACATAGTTGCGCCGGGCCAAAACGATGTAAGTGTTGTCATTGCTCATTTCTAGAAATGCAGAAACTGACCCTCCTACAGATCCTTTCTTTCAAGGTCGGCCGGGCTTAGTATAGTCAATGAGCCGCTACAGCTTGAGACATTATCTCGAAGCCGATTACGATCGGCTCCGTATTGGATAAATTTGCTATCAATGGTGAGACCAGAACTACTCCTGTCTTGCGTCCTCTTGACATAATCTCACCGCGATCGCACAAAAGCTCCAGCCTGCCACCTTTGACCTTGATCCTGTCCAGACCACAGCGTTTTCTCACCTGGAAGCAGGCCTTCCCTTCAATTCGATTATACATTTCCTTTACTTTCGAACGCAACCATGACCTTGCCCACAACCACAGCCTCCTGGACCGCGATCGACCAACCTCGTAAACGCTCGATATTGGAGCCACCACTCGCTCCAATTGCAGTCTGCTACGCAACGTCCGCGAATGCCCATATTTCGATGTCGCTTGCGCCACGCAGCAATGCAGCGATTCTGATACGCCCTCTTATCCTGCCGACTCCGCCTACATCTCCAACAACTTTGACTCCGCCCGTGCCAGCTCATGTGCCCACAAGACCACTCTGCTGTATTTTGGACCAGCAACACGAAAACCCATCAGGGGCTCTCTCGCGTCAACGAACACTTCCTCACGAACCATTTGTGGGGTCTGGTACGCCAGAGTATGTTAGCAATGTCCGCAAACTCGACACTCTGCCAATGTTCCGATTCTCTGATCTGTGTAACGTACACGAGAGCGCCATCGCTCAAAGCTACGTGATCGATCGACTGCATACGCCTGGACTTGCACCCTATTCGATCGCGGCCATGCTGAATGAGCCAGAATCTCCAGATCCTCCTACGGCCGATGCTGGTATGAGCAAACAGGAATTCAGTGACGGGTCTCAGCGCGATGATGGGGCTGAAATGGGTGTTCGGTCCCTGAGTGTGCTACCTACGCCAACTCACCAGCTAGTGCCATCGACCAGTCTCGCGCATGTGAAAATGCCAAAGGGAAAACGCACTCACTTAGGAAATGGAAATGATAACTCTGCAGGCGCTGGAGGGCAAGAACGGAACATAATTGTGGAAGAGATGAGTATCTCTGCTCGCGGGCAACTACTCCATGGCACTGAGGATGGATATGAGTCCGATCGCAAAGTGTGAGGAGAAGACATTGTTTGGAGTATTGGTCGTTGGAGGGTCGAGTCTTGTAGCTTGTCACGTTTCCAGCAGCTGGTCTGTTTGAGGTCACTTCGCAATACCGGCCGATTCTATTATTCACAATGGATGAAGTGCATTTTCGTCTGCACTCAAGAACAGTGTCCAAGAACATCACCCTCCCAAGCCTGCTAGCGTGCTTGAATGCAGCTTCCGCGCTAGCATGCTTAGCTAAGCTGATATCACAACTCGAGCACAATAGCGGACTTTCTTCCTTCCCTTCAACTCACAGTCACATTGAACGCGAAACACGATGCCTGCTGCTGTCCCACTATCTGACTCGCAAATACCAGCAAACCCGCCCGATCTCTCGAAAAAGCTGCCCAAACTCATACCGCGACGATCAAAACCATCAGACGAAGCCCCCGCCAACCCACCTCCACCAACACCTCCACTTGCTGCGGTCGCGAATCTCGAGAGCCACAAATACCAGACGCCGGCAAGGCGCATTCTATCTCAGCGCGACCATGAACTCTTCATTGCTTCGCCAACGCACGACTTGATCGTCAGCTTCGTCTTTCACCTATCCGACTCCGTCCATAACACTACCATCCGGAGTGTACAATCCTCAGAAGCAGCTCAAGATGCTTCGATCCTCGCACTTCTGGCGGTGCTCGACGAGGCAGACGAGCTTTTGAAGAAGCATCCGGCTCTCGACACTGGCTCTCGCTTCGGCAACCCAGCATTTCGCGATTTCCTCGCCGCGGTCGACGAATCCCTTCCATCATGGCATACCAAGCTAGGCGTAGACAACAGCGAAGCTCAAAAAGAGATTTCCACATACCTAGCCAGCGCTTTCGGCAACGGCAGTCGAATAGACTACGGTTCCGGACACGAACTCAATTTCATCCTCTGGCTCCTCTGCCTCCGCCAGGTCGGAGTACTCAGAGACGACACTTTCCCCGCCCTCACGCTCCTAGTCTTTCCCCGCTACCTTCGCGTAATGCGCGATGTACAAACAGCATACTATCTCGAGCCTGCCGGCTCTCACGGAGTATGGGGTCTAGACGACTACCAATTCCTCCCCTTCCTCTTCGGCGCATCACAACTAGTCGGACACAAACATATTCGACCTCTATCAATCCACAACCAACTCATACTCGAAGAATGCGGGAAAGACTACCTCTACCTCGATCAGATTCAATGGGTCAATGCAACGAAAACGGTCCGAGGCCTTCGGTGGCATAGTCCCATGCTGGACGATATCAGCTCGGCGAAGAGTTGGGCGAAAGTGGAAGCTGGGATGAAGAAGATGTTTTTGGCAGAGGTGTTGGGGAAGTTACCTGTGGCACAACACTTCTTGTTTGGGTCACTGCTACCTGCTACGGAGGAAATGAGCAAAGATGCGGAAGAGAGAGTTGGAGATGAGGATGTAGGGGAAATTGAAGTCACAGTGGATGGAATGAAGCACGTCCATACGGCGAATAGCTGGGGCGACTGTTGTGGGATAAAGGTGCCTTCTGCTGTTGGTGCACGGCAAGAGATGAGTAAGCATGGTGCTGGAGGCGGACTGAGACGAGTGCCTTTTGATTAGACCAAAAGAAAAAAAAATTGAGCATCTCGTGCAACGAAACAAGCTGCCTTCATGACTTTACGCTGATCTCTATGATCCAATGAGATAGCCACCTAGGCTCGCATTTGGTCTAATCTCTTCCTCTTCTATCTCTAACTTCGTGCCCTCTGTTGGCGTTCTCCTTAAGATAAACGGCAGGGAGGTCCCTTCGCACTGTTACGACTCGAGTCTGTGCATGTGCCCTGTTCCTGCTCCCAATGTGAGTGGAGGCGATGCGAGTCCCCCGTTCAGTCCTGTTGTCCCCTGTGACTTGAAGTCTACTATTCATTCCGCAACTCTGGCCTGCTCATTCCGACGTGCTCATTTCCCATGATACTGACGCAACTCCAGATGCTCTCATACCTCAAACCTTTCTGCCCAGTGCTTCACTACAATCTTCCCCTCATAAAAGCTGTCTTTCCCAGAAAGTGGCTTTTGCGTCCTGACAACAATCGCCGCATGCGTATGTCTGACTTTCTGGATGTGCACGGGGAACTTGTCGAATCCTAATTTATCCAGATTCGCAATCATATCGAATTGGTCCTGTGTCAAAGCTAAGATCGGGAAGTCGTGGCTTTTCTCCCTTCTGCTCTCTCTTTTGCTGAGTTTGACATCGTCGTCTTCCTGTTCAGTGCTGGAAGAAGTCTTGTCGCTGACAGGTTCCGGAGGCGGCGTCGGGAGGTACTCTTCTTGAGATGTATTTGCGATACGTTCGTAGGCGTGGTCAGCGGCTGCTTCAGCCTCCTCAAGGAGTTTCACACGATATTTGTCGAGTTTGAAGACTTTCCCTGATTCGTGGAGTCGGATTCGTTGCGCAGATTGGTAGGTTTGGTAGCCGGCATTGAGGAGGAAAGCCGGCAAGGCGATGGGGAGTAATGTGAAGAACACCAAATAGAATGGCAGAGCTTTGAGTGTTTGTCGAGGCGCGGTGCGTATTCGTTCAAAGGTAGACATGTCCTCCCATGGACTTCTGCGTGTCGAAACAGGGTGGGATGAATCGAGGATCACTTCGCCTGGAGGCGGTTGGTCGTCGGCATAATGTAATTCGATTGTATTTAAGTCGACGAATGGATCGGTTCGAGAGATATTGGAAGTGTAGAATGGTACACTTCGGTCGTTGATCGTATTTGCATAGATCCACTTGTTCTTGAACTTGCCCAGCCCTTTCATAAACACGGAGTTGGGGTCCGCCATGACGGATAGCAAAGGTCGTTTCGTATCTCGAAAGCTGTCGACAAGGAACATTTGCTGTCCGCTTGTACTTAATGTCTTGGCGCCTAGTACGTTGAACAGGTATGATCGGGCTCCTCGCTTTGGGGTTCGCACGCCGAGATGTGGTGTCGCAAACGTGCTGAAATTGACAGGTTGTATCCGGTCGAAGAGACCATTGCCGTACAATACGCCGATCACATATCGAGAGATCAGGCCGCCTAGACTATATCCAGTGATACTGATCTTGCGTATCCTCGTGCCGTCTGCTTCTAGCTCCGCAATCTTCTCCTCGATCTCGTTCGCGACGCGTTCGCCGCCCACTTCGATGCCATCGTACGTCTTGTTGTCGGTTATGCTCTTGACAACCAAGATATGTAGGCGGTCTTCTGAACACTGATCCCGGAGCGTGTCGCGAACAAAGTCCAGATGAACGGGTTTTCCCCACAGTCCGTGGACGAGTACAGCGAGGTGATCGGCTTGTGTCGTCGAATGCATGGTGGAGGCGGAGAACGCGGCAGGAGAGCAGGACTAAGAACGCGCCCCTTCGCACTTACTTTGGGCAGCCTACGGAGGGAGCAGCGAGCACAAGTGTGTATGTAGTGGCGCTGGACATATCGTCGTTAAGTGCGCTGCACTGCTTCACAGGCAAGAATGATGACGACAGCGCGTCGTCGGCGCCGGACAATCTGAATCCCCTGTCGCGCCGTTCGGGAGTCGGCGTTCACGGAACTTCACGAGCAAATCCGGAGATAGCGGGCGCACCTTCACCTTCCACGACTCCATACTGCCTCCTGCCTTCGCGCTGCTTTGCATGCGCTTGATAGCAGCGCCAACGCTGTCATTTGTGACCATTTGTCGAATCAGCAGCACGACTTGGTTTGGCAGACCGCAAGACGTTGCCTACTGACGTCGGTAGGTGAGCAAAGACGTAATTTCTTTCACCAACGCGTTCAATCTCATCGCCATCCACCAACCCACGCGCCTACCGTTTGCTCAAACACCCCGCCCACGTTCACCTGCGCCGGCCCTTTGGTAATCGTGCTCACTCTTCTACTGTCGCAGCCGACAGTGTGAATGCTGAAGTTCAACCCAATGCAGACAGGACTTCCGCTTCCGGCGTGCAATACCTCCTAAACTCATGGCAGCAAGGTAGCCAGCATTCCCTTCATCACAATGGTCTTCTACACCACCAATCTCTTCAAGACCATCGTGTGTCCCAAGGTACGCGAAGGCGCAGAATGCAAACTGCATAACTGCATATACGGGCATGCAGCAAACCCGCCGGCAGCGAAGCCCTCAGTCGCCGACACGCCCACTGCGCAGAGTGCACAAGCCGCAGAGCAAGACGCAGAACCACCACTCAAGCGCCAAAAAGTGACCTACCACAGCCTGGAGGAGAAACCGCCCAGCCGCGCAGACGTGATTCGTAGTCAATTAGCAGCCCAGAAAGCAAAGCCACCCGCCGCAGCATCACAAAGCGGTGCGCATGTGTCTCAGGCAGGTGGCCTTGGCCAGTCTTCCGCCCCGCCGCAAAGCCTCTCCAAGCCAGTCAGTCCACCGCCCACAAGCCGGAAGGTCACGTCAATCTCCGACCTGCCAAACACCTCAGCTGGTACAACAGCAAACAAGGGCGGGCATGATCATGCTGCGCCCGCACTTGTCAAGCCGGCAAAGACTGAGTCTTTGAACCCCCGACTCGTTCGCAGCGATCCTGTCGGACATGCAAAGCGATCGCTCTTCCTCAAGTATCTCCACGCCGAGTTGGCTCGACTCAATCAGTTAGTGGTGAACGCCACGTCACTGGGTGAATCAAAGGACAAGTTGACCCTGACACCTCAACAACTTATAAGCATGGCGCTGGACCTGGAGGAAAAATTCATCCGCGAAGGTGGCGCGGTATACGGAAACGTCATCAAGTCGCGCATAGCTGGGTACAAGAAAATGACACTCGAGGCATGGGTTGCCGAGCTGAAAGTCACGTTCGTCAAGACCGAGTCGCCTCCTGAAAAGCCGCCTGAGAAACCGATCGAGACCGGTCTCTCACTGCACCAGGAAGCCTTAATTCTGCCGCAGCTTGTTGCAGATCAGAAGCCGTTGGGAGCACACGGTTACATCATCACACCACCCTCCGCAGCACAGATTGCAGAAGCCAAATCAGCTGTTGCAGCGAGTCACAACTGGGAAGAATGCGATCGCTGTTCAGCCCGCTTTCAAGTCTTCCCCAACCGGAACGATAAAGGTCTCCTCACTGGCAATGGACCCTGCAGATATCATCCACGGCGCAAAATATTCCCTCAGAGGACGAAAGCGAACAAGGATGCGAGTGTGGAAGTGCGAGCAGCATATTACCCATGTTGTGATGAAGAGGTTGGCACTCCTGGATGTACCACACATGCTGAGCACGTGTTCAACACCAAGAGCCCCGCCAGGCTTGCAGCTGTTCTGCCTTTCATCACTACGCCCGAAAACCCATCTCCGGCGAGAGATCGCCAAGGGCGCAGCATTCAAGCTGTCACTTTCGATTGCGAAATGGGCTATACGGCGTACGGCTTCGAGCTCATACGATTGACCGCAGTAGCTTGGCCGACCAACGAAGAGCTGATCGATGTGCTTGTGAGACCACTAGGTGCTGTCATCGACCTCAACAGCAGATTTTCCGGTGTCTTTCCCGAAAGCTTCACAAACGCCGTGCCATACGAGCAATGGATGAATGACCCGTCACCAGCTTCCGCCGAGGGCGAGTCTCCCAAGCTACCGATCGTTGCAAGTCCAGCGAAGGCCCGCGAGCTACTATGCAGCTTCCTCACACCGCAAACGCCTCTAATCGGACATGCTATCGACAATGACCTGAATACAGTGCGGCTCTGTCACCCGACCATTGTCGACACGGTGGTACTCTACCCTCATCCGAAAGGCTTACCCATGCGTTTTGGCCTCAAGATGCTCACGCAAAAGTATCTGAATCGACAGATACAAATGGGAGGTGACCGCGGCCACGACTCGAAGGAAGATGCTATTGCTACGGGAGATCTGGTGCGAGTGAAGGTGGCACAGAAGTGGAAAGATATGCGTATCACTGGCTGGACAATCGTGAACGATACCCAGCTTGTGCCGCCTCCTCCACCTAAAAGCGATCCTTCCCAGCTTTCTGACGAGTCGGCGCGGGCGTTAGCAGAGAGAGCGGCATATGGAACGCCGACTTCGAGGAAGCGGAGACGTCGGACGTCGGGAGATGGAGCGGACGATGGCAGCGAGAGCGAGGAGAACGAAACTGCGTCAGCAGAGGCACTCAAGGCCTGAGGCTTGAAGGGAGCTGATGTGTGAGTGGCACAGAATTCTCGAAGTGGTTCCACAGGCTTCACGTCGTGGAGAGCAGACAGGGAGGGGCCACCTGAGATCCTAGTATGGTCATAACATGCTATGAGAACCTAGACTTTCCTCTCTCTCAAGGTCCTCCCTTCAAGGGATCAGCAGATACGAGCTGACTGCCAAACGGCTGTCCACACACGAGGCATTATCGCGATGAACGTGATGCCACGCTGCCGTTGTTGTTATGTGTTCCTGATGCCGTTTCGCTAGCCGAACCTAGCAACAGGAAATGATCATATATCCTTCGCCCATGATGTACGTGGGTAGTCAACCCATGTTTCGCTTCGCATGTGCAAATGCGCCCCGCGATGGGTTGTGCTACCACACGCGCATTGACGAATAACTGGGCCTTGATGGGCGAGTTGGTTGATGGGATGGGTTAGGCAGGTCATGTTTCAGCTTCACAGGGACAGGTTACAAGCCTATAAGGTTGCAGATGATCTGGACCACATTCGTTGACGAGAACCAAATTGGGCAGCTGTATGCGAGCTTCCTCGGTGGAATTGGATGCGGAAGTGGGTAGCTCTTGACATCCGTGACCAATGTGTAGATCACCTGCATAGAGCTCATGCCCTGCGTCGGAATGGACGTGGTGAAACTATCATCATGTGCGGCGGCAGGATTTATCAGCTGCTTGAGAGCGGGCTGGTATCTGGACCAGCTCCGACGTCCGGATAGAGAGAGACAGACCGTTCGCATGCACATGGTCCATTTGTCAGGGCAGATTTGTGCAGTACCGTAGGCCTGTGGACGTTGCCAGTAGCGATGGTGATGACCAAGAGCCAAGCGTGGTGCGGGATAGAGTTTGGAGCATTGATCGAATCCAGACTGGTCGAGTCTCCCACAGTCTCTCTTTGGTTGCATGCACGTCTTGCCTTGCAGGAGTGACAAGCATATCGCGTCTTATTCTCCGCCACTACATGCACACATGCGGTCGTTTACTGCCACTCGCCATGGCCGATCGACTGTCTTGGCCGCCTTTCACACGTGCTCGAGATCCTTCCGGCGCCCGCTGTGCAAACACGGGCGGGCGCTTGTGGTGCTGCGACGGGTGATGAATGGCATCCTTGTTGTTGAGTCATCTGTGCACCTGCGGTGGCCGGATGTAATCGTGCTGGCGGCGTGGAGAAGTCATTGCGCTGCCGTTTAACATGAGCACGCGTCAGCTGCGTGTTTGAGGGCACAACAAGAAGCCAAGTTGGCCCAACGTCTGAACGTCTGAATCCGCTGCCTGAAAAGCACGCGCAGCCCGCTGGTCTGCTGCACCGCCGCTGCCTGGCACAATTGGGCCTGGAGTCGCGAGCTAGGGGCACCGGTGGCTACTGCGACCAGGGTTTGCAGACAACCGCTGCGTCGAAGTGGGCTCCTGCTCTCCACACGCTACTGCACCGTCTGGATACTTCTGTCGCCCATCCTCTGCCTCTGCCCTCCCTTCGTCGCCTGCTTCACGGAGCGGCGACGACGCTGCCGTGCCACCACCCCATCAGCAGCAGCGCGGGCAGCAAACGTCGTGCCCGGAAGCGATCGCGCGTCATTCGATCTCCGCCCAGGAAACGAAAGGGTTTGGCTTTGCAAGTGCCCCTCCGCGCGCCCTCGATCGACAGCCGCTCATAACCTGCTCGGGTTTGCGCCTTCGTGCACCAAGGCTCCGGCAATGGCCGCCAGAATCAATACCCTTCCGCCGTCGACGTACATGTTCAACACACGATCGCACGACGACCAACATGACATCGAGGAGCCCGAGAGTCCCGTGGACGGCGTACGCCCAGGAAGTATAGACTCGATCAAGCTGCGACCCGACGGGACCCGAAGTGTAACGGACCCTCCACCTTCTGCCCTGCTGCAGAGCTACTTCAGTACCGCGAGCAGCGCTCGTCTCGCCAACATTCAACGCAATCGCTCGCCCTACTCCAGGACTCACCTCCGCTCGCGATCGAGCGGAGCCGCGTTGAGCGCTCCAACCATGACCCGCGCACATTCCAGTCCCGCCGTACACTCTGCTGCACGCGCTCCCGACCTCACACTTCCCGCTCCGGCGTCGCTCACGCCCAGCAGCCCAATGCGGTCTCCAGCACGACAGCGATCACCGCTGCGGCCTGCAGAAGAAACATCACACTCTTCGAACCCCCCACAACGATCACCCAGTTGGATAGAGTCGGCGAGAGGCGGAGGCGCCATCGAAGCTATTCAGGAAGACAGTGAGCTAGATCTTACACCGCGACAAACACTTCCGACATACGGAATGCCTTTTGCACGTTCCTCGTCGTTGCGGCGACGTCCAGCAAGTCCCTTGCACTCTGTGACGAACGCCGTCCCACCCACATCGGCACCTTCAAGCGGCCTCGAAAACAGTAGCACATCATCAGGATCCAACTCGCCTGCGCTTGGCCCGCAGCGATTCAACGAAACGATGCCTCCGCTGAACCACTACGCGAGCGCCTCGTCCTTCAGCTCGCTGAGTAGCTTTCCTTCGACTCCGACATCGCAGCGCTCCCGATCTCCTTCGATCAGCTCTCTGGACACCATTGAGGATGCGCCGGACATGGAGCAAGAGGCAATTGAGGCAGAGCGGATCGAGAAGCTGAAATTGGCAGCTGAGCGTGCGGATAATTCCGAGGACGACGACGACAATTCGCGAAGACGCAGCAGTCTAGACCAGCCGCGAGGATTTGGATTCAGCAGAGGAGGCAGTCGAGAACGCAAGCGCTGGTCTGTTTGTGGAGGCGAGAGGCGAGTAGATCTCGACCTGGACACGATATGGGAGGATTGAACGCAGTTTTGTTTTCACGGCGCAACTGATGGAGTTTGTTTCACCTAGAAATGGTAATGAAGCACGGCATGGGCATTCGCGGGCGGTGTCTTTGGTTTTCTAGGAAGAGTGGCATGGAGTTCAGGGAGCGGGCTACTGGATGCCTTTGTTTTAACATCACGATACCCACGCGGCTTGACACGGCGCGCGAAGTTATGTCAATAGCGTATTAGGACGATATGTAGTGTGTACTAATCACCTATCAATCATGCGATACGTGAGAGCCAATGTGTTATGCTAATGTACTCTCCTCTCCGAATGCTCCGACTTCGCTAGCTACCCCACGTCACAGGCGAGTTCCATCTCGAAAAAGTTACCTTGAACACGCCATATGACACTCTCGGTCCAATGCACTTTTACTAGCTCCTCAACTTCTCTCTCACTCACCATGGCCACCGCTGCTGCGGCCACCGATCAAATCCAATCCCGACTCTCCTCCCTCCCACCACCCTTCTCCACATCCCCCGAATCCTTCGAACTCATCACCCAAGGCGCCGAAGCCCTCGTCTACAAAACCGTCTTCCTCTCACCCTCCCAGCACGTTGCGCTCAAAATCCGCCCCACGAAAACCTGGCGACATCCAACTCTCGACAAACGACTCACGAAGCAGAGAATCACAGCTGAAGCGAGGGTTTTGGTGAAATGCAGAAAGGAAGGCGTGCCGGTTCCGAGTGTGCTGGGATTGGATTGGGAAAAGGGGTGGACGGCTGTGGAGTGGATCGAGGGCAAGACCGTTAAGCAGGCTATTCAAGAGAGAGATTTGAGCAAGGAGAGTGAGTTGGTGGAGTTGTTGGGGAGGATTGGGAGGGTTGTGGGGAAGTTACATGCTTGTGGGGTTATTCATGGGGATTTGACGACTAGTAATATGATGATACGGAGAGGAGGGGAGGAGGAGGCGGCGACGGAGCAGGCTGGAGAGGCAGAGAAGAAGAATGGGTCGTCATTGGATGGTGAGATTGTGTTGATTGATTTTGGGCTTGCGAGTCAGGCTATGCAGGAGGAAGAGAGGGCTGTGGATTTGTATGTTCTGGAAAGAGCGTTTGGGAGTACGCATCCGAAAGAGGAGGGGTTGTTTGGGAAGGTTTTGGAGGCGTACGAAGGGACGTATAAGGGGGCGAAGAGTACGTTGAGGAGGCTGGAGGACGTGAGGATGAGAGGGAGGAAGAAGAGCATGTTGGGTTGAATGAACGCGAGGCAATATTGCCAGGCACGGGGAGCATTGGTGGCAGTACGGTGCCGTGATAGGTCTCGTGCCTGGTCATCCTTCTCTTCTCGCGAGCAGTCAAGTCATGCCGTGTGCCGACAGCTGATGTTGGGCGGACAATGCTGATCCGATTCCATGCCAGGCAAGAAACATGGACGAGAAAAGGTTGTTCACTCAGCCAACTCATATCCTTTCTCGAGCGACAGGCCAGATGCACGAAAGCCGCTTACATGCGGGGCTGGGCTTCTCCAACAACACCTAGCTGCACTTTGTGATGCTCTCAGAACCTGCACAAGGACACTTTTGCGTTCATGTGGAGACTGCACGGCAACACGATGAGACGGTCACACCACATAATGTTGGAATCCATCTCGAAGGATTCGAGAGAGTGACATCAATTCTTGGCTCCGCTCGTGGCGTACAACAGCTCGCTTGTAGCTTACAACTTCTTCCTCAGCAAGCTCGATCTTTAGCGACCACGAGCCTACACCGGAAACACTTGAAGAGCATCACAAACTCTGCGACAACTTTTTGGCGACAAAATTCTCATCATGCATCATGTTCTACGAGCAGGACTTTCATGCCTCGCAATATATCTTCTATACAGCATTGCCGCGAGCATTCAGCTGTACTTCCAGCGAAGAGCTTTCAAACGTGCTCATGGGTGCGAGTCTCCGCCGCACTATCCGCTTCGAGATCCATTCGGCTTCGGTTTCATCACAAAAGTCATCCCCGCTGCAAAACGGCAGGAACTACTTCCTTACTTTGACTCTTTGCACCAGCGATTCGGCAAGACTTTCTCCTATCAGCCTTGGTTCGGTAGAGGCGTAATTTTCAGCGTCGAGCCTGAGAATGTAAAGTACATGTCGACGACGAATTTCGAGGACTGGGGATCTAGGGATGCAAGGCAAGAAGGCGTCGGTGAGCTTTTGGGAGATGGGATTTTCACTACTGATGGCGCGTTTTGGGCCCACTCAAGGGCTCTCATCCGACCGCAGTTCGATAGAGCTCAAGTCTCGGAGCAAGTTGAGCCATTCGAATCCACGACCGTGAAGTTGATCCGCAAGATCCCAGCAGGAGGCCAGACTGTGGACCTGCAAAAGCTCTTTCACAAGTTCACCATGGACACGTCGGCCAAGTTTCTGACAGGAACCAGCACGAACTCTCTTGACGATGAGCAAGCAGAGGAGGCACAGAAATTTATGGATGCGTTCGACTATGCTATGGAGGATGCAGTCTGGCGCGTTCGACTCGGCAAATTATACTGGTTCCGCCCGGATAGGAAGGCGCCCGCCGCGATCAAGTACGTTCGGGACTACGTACGACAATGGGTTGACAGAGCTGTAGCATATAGGGACTCGCTCGCTGCTGCAGACAAAGATCAGGACTCAGACGATACCGGCTACATATTCATCAACGAGCTTGCCAAACAAAAAGAAGTAGATGCCACAAGAATCCACAATGAGACACTGAATGTGCTGCTCGCAGGTAGAGACACAACAGCTGGTGTTCTTTCGCACATGTGGTACATCTTGGCTCGCAGGCCCGATGTCTGGGAAAAGCTTCGTGACGAAGTGGACGCATTGCAAGGAGAGCCGCCTACGTATGTCAAGCTCAAGGAGATGAGATACATGAGAAACTGTATCAAAGAAAGTCAGTATCTCCATACGTCATGCCGTGAAAGTTCTCGCTGACAACATAATGTTCAGCCCTGCGCCTATATCCATCGTTGCCGATCATAGGTAAAAGATCCGTTAAGGATACTATACTTCCTCGTGGAGGCGGCCTCCAGGGAGATAAGCCAATCTTTGTGCCCAAGGGCACCAACTTCACGCCCAGTCTGTGGTCTTTGCACCGGGACAAAGATGTCTACGGAGCTGATGCGGAAGATTTTCGTCCAGAACGATGGAACGAATCATTGCGACCGTACTGGTCCTACCTGCCTTTCGGAGGCGGGCCCAGGGTCTGCTTAGGTGAGTGATTTTCCCCCACTTATCGCGTCTCATATAGCCCAGGGCATCCTTTGCTAGGGCGGCGCAGAAACTGGAGCTGAACGAGAGCGTCGTCGCACCTCCAGAGCTAAGCATCGGTCTTTCCCCAGGTCAGCAATATGCTCAGAGCCAGGCGATGTATGTCACCACCAGGCTCATGCAACACTTTGACCGCATCGAGCCCAGAGATTCCGAAGTGTTGCGACACAGATTGTCACCGACGCTCTCTGTCAATGGAGGCACCAGAGTTGCATTCATCGCATAAGATGTCATAGTGAGCTTGCAAGAGCAGTGATGCAACGTTCTCAAGCGATGACCAAGCCGACCTTACCGATGAAGAGCATTTCGAGACGAGTCGATTGCCATGAGAGCCCAATCTCACCTCATGAAGAAAGGTGGAAACGACCGTCTTAGTAGTATTGTACCGCAATTGACCTCGGGAGAGCGATTCGTACAACCACATGCATGTCGCTGCAAGCACACGGCCCGTGCTGTGCGATTGACGGCAAGCTGAGTCGTAAAATAGGGTCCTGGACTGGGAAGTTTATGTGTGTGCCTGACTATCCTCGTCAAGCACCCGCAGCCAAGCCGTTCAACCAAGATTTTGACTTCACATCTTCCTCGCGATCCGGATCGTTCGCGTTCGCGCCTGCGCATCACGGCCTTCTGCCCAACAACAACGCGCTTATATATGCACGACATATATACCCTTGCACTGACTACGCTCCTGGACCTTTCAGGTACCATTGCATACATGCACCGCATCACTCTCACCACCTTGCGCGAGAGTGCCAGAGGTAGGGCTGACGTCCGCAGACTGACACTCGTTCGCCACAGGAGAGAAATGTCTCGAATCCCATGGTATCCCAGTCCTCGGACGGCAGTGACCTCATTCGGTTCATTTTGGGTTGTGAGGAAGACCTTGCAGGTGTCAGAAGTGCGAAGCGAAGTGCACTGCCGTTGCGTACGTGCCCGGCAGTAGACTTTCTGGAAGGACACCATATCGTCTACCCAATTCCCTCTATCGCAGATCTGCATTCTATTCGCAGACACTATCTTAGCGATAGATTTTTCTTTGCCTTTGACTGCTCCGCCTCCTGTGCCAGACGCACTGTTCATAACCGTCGCTCTCGCTCGCCCTACCCTATCGATTGAATCCTTTGGCATGCACTCGTGACGAACGGCTTGTGGTAGGCCGTCATTACCAATCAACATTGAGGAGTGATCTGGAACCAAGTCAACATGCGGACTGTTATTCTTGGCACGATCTTTGCTGGCCTTACGACCTCGCTCACACTGGCGGCAACCGCAGCGCAATGTTACTATCCGGATGGCTCAGAATCGACAGATGTCGCATGCAACGCAACAGCCGCTGCTGCCACGGGAGGCTATTCAGCTTGTTGCTCTAGCAGCTCATATTGCATGGACAATGGGCTATGTCTCGACACAGGAATCCTCAAGAGAATGAGCTGTACAGACAAGACATTCAAAGATAAGACATGCCCACAATATTGCATAACAGGTAAGCAATATCGATACATTTTCAAAAGCAAAACAATGAACTAACAATGAACCAGAAAATATGGGCGATCCCTACGCCGTCACACCATGTACAGCAACCACATTCACCTGCGGCATCTCCCCAGCAAACTGCAGCGTAGCAGCCTCCGTCTTCCCAGTTACCGACCTCAAAGAAATCGTCCTCAAAGCCGACCAACTAGCAACCGCAATGTCCGCAGCCGGCCTCCCAACCTCAAGCATCGATCCAACCTCAACTCCAACCGAAACCCTTCCAATCCTCACAGTCACCGCAACAGGAACCCTCACACCCGCAAACCCCGCGGCGAAATACACCATAACCCAACTCATCGGCGTCGGAGCCGGGCTCGGAGTTCCTATGCTACTCGCCATTGGTGTTCTAACGTACCTCCTCGTCGCAGAGAAACGTCGACACAGCGTACGAGAAATAGGCGAAGGGGCTTTTCGTCCCCCACCGACTATGGAATCCCGTGATGGGAATAGCTGGAGCGCATGGAGTGAGACGACGAAAGTTGGAACTGTACCGAGGATTCCGACATTCGACTCACATCGACTCCAAGATCTAGAAGGGAGACCGAAGGGAGGACAGAATTCGAGGAAATCGAGTTTGGCGTTGAGTAGTAATAGGGGTAGGTGATTAGTAGTCCTAGTCCAGCTACGGTGTTTTGGGGTGTGGGAAGCGTGTACTGGGAGGCACTTTTGTTTGACGCGTAATTGGCGATGAAGCTATGATGTATACTTATTTCCACACAAAGTTGTATCTGCGAGCCCAGAATTTGAAACCTAGGAACGAGTAGTGGTGAATGCATAATGAGAGGAAAGCGATACACTGCACTAAGACCGATAAAATCTGAACAGCTGCCTTCTTCCTATTGAAATGGTGTCCTTGGGCAGCAAGAAAAGTCAAGATCTGATCGAGCGTCTCGTAAGCACGGGCGTCTAAGAGGTTTAAAGATCTGTGATCTATGATGTTATAAAATCGATTGTCTGCAATCCTGTGGAGGCAACTCCGTGTGGCCGGACGATGCATGCGATGCATTGTCCAGGTTCTCCTCAACTCTTCCTGCTGCGAAGCACGGGCTTGCGGTGCATGTCCCGTGCTATAGGCAGCAATCTCCAAATCGCGCACCGACAATTGCCATTCTGCTCTTTCCGCTCTGCATTTCCTGGTCCAGGTCAAGTCTAGACTGTGCTACTAGTCAAGGCTGTTGCATGCGGCTCGCTGAGCTATGGTAGCGCCGTGATCAGGCTGCAGGACACAATTTCATCTGCGGGCCGTTGCATCACATCCACCTCCACCTCCATCTATGACCTGCGGAGCCGCATGCGGTTCAGAAGCCTTGGCAATATATCTCTTGTTGAGGAGGCACGGTAGATTCCATGTCTTTGGTGGTCAATCGCAGCATCATCGAAATCATTCTGCAGGGCTCTTGGATCTTCTGCGGAACAATGGAAGTCCAGATCGATTTGAGCGGAGACGCAGACCTGTGGACAATGCTCAAAGCCATGGATGACAGAAATGTATCCGGTGACGTTAGTGCTAGAGATGGCGATCGGTCGGGGCTTTTGTCGCCCCAGGACGACGATTGGAGGGCGGTGTTGTGGCACAGCGTACGGCTGAGTCGTCCGGGGAGCGTCTTGCCTCGCATCGCAAGAGCCATGGCCATGGCGCATTCAACGAGTTCCTTGACGGTGAGCGGTTCTGCTCGGCATTTATGATGCATGCGGAGATATAGCCGTGAATTGGGTCCGATTTCCAATGCCTCCGAGTTCGTGTTTGCCAGATTGCAGCCGTCCAACATGTGTCTCGTTTCGAGATGACTTTCATGTGGGCCTCAGTTCCTGAAACAATTGTTCTTCGATTCATCCTGAAGGTTTCGCTTCGGTCGCCTGTGGCGCGGCCAGCTCATGTTCATAGTCATAGTCGCTTTGTTCTGCTGTCGAGACACTCGTGTTCGTCGCTACCCAAGTAGTCAGCTTTGGCGTCTTTCGTGGCGCACTACCAGTGGAACTTGAGTTGCCGGAAGTGCCACTTTGGTCGATATGCCGCTTGGCTCGACGATGCGTCCTCATCCTGTTCACTAAGCCTGCTAGTGCTGGCAGGTTGCAGGAGACCATGCCCAGATGAACTTCGACTACGGAAAAAGTTCCAAAGAGTCCAAAGTCCCACGTCGGATTTGTTGTATTCCGCAGTGGCACGATATATCGTAGTCGAACAATGCTGCACGCTGTGACAATGAAGCCCAAGCCGAAGACAGCACATATCCTGTGGACCGTCAGCCAGTGACCACAAATACGTCATAATTTGATGCCTTACCCAGCTTTTCGCTGTACCGAAACGCCTGTCAAAGACATAAGCTTCGGGATTGGCAGCAGCAACACGAAAAAGTCCGAAGCAATATTAATCGCTGCCACGCTGAATACCACGGGTATTAAGTCAATACCAAGGTGAAATCGGCGAACGGTAGGTGAGTCTCCGATGTAATAATGGTATGGCCAGTACACGATGATGGCGCCAACCGTGAAGGAAATTGAGCACACAGTCAGAACGAAGATGGTCGCCCAGCATAGCTTACGGAAAGCCGTGTTGAATTCCCACCTGTACCGCGGTTAGCAACATTTGCGAGTCAGGATGATCATAACCTACATTCGCATGTAGAGCAAAACCCAAACAATTTTGGCCCCGTAAGTGCCGATGATGTAGAAGGGAACGCTGATGTACATCCACAAGAACAGCTCTTCGATGTCTCCGGGATCAACAATGCCGATGGAATCTCGTCCAGCCCATCCACCTCGCGTATATACCAGGCATGCGGCCAGCTCGACTGAAATAACGGCCAAAAATAAAGTGATCCAATCGTCCCACCAAAATCCAGGTCCTTTCAACAGTTGGGACCGCGCCAGCATTCGACCGATAGCAGAGAGAGTAGCAATTCCGAACAAAATCCAGGAGAAAATGACTTGAATACGCCCTGTGTCGCGTGCTTTCAGGTGACAAACGGAGGCATAGTAAGTTTGCCAGTCGAGGACTTCTTGAAGTGTTTCGCATTCTTTCTGCACACATCTGGTGAGGTCGGAGGTGAAGATTTGGTCAATGGTACACTGAGTCGACACATTGAGAGGATGCTGTTCCCGACATGACTCTGTACAGACCGCTGCTTTCGCTGAACTGCTCGCTCGGTGGTTGTGTTCGATACGAGGTCGAATACCTAATTGGTCACCACGCCAATCGTCTCGACTAACCCTCTGTGCACTAGAGCTCCCGCCGAGAAAGACGCAAATCCAGAGAAAGGCCTTCATGCCAGCCTATAGACATGTTGTTGGAGTTCTAAGGAAGCAGGTACGGTCTGCTTTTCATGTGTAGGGGAAATACGGGTCGGAAGCGAGGGACCAAGACGAGGGGCCAAGTTGTGGTTGTGGTAGCGCAATCCATCTATGACTTCCCGCTTTCCACCCAGCTCGAAGATCTGCGAATCTAGCCCAATCGAGCCCAAGCTCAGCCTATCGTCGAACGCAAATATATTGTTTTAGGTGAACCATTGACGTGCGACGCCTCTCACACTGCAGCTCACCGAGGCGATCCACTTCAAGCGAGCATAAACTGATGTTCTGTGTTCCTGGACCGCGATCGTGAGGTGTCTAAAACCGTAGCAGTTGGTCTGACCATGCACCACTTTGCGTACCATCGTAAGCCAGGTAGTCCTTGGAAAATCCCGTGGAAGGACAGAAGCTGCAAGCGTTCGAGAAGAAGTTCGGCTGACCAAACGGTTCAACGTGTGTGCACTGCAAGGGTGCGAACACGCATGATCGTTGTGTCTCATATCGTTCCGGTACAGAGATCTTTGGTAGCTCCGCGGGCATCGCATTATGTTGGAGCTGCTGACATCAGCAGAATGCAGGTACCCTCATAGTCAATCCGCACGGTCGAAGTTGACACAAGAGATCAATAATGTGCTGCGTGATGGTTGATACTGCGGTACGCCCAGGCCGGTGGAAGCTCCGAAGAGATGCTGCAATCATAGTTATATACAATTCTGTGAAAAGGGCGCCCATAGCTGTATGCTCTTCCAGTCATAATCTACCACTGTAGGCCATACGATGCTGTGAGAAGTACTCAGCGCACGTCGCTGTGGTCACAGAGGCACATCGCAGCCTGTTTCCTGGTCAAGTCAATTGGTCTTTGCCGTGTCGGCCACATGCCATGCCATGCGTCTCAGCCACGACACTTGATCACAGTATTGCAGCCTGTTTGAGCGCGCCAAGGACTCTATTACCATGGTACTCCCACAGGCGGCTGTGGCGATGTAGCCTCAGCCCACGTGTTGTAAGTTGCCGCTGACTCTTGATCTGATGAATCTAGACCTGTGCCAGCTCGTTGCTGAAGAGCACCTGTGGATCTCGTTGGAATCAAGCCTGGTAGACTGCAATATTGATGACCGGAGTTGCATCGTCTCGCTGCCCGGAGCGGAATCCAGCCAAGGTTCAGGGCGGATACGACATATGATGAGTCCGGCTAAATCGGCGAACAATTCTCGATACATCGGTGCTGACTTGCCGGATGCAATACGAATCGGTACGCATGATTCTGCTGTCTGTTCGTTTGTAGGATCCAAAGGCGACTGAGACGATTATGCTCCGTGGAAGGGCGCTTGAGTTTTGAGTTGTGCACTGGTGTTCTGACCTCACGCTTGGCCTCGCAACCGGCCACACTTGTATCTTGGGGCTCGTTGCAGACCTCCATCGACGTTCGATCATTCGCTCGTGATAATGTCTCTAGATCCTTTGGTTCATGTAGAGGTGAAGTGCAGAATCTCGGGCCCCCTTGCATGCCCACATCAATGTGTCTGACTCGGGCTCGTCCGAAGTGGGCAGTGACGCAGCTTGGCGCTGGACAGCTTGCATGTGAAGGAACCACGTAAAGATAGACTTGCATCTACGTAACATTTTGCAACCGACACTCCAATACACTGTGACCATGGCCTCTCCCATAGCTCTCAATCGCCTTCTTCAACGCCTCGACAAATCTCTCACCGACCCTTGTCTGCGATACTCCCAATACGAACGTAATCGCGTAGCAGCCAACATCGAACACGCTCGCGCCGTGCTCCTCACTCTCGAAAAGCAGACCTCTACAATTCGAGTTCAAACTCAACGACAAGCCATACAAGCCGATCTGCAAGCAAAACGAGACTGGATCAAAAAGCTAAATACACAACTCCTAGAACTAAGCGCCGCAAATGGAGACAGCGAAGATGATGAGGAGTTCGACGATGAAGAAGACGACGACGCTAGCAAAGTCGAACGAGAAGACATCCTGAACAAATACGCGCCGGCAGTACAGACAGAATCAGGGCTAGAGACAGGCACAACACAGGAGCCTCGAATAGACGAGCAACAGCAGCAGGAACTTCGATCTCGAAGACCGGAGCCCACATTACAAGCAGGCGACAACCGATCTGCAGCTTCAACGACCTCGCGAGAGCAACTTTTTGGTGGAAGACAGCAGCAAAAGGACGAAAAGGGCAACTTGCAGAAAACAGAAGCGATGATGTCGCATAATGCTACAGAACAAGAGGCCTTGACGCAAGGGTTACTAGGACTGGCGAGAGCGCTGAAGGAAAGCTCGCAGCAGTTTGGGGCATCACTAGAATCGGAAAAGGATGTGCTGAGGAGGGCTGAAGGCGGACTGGATAGGAATGCGCAAGGCATGGAAGCGGCGGAGAGGAGGATGGGAATGCTAAGGAGGATGAGTGAAGGGCAAGGGTGGTGGGGACGGATCAAGCTGTATGCTTTCATATTCGGCCTCTGGGTGGCTTGTTTCCTGGTCGTCTTTCTTCTACCCAAGTTCAGGATCTGAAAGAGAGAGTTGTAAAGAGTTGTTATGTGGCAGTACATTTGTCTGCCAAGTGTTCATATCTTCTAGGATACCCAGACGTGCATTCGTCTAATCGTTGGTACTTTTCTGCGTCCAGTACGTCTACTAGTAGTCACCACCTATGCGTCCGTTCTCAAGGCTCGAACTTAGGGTTGTACTTGGCCATAGCAGCCTCGAAAGCCTCCCGCTTTGCGTCCAGCTCAGCAAGCAATTCGTGCTCCTTATCTACGCTCTTCAACTTCGCGCTCAGCTCCGAAGTATCCTTTCCAGCAATCGTATCCAAAACCAGCTTGTTCGCAATCGCAGCACTGTTCTCAGGCTCTAGCGTCAACGCCTGATCCAGCGCGACTTCCGCCTCTTCAGTCCTCCCCATGTGAAGCTCTGACACCGCCTGCGCAATCAGACTCGTCGCCGACGCAGACGAAGGCGCTTGCGCCAGCTCTTCGAACACGTAGAACGCCTTTTGATAGTTCTCACCACCCTGTCGCATTCCGATCCACGATTCCGCGAGATTCACCAGCAGCGCATCTTGCGCAAAAGACCTCGCGCTCTTCGCCTCCTTCAACGCGAGATCTGTACGATTCTGTTGCAAGTGGATCTGCACAATCAGAGCTACAGCATCCAACGAACCCTGATGTTTCGATAATAATTGCAGCGCTTGATCCTGCTTGCCTGCTCTTGCGAGAACAGTGCCAGCGAGAAGTTGTACAGTCAAATTATCGCTTGCACTTTCTGCCAGACTTTCTGCTTCCGTCACCGCTGCATCTGTGGGCTTCTCGAGGTACGATGCATATATCCGCACGGCTGCGAGATCGGGTGTCTGCTTCGCATCTTTCTCGCTGATTGCTTTTTTCACTTCGGCGTACTGCCCTAGCGCGCATTGAGCTCGGTACTGGAGGACCTGGATCGGTAGGTTGTTTTCGGCCGAGAAGTTCGAGGCATCGAAGTCGTTAAGCACTGAAGTGTATTGGCCTTGCACAAATGCGGTGTGAATGTTGACTAGCTCGCCTTCCGCGCCGAAAGGATCCATGTTGGTCGGCAATCAGACTGGTTCACTTGGACTGAGAGAGCTTAAGGAGTAAGATGTTGGAGCGGCGTAATTGAATCGTGGTCCCTAGTAACAAGGACAGTTGGAGACATTGCACATGCAAAGGGCAGTTTAGGGGTCTCATCAAATTTGATTGATCAATTGCTTTACTCAATGTCAATGGCCACAAGCAGTATCTTACAACCCGCGGAGGCAGCTTTAAATACATGGTCTATCTAGTCGGGGTATGATATTGAGACATCCACAATCACATCGATAGCCCGAAGCTCGATTAGAGTACCCTTCGCACTCCCGCAACACCGCTAATAATTGTGCACCCAGACGCCTTGCGTGGACTTGGACTTATCTGAGGCGAAATCGTCTCTCTGCAGATCGGCTGGTCGAAGCGTGCAGTAACATGCCGCCGGTGAACCGCAAACAGACGGTTGGTAGCAGTGGCCGTTTAGTCAAGCGGGATTCCCTCGTACTCGCTGTACCCAAGCGCAAGGTTCATGTTCTGCAAGCATTGTGTTGCAGCACCTTTCAGCAGGTTATCAATGGTCACGTTAATGACCGCTCGCTTGCCGCTCGAGTGCACAGCGAAGCCACCAATCTCCACGCCATGCTTGCCGGCAATGTTCTTGACCTGAGGCGATTCTCCGGTGATCCTGACCAGCTTCTCCTTGTCGAAGCGATCTTGGTAGAGTTGTCGCACATCTCGGCTAGCCATCTTCTCAGCGAGAGGGATGGAAATAGTGTGGTGGATACCTTGAAACCAGACTGCGACATGAGGAATAAAAGCCACTTCTGTCCCAAGTTGAGAAGAGATCTCGCGCTCATGGATATGATCCGTCAAAGAATAGGCGATCAGGTTGTCCTTCAGAACATTGACATCGTTCTTTGGAGATGGCTTGGTGCCGGCTCCAGAGTAGCCAGATACGCCGAAGACTGTGGGTTGTGCCGGGAAGGGCGGGAGGTGAGGTACCAATGGAGCAATCCCCAGCTGTGCTGCTGTGGCGTAGCAGCCAGGGTTGCTAATGCGCGTTGCCGAAGCGATCTTGTGTCGCTGCACAAGCTCAGGCAGACCGTAGGTCCAGTTGGAGTCGAATCGGTAATCGGCAGACAAATCCACAATGACGGCCTCTTGGTGACCAGATTCCTCAATAGCATCAACGTAAGGCTTGCACACACCATTTGGCAGGGCCATGACCCAGCAATCAATTTCCTTCCTCTCCGCCATCTTGCGAACATCGTCCGGTGACAGGCTCTCGTAGATGATCTTCTTCTTCTCGTAGCCCTTGAGCTCTTGTCCCTTCAATTCACGAGACGAGACATGGCACAAATCGAAGTTTGGATGTTTGTTGAGCAGGTCAATGAGTGCCTTTCCAGTGTAGCCACGGGCACCGATGAGCGCGACTTTCGATGGATAGTCCTTTTCACGGTTCTTGATCCCAAGAGGTGGATTCGGGTTAGTCGTCGAATAAGTCCTCACCTGCTGCAGACCATCTGTGCGAATATGTCTTCTTGGCCTGGCATTTGTGCTGAAAGCACGTGCTCCCGTAGGTCTGCCGCCAGCCATTTTGGCAGCATGAGCACGTATGCGATCCGCAGTGGGGTTTGAGCGGTGCAAGTGGGATTCCAGGTTGGTATCGCCGAACATCTTACGTCCGTGCTTGATGAATTCGCTCATGAGATCGCGAACCTCGTTGGCGCCACCAAGGCCATACCAAAAGAGAACCTGGCCCAGGTCAGTTAGAAAGAAATTATTCTCCCGTGGTATGGATTGAAACTCACATCACCGTCGCGTGCAAGATGTCCGTCTGCCTTCTCGCTGAACCACGTCAAATTTTCGTCGTCCTGCTTGACGGTCCAAGCCAAGCGTGGGAAGTCGCGCTTCAGGTTTTGGAAGACATTATCAGCTATGTTAGAGAGCCATGCATTCCTGGTCATGGTAAGAGTGGCGAGCTGTGCCATAGCGTTTGGGGCCTCATCAGGCGGAAGCACAACTGCCAATGCCTCCATGTTCTCATCGAAATATGCCTGGAAGGGTCGCGACTCCAGGATTTCAACATATCTATCGACCACGTTGGCGGCATCGGGCCCCTCACGATCACGGGCGAGTGCGTCCTTCAGCTTGCCGAGATTTGAGAACTCCTTCAAGGACGATGCTGAGTGAAGTTTAGTTCCCTTGCGGATGAGAGTGCCAGCACCAGAGTGGGTGAAAAGTTCGCGCTCCAAGCTCTCTGGGTGAATGATAGCAACGGAAGAGCTGCGCGGCAGGTCGTCAAGGAGAGTCTTAATGTCCCGAATCTTGCTGCGTGTGCCATGAATGACCCATGGCTTCTTCATGTACTCGTCGTACTCCTCGTCCAGGTTGATAGCCTCGATCAGCTTACCAGTCTCCTTGTCGTGAATACCACCCTTCTCAGAGAGATACACAATCTTGAGTGGGACGAGAGCTTTGGCGAGCTCAGCAGCCGCTTTGTCGGCATTGACGTTCAAGAGCTGGCCTTCATCGTTCTCAGCCATGCACGTCAAGACCGGAATATACCCATCGGCAATCGCAGCCTTGATGCTGTTTGCATTGACCTGGTTGACCTCTCCAACAAATTGATACGTCTCTTTATCCTTGTAGTCCGCCATGAGAACACCGCTGGTGATCGGCCGTGCCTTGACGCCCCACGACTCCAAAGCCTCCACCAGCTTCAAGTTCTCCTCCAAGAACAATTTCCTGGCCACTCCCAGCGTCTTGCCGTCCGTGATACGAATGCCCTCATTGTATTGTGGCTCAACACCAGCTTCCTCGAGGAGTTTGTTCAGCTGGGGACCTGCACCATGAATGATGACAGGGTACAGCCCCATCTGGTTGAGGTTGCGCAGCGAAGCACATAGCACATCGATGTAGTCCGTAAGAATGGCTCCTCCGACCTTGATGACTGCGAACTGCTGTGAGGAGACGGATGTGAATTGAGCAAGGTACTGCTGGACTTCGCGCTTGGAGGCAATGTTGTTCAGCACGCTGATAACGGCAGAGCGAGCATCGCGGCCGTCAGAGCGGTGCGAGGCATAGTTCCGTCGCGACAGCTGCGGAGCAGTCGCAACGAGGGCGCGAGAGGCATTGGGGACGCGGAGTTGTCGTGCCTGGCGTGTGAGCTGCCGGCAAAGCGGACGAGCAACAGACTGCATGGTGGCCGTGACTGCAGCAGAGACTTGTTCCTCACATGAGCAAAGAAGAGTGAGTGAGAGTGGAGAGTGAAAGTGGAGCGAGATAAAGGTATAGCTGCGGTCTCGGCTGGGGTACGACCAGAAGTCAAAGTATGCGAAATTTTATCTACACAGCTCACGGCCTGCAACAGCTCTGAAGCTAGCTTTACCTTTGTGCGGCGATCTCAACTGGAACTGCTTTCTGTTTCTCACGTGGGCTTTGTTCTGACATTTGCACGAGCACAGCAGTCGCTATGGCGAGGTGTTCAGTCGTGCGCCAATGCCGCTAGAATTATCTGATCATCTTGATCCGAAATCGCCGAGATGCTCCACTTCGGATCAACTTCGATGTTTGACTGCAATATTGAGGAAACTTATGACATCGCCATGCGGCGGTGATGGTCTATTCATCTGACTGTCATTACAGTGCGTTCAGCACAGCCTGCACACCTACGCCACCGCTATCCTCTCGCCTCAATATATACGGCCTCAAATCAGCCTTCTCCACGCCCTGCAGCGCCCCCACACCAGTTCCAAAGTTTCTCAGACGATCCCTCAGGGCCTCTGGTCCTATCACAAACAGGTTCGCGACTTCTGTGAGCACTTCGAAGCTCGGATCGAATGAGCTCGGCAGATCCCACGAACGCAGTAACTCGATATACTTCGTTATATCCTTGCTGGCCAGCAACGCGCCGGTTTGCGAAATCTGATAGGACTTGAAATGCTGCAGGAGCAGACCTCGTAGTCCGACAGCCAGTTCGATTGAAAAGGAATCAAGAACTTTTCCTGACAGAGCAGCCTTGGCCCGGGAGTGAAGACGACCGAGGAATGTAAAGACTGCCTGGCATGTTGCGGTCTGAAACTCAAGCTGAAGATTGAAGTCGTCCTTCGGGCGATAGTCAGTCTTCTTTTGTCCTGATAGGAGCTTCTGCGTCCAATTCAACGCTGCATCGATGGTCTTCTGGAGAACAGTGTCGATCTTGCCCTCCATTCTATCGACGAAACTTGTCGTCTGCTTCTCCAGATCTCTGCGGATGGTGAGATTGCTCGCAGCCAAGGGCAGAAGTAGCATCTGGATCGTGGTGAGCATGAGATGCAGGACGCTGACTGCGGTGCGCAGATCAGCAATGTAATTCAGGTCTGGTTCCGTCTTCGTGTTGGCTTCTGCCACAGCAGCCGAGTCGTTGGCTGCATCTAATGCCGTCTCGAGGTAAATCTCGCCCATGTGCGTGATGAGAAGGTGCAATAGCTCGCGGATCTCTTTTGGCGTCTCGTTGCCGCCACTGGCTAGCTCGAGGCCACGACCCACCCCCTCTGCCAACCATTTTAGCATTCGCTTCGTGAACGGTAGGCTAAGCTGGCCATCTTCGTCGGTGACATCGATCTCGTTGGGCCCAGCATTGTCCTTTGCGTGGTGCAAACCTGCCACTCGCAGCAACATCTTTTTCTGACCTGGTGGCAGGTCGGTGCTATCCAGTCGTTCCATATAGGCATCTCGGGCGCTGCTGATGAATTCTTTGCTACGCGCAGAGATGGCACCAAGGTATGTATGGGACTGCACGTGGACTTTGCGCCTTCGTGAATGATAAAGTGTGAATTTGAACAAAAGACCTTCGAAAATCTCTCCAAGATTGCGCTTCTCGCGTTCAATGTAACTTGTGCCTGTAAAGTATGGCACAAACAATTCGTCCAGTTGTTGGTCCAGTACTGCTGCAGTAGTCGAAGCAACGGGTTCGGGATGTTCTGTGAGTCCATGAGCCTTCAAATCCTCAACGAGAGCAGCGATATAAGACCTCGAAGCCTGTAGCGATCGAAGGAAGGCAAGCGATGATATGCTGTCGGCTTTCTCCAGAACCATTTCTAGCCGTTGCTGTATCGACTGTTGGAAAACTCGCTGTATGAATCGTGCCAGAACGTCCTCGTAATATGGGAATGCGCGCTTAATGATGAAGCTCTCTTCCTGAACGACCACCTTCACTTCGTCTATCAGTGATTGTAAGCTCGGCTCGACTCCAGGTGGTTCCGTGTCCGGATCCGCTAGGCGGTCCCAGGTCTCATTGTCCACTGTCAGCTCCTCTGTAACGAGTTGGGATCTGTCGATGAAGAATTGGTGCTGATTCACGAACAGAGACATCACTGAATTGCCATCGCTGAAGTCCTGCAGCGCAACTGCGCACTCACGCATTCCTTCAAAGTTCTGTCTGCGATAGAACTCATCAAACGACTTGAGCAGATCTTTCTCCAGCATCTCAAGGAACTTCTCAACAATTTCTCTAGGTTTCGCGCCATTGTTGTTCTTCCGTATACTGTCCGATGAGCTGTTATCGTGGGTGCCATTAACTCCGTTCGTGGAAAGCCCATTCGTCTTGGGCGATTCCGTGGTCCCATCTAGCCGTTGTGATATCTTCAGCAGCTGCCGTGCAATATGCGCACATCGCACCTTGCCCTCTCCACCACCCGCCTTGCGCATGTCGTCCAGACTCGACAAGTCTCCTCGCTCGCTGACTTCTAGCCAGCATTGAAGTACGAACTTGGCATCTTGCGCCCTCTGTCTCTGCTTGTCAAGCTCTTCCAATCGCTCTCCGATGCGCATTGCAGCATTGCCTCCGGCATCGCCATCGCCGTCCAGTGTCCGCTCCAGGCGGTGGAAGGAGCCGATCGCCCGCTCGAGTTCCTGCTCTCGCGATCTGATATTGCTGTTGTGCTGTACCTCAGCTTTGCGCACACTCGCGCTGAGCTCATTCTCCCGCTCTTGTAAGTCCTCACTAAGATTCTTCAGCTTGTTAAGCGCGTGTTCGAAAGTGCGAATGAGTGGCTTTGGGTCGAATGCCTGGCTGGCTTGCGCATTGCTCGTCGTTGCACTCGTGGCAGATCGTCGCGCCAAAGTCGCAGAATCGGAGAGAGATTCAACGAAGTCCTTCACTATGAAATCCTTGCTGCTGAAATTATCGAGCGTGAAGACGGGGTTAATGCGAGCGGATTGTAGCGTAGCCGACCGCGAGTGGCCGGACATGATGCTCGCAGCATCGGGACTGCCGACGCGAGCCATATTGGTTGTTCTGATAGTCGATCATCGACAGTCTCGCCTCTCCATGATGCGATGTCGCCGTGTCTGGAGGTATGTGGTGCAGCGCATGTCATGGTCATGGTGGTGCGGCTCCTTCCCCATTGATTGATCGACGCGCACGGGCTCGGTTGCCGTGATGACACTTCGCTGGCGCCGGCTGCTTTACTTTCTTCATTGACATCAACATGTAGTCTCTCCGGACATCGACTCTCCTCCTTACGCATCCACCCATCTCATCACTCATGGCTCGTTTATCTGGACTTCAGCGAGATGTTCTATCCCTGTACCGGAAGTGCCTACGCACTGCCCGAAGCAAGCCGAATCGCGCGAATTTCGAACGATTTGCCAGAAAAGAGTTTGAGAAGCACATCGACACGAACAGAAAAGATTTTGCAACCATCGAGTTCCTGCTGAGGAAAGGCACACGCCAGCTGGAGATCTACGAGGCGCCCAATATCACCAACATTGCTGGGTGAAATGTACCTTGACAAGAGATGGCAGTTTCAATATGCACACTGTTCACCAGGACTTCCACCCATGGAGATGATAGCATTTCAGTGCTGCCCAGTCTGGCCTTGAGCCTGACTGTTGACTCTCAAGGTAAGCACTTCCACTTCACTGTACTCACTACACGACGAATGATGTTAAAATATGAGTTCTGCAATGCGTATGGTTGAAAGTCCCGATCTTAGGACGGTGGCTCTTCAGCCAGATGCCGACAAACTAAAACTACACTTGAGCTGACTGTAGTTCCTATCCTGTCGCACTTGACCTCATCTTCGGCAAGGAAATGAATCTGACTATCGTTGCAGTCACCTTAGACAGCCCTCCGGCTTTACTCATCCAGCTGTGCTGAATCTCCATAGAGCAGCTGCTCGCCGTGTCCTCCGTAACGACCACCCACTATCTCCACGCTGGCGATCAGGCTATCGAGTTCCTTGACATCAGCCTCGCTGAGTTCGACCTCAACTAAGTTCTCTTTCACGCGCTCGGGAGAGGTCGCGCCGGGGATCGGTACAATCGCTGGCATGCCAGGCTTCTTGCCCTGAGCACGACACCAGGCGATGGCGAGCTGGCCTGGTTTGACACCTTTCCGTTCAGCCAGGCTTTCGATCTCCTTTACAAGCTTCAGGTTCTGCTCGAAGTTCTCCGGCTGGAAGCGCGGCATATGTCTGCGCATATCACCTTCCGGAATATCATCGGGCTTCTTGATCTGGCCTGTGAGGAAACCACGTCCCAGCGGACTGTATGCTACGATGGGAATGTCAAGCTCTGCGCAAGCTTCCGCTACACCATTTTCGAGAATTTCAGTTGCCCAAAGACTGAATTCGACTTCCACGGCATCGATCTTCGCGACCTTTGCTGCTCTCCGGATAGTATTGGCACTGCATTCGGACAAGGAAATGCCGCCGAGCTTTCCAGCCTTCACGTATTCGTTGGCTGTGCGAACTGTGATCTCGATTGGGGTTTCAGGGTCAACTCTAGCAGCCTCCCAGATATCAAGCTTCTTTTTGCCATCCAGAACTCGTAGACATTCATCAATGCTGCGTTTCGTGTTTTCGACACTGCCATCCGGCTTCAGGGCTCCTGGCACAAGGCCACCTTTCACACTGATGACAACCTTCTTCGCATCCTCGGGGTATTTCGTGAAGTACTCATTCAGCAAGTGCAAGCTGTTGCGCTCTGGAGTTCCATAGAGCTCGCCAGCGTTCCAGAAGTTCGCGCCATTGTCTATCGCTGCTTTCATTGCAGCGAAAGCCTGTTCTTGCGTTGGAGGATTCTCCCTCCAGGTAAGGCCCATCAAGCCATAACCGATACCATGGACTTTGCTGCCAGCAATTTTGACATCATTATCCTTCTTCTGAAGCACTTCCTTCGCCTTGTTGATGAGTGAAGACATGGCGTCGTAACCCGATTGAGCGACTTGAGCAATGCCGAGCAATAGCTGAAGGTAAGGATGATGCTTGCAACTTATCTGCCAGTCGAGTCTGTCGATTTCTCTTCTCCTTCAAAGTTATGAATGCGCAATGGCCGATTTGCCTTTTGTTAACTCCAGAATTGAGGTTTTGAAAAGTACGGCCCGGTCGAGAAGCGGGGATGATGCAATACATTGAGCGTGTCCCACCCCTGTCACGCCTGATGGACGGCCATGGAAGCCAGTGGCCAACACGCACAAGATTCATTCACAACTGCACTGCAAACCGCATCTGCTTGGAGCCTCGTTGCTTCCGACGCTAGTAAGACCAGAAGCTGAAGAGATTGTTTATCATGGAGCAAAGCAGGTCGCCATATGTGCGGGCATTGCCACAGCATCATTGAGCATTTGCAGATCACATACACCAGAAGTACTATCGCACATAGGATGGAAAAGGTGTCTGGAACACACGGATGCATGCACCGCTTTCGCTACAAGACGGAAGTCGCGCTTGGGAGACCACTCATCCTCAGGACAGAAAGAAGTAGAATGGGCCACGGAGCGTTCATTCAACTACTGGATTTCTGCATGTCGGACCTCCTCTGTCAGAATTGCCACAGGTCCACTGACGTTGCGCGGCACCAGCCAGAAAACCCAAGTGCTCCTTCATGAACCTCTCAACCATGTGTGACTTTCTCCACGGTACCATCGTCCTTGGTGTGCACGTTCAGCCTGCAGAAAGATAACTCAGCACGGCAGGACTACAAAGTTATCGCCCCACTACTGGGAGCGCCTACCTGTTGGGGTTGTGGTCCATGGTCATCATGTCGCCTGACTTGACGATGCGATGCTGTTCAGGGAGGTCGGTCTTCGCGAATGTCTACCACAAGCTGTCAGCCTTTCTATTGCCTGGGATCTTTTCTTCGTCTCTACGAACTGTCTCATTTGAAGTGTCACCAATCTTCTTTCCGACGAGCTTGTTCATCCACTGAGAGGTCTTATCGCCATCAGTCGACTGGAGGCCTGGAACTACGAGAGGCATGATGGTCGCGGGTCGGTAATGTGGTTGAGTGTTGTTCGAGGTATTTTTCGTGGCAGTGAGTTTGATTGCAATGCGAGAGTAAGAGTAGGACTTTCGATCAAGCTATATTGTACCAGGTTTCTAGAACGGCTGACCATTCTGCGTAGCAATCGCAGGAATGACGTAGTCTTCAGCTGATGCCTGGCCACAGCAAGCAGGAGCTATCAGAAGCTTTCTTCGTCACATGAACTCCGACTCGGACTTCGAGAACGCCACAATTGATAACTGGGAAGCACTGCAGAGCGTCAGTAATATCAAATGCATTCGAGAAGGTTTAGATCTCTGGATTCATTGGCCATTCAATTGATACTCATGACAATGCTAATGCATTCTATAGCAATCCGTTCGTAGCCTCGCCCAGCTTCCCACCACGGGCAGCTCAGACAACAGCTCAGACAGCGGAATCGTTCTTCGCGAATGTCCTCGCTAGTGCCTCAATGCTGTCTGCAATTCTCTTGAAGTCATCCTTCTGCTCTTGAGCAACCTCGTTGATCTCGTTGGCAGACGGATCTTCGTCATCATTTGCCCACTGAATATCGGTTGTGTTGAATTCGACCTTGACGTCTGCGCCATACACATCCTTGGATGGGTGCGAAGGGAACCCTCGAAGGTCTTGGACCAGTCGCAGAAGCTCGTTCACGTCATCACTGAGGGCGTGGTCAGTACCTTTTCTGTTGAGATTCAAGAGCAATTGGACTTACGCAGGAACATCTCCAGTCTTCTCCGATGACTTGTTATTCCCATCGTACTGAGTCTGGCGTACGACCGCGGATCGATTAGGCTCGCCGAGTACCTCGACGGTGAGCTTTGGTGTGTCTGGTACCAGGTCAGCATTGAGCGCCTCTTTTTTGGAGAGCTAGTTCAGCATCCACTCACCAAATGACTTCTGGAGTTTCACCTGGAACTCTCCGGATGGTGGAGGTGGAGCGACGATTCGAGGCATGCTGGGCTGATTTTACTGTGTAGGTATAGTTTTCGCTTTGTGAGTAAAGGAAGAATGTGTGAGAAATGATCCAGAGGAAAGTTTCGAGCACGTCAATAAGTGAGAGCAATGCTCTTGTGCCCCTCTTAACATCATATGCAGGTACCACTCGTCATGACCATCATTGACATCACGTTCCGCAAAATGATGGTCGACGGAACAACCTACGCTTCCGCCTGTCGATCTCGAGTCAACTTAGACTTCAAGCGCCAACGAAGGAAGCGATCAATCTTGATGGAATACATTCAAACGGCGAGGCAAGAGGTATAACTCTTGAATATACTGTGCAGGCCTCAGGCAAACATATATCACCTTCCCAAAAAGGCTAGTGTCATTGACAGACACCGCCTGCGCACAGCCACATGCGTTCTACATCCTGTGCCGCCCTGTTGCCTGGCTGACTGCTGGCTACTGTTGGTCATCTTCCTCTACATCTTCGCTGATCGAGTTGTCTACAGCTAAACCTCCAAACATGGCGGCCGACCTTCGGCTGGACACTTTGCCTCAGGAACTTATAACTCAGATCGCAACGGCCAGCGATGCATATTCGGTGCTTCAGCTCGCGCTCACGTGCCACAAAATTCGAGCAGCTTGCTACGATGTATTGACATTTAAAGAGATCATGGAGAGATCCCAGCAATTACAATGGCGGAAAGATCTGTTAGACATCGCCACTATTCAACGCCGCTGCGGCAAAGATGTCAGAGCCTGGACGAGATACGCGATAGCTAATGAACTGACAATTCGATATGCGCAAGAACAGCAGTCAACTCTTGCTCCACCAGTCGAAGCCACAGAGAAAGGCACAGCACTTTCGAACATGCCGTGGTCAGCTCTGGCACCAAATATTCGAGTAAACGGCAGCAAAGAAATCGCAATGCTCTGGCTTCCCGAGCTATTCCTGGTCAGACATCCCTTCCTGCTAGATGGTTTCTGGAGAGTCTACCTAGACAGCCCTCCAGCGGTTCTCCGAGTCAAGCACATGTTTTGCCTCACCATGGCAGTTCTCGGCGCCTCGGGCCAAATGATCGGTCTAGAGCGTGCGCTGGGCGCATCACGAGGACGAACCCTGGTATCTGGCGACACGATGACAGTTCACCTTTGGAATTTATGCTGGATGATTCTGCAAATACGAGCCTCTGTGAAGACTCGTTTGGCGGCCTGGCCATATAATGACTCCGCAAGAGTGCCTTATATTCCACCGCCTGCTGTCGTAGACATATCGTTGCAGCCTCTAGAGACACGATACAATATTCCCTTGCCATTCGAGAATGAATTCGACGAGTGGTATCAGAATCATACCACTGCCATGGCCACAGAGGAGTACATGACCAAAGGCAAATTCAAAGGCTACTATTGCTACTTTGGCACGTTCGCTCTGGCGCCACCAAGGCTGGATCCTCCCATGATGAACATACAATTCATACGAGACGCAGATGCTCAAGTCAAAGATCAGCTGTGCCTCAGAGCTGAGAATTGTGTTGATGGTGTGGATACATTTGTTATACGAGGTTCGATCCAGGCAGGATACGCGGATAACACGCCAGTCTTCCGCGCTAAGAAACGATACTCGCATGGTACTATGTGGGACTGGCAATTGCGCTTGACGCCATTCGGACTTGTGGGTTATTGGGGCACTTTGTCAGACGAAGGTTTACAGAGAAATGGATCGGTGTGGTTGTGGAAGAGTGACGATAGATCATAACGTGTCGTGAAGCAAACTACCAGTGCCATGAACCCAATAATTTGGGCAACAACTAGATATGCTCATGACCATCTGCATTCTCAATCTTTCACTGGCGACCTCTATGGCTGCAAATCATGACGACAAGCCATGGTGATAGTCAGAAGTCTTGAGACACTGCACTCGAGTTTCATCAAGCTTCATGCGTCGCAGCATAACCCGCTCCTCCATTTGTGACCGACAGCCTCTTGCGGTAGGTCCGTGAAGTGGAGCACACTCTGACTTCGAAGTACGCCACTGTCCTCCCGCCTCGCCCCCACTGCGTGGAGGTGAGAACGCTCTGCTTTGATCGCTCAAGCTCTTGTGGCATGCAGTGTCTCAAGCTGCGAGTTGTCGATCGTACCACGCCGGCTCCTCCCTCTGAAGCATAGTCGTGAGATTCTCCACTGACTCTGCCAAACCTTGAACGTTCTGGTCCCACAACCGGAGATCAATCTTGGGGTTCGTAGGCTCCTTGCTATTGAAGTGGATGACTCCAGCGATCTGATCGATCGATCCCGAAAGACGATTGCTCTGGATCATGCCCGAAGCATACACTTCAGCTCTGTCGGCGTCCACGCCCAAGACCTTGCCGAGATTCTCAAATGTGATGTTGGCATAGATACGAGAGACTGCAAGCAGATTGTGCTCCAGCACGGCTTTGTCGAGTACTGTGCTGCCATCAGAGGTCTTGGCGAGCTGGTGCTCCTTCAGGTTTGCCGCAAAAGCAGCGACTTCATCAGGGGACAGCAAGCGGTCCAGGAAAATCTTCTCGAGGATGCCGAACTCTGGTACATCTGACGATCGCTCGTCTTTGTAGATCTTAGCGAGCTGCTTGCCACGCTGTGGTCCGGCCGGCGCGAGCACAGCACAGGTGATTGCAGCCGAAAGAGCTTGCAAGCGCTCCTCCTCGTCTACGACTGATTCGTTCGATAGCGCATAATACGCTACGGAAGCGTCGAGAAAGCTGCGCTGGGAGTCAGAGATACGAGCTTGCGAAAGCTGGAATTGCAGACGTGTCGGTTGATCTGTGACGTTGTAGAAGATCTGCTTGATCTTGTTGAGGTATGAGGTGGCGTTCGTGGCATCATCTTCCTCGAGGTAGCAGCGACAAATACGCATCCAGATCTTGGCCTTGTCATCGTCACTGACACTGCGCTGTGAAGACTCGAGTGTGATATTCTGTAGGGTTTTGGCTGAGTTGGTGAAGTCATCGTCGGCCTCATAAGCGTCTGCGAGGATGAGCTTGATTTCTGTGTCTTGTTGCTCGAACGAGATCACTTTCGGCTGGAGTATCTGAACGATTTGCGGACTGTACAATAAGGTCAGTGTAAGGAGAGGGGGCGCCAATGTAGAAATGCCTACCCAGCTTCGAGTTTGATCTCATTGCTCAGTGCTCGAAAGTGCTCGACAAACGCAGAAAGGAGTGGCCGGGAGTTGATGACGCCCACAGCATCGGACGTGATACTCTGAACATATGCGACCAAGTTGTCTGAGATATCGTCGCCGGATGTGGTGATTTGCTGCAGCACTTCGGCGTAGCCTTGAGCCCTCTCGTTGCCAGATGCCTGCTCGAGGGCCGCCAGCTGGGAGCCTACAGGCGCCATCGGCGAGAAAGTTCACTTTCCTTTGTTAATTCCAGTAATCGATGTCACTCCTTCGAAATCGGCGCAGTCGGGTTCTGGGGCAGATAGTGAGTGGTGGTGATGGATGGTGGCGGTGTTTGTCCTGATGTTCGAAGTTCAAGCTGCGAAGTGGTCTCCACCAACGCACAGCCACTGTGGCGTCACGTTCACTCAATTCACAGCAACAGAAATCAATGAATTGAAGTATGAACAAACGACGAACAAATTATGGACATGACGATCCATGACATTACAGATCTAGTCTTATAGCTTACAGAAGCACATCTATGCCCACAAGCGTACTGTCCCGTCGGCGCCTCCACTGACCAGCCAAGCCTCCACTGGATGCCAATCAACAGCAAGCACACCGATGTCTTTCTTGATCTTGTGTCCTCGCAGAATCTTCAGAGGCACGACAGTAGCGTTCTCCATCGAATCGCCAAACACTTTGCCATGCAATACCTGCAGCGTTCCATCGTCTGAAGCATCTGCAAACAGAGGGTGTGAATTGTGGAATTTGACACTGCGGATGGCTTTGCTGTGGTATCTCAGAGTCTTGTATGGCGTGCTTCCGAGATCAAGATCGTGCCACAGCAGTCGCTTGTCGTACGACGAAACAAGGAGGTTGTCGCCCATAGGATGCAAAGAGATGTCGCTGATCCAGCGTGCTCCAGGCTGCAATTCCTTCTCTAGCTTCTGAGCTTGCAGGTCATACACACGTATCCGTTGTCGAGTGGCGAGGAAGAAAAGCGGGCGCGAGGGATGGAAGCACACGGTCTGTGCCAAGCCCTTTGGTCGCTTGAAAGGGTGTTGCGTTTGATGCTTGCTGAGAGTGTGTATCGCAACAGAGGTCGAAGTCGAATTGGAATTCGGACACACTGTCGAGAAGTACTCACCTCTTCGGTGCCACACCAGTGTCTTGGGTGTCGATCTGAAGGTGATTGTGAGCATGACTCCCTTGTCCTGTAAGCTCTGAGGCGGCCGTTCCCAGGTAGCAGCCTTCGGTTTAGGTGCGCCATCGACAGTCTTCGTAGCATTAGCCGCCTCATATCCGAATCCAGCATCGATAATGTCGCGCGCATTATTGTCAACCTCCTCAGTTATGTCCTCGAGTTGTGGCACAATGAAGTATACAGTCTCTCCACAGCATGCTCCGAGAATGAATGCACTGTGACCAGGCCGCCACGCGACCACGTTGACCGGCTCGGATTGGGAAAGCTTGATGCGCCTGACTTGACGAGTATTCTCTATGCTCCAGATACGCACGGTACCGTCTGTCCCTCCGGAAGCGATGTAACGACCAGTTGGATCAACAGCCACTGTCCGTACTTGGCCATCATGTCCGCTGAAAGTCTTGTGGCATGTCGTTGGGAACGGCTTGAGCTCTGAAGGGTCAGGTAATTTGGGCAGCAGCGATTCAGGATCGATGTTCAATTTGCTTCGTCGTACTCGAGGGGCGAGGTAGAGGTCGAGACATCGGTTCATTCTCTCGTGCAAAAGCTCGTCATAGCCAGGAACGCGTCGCAGAGCGGAATGGTCTCGAGGCAAGAAGTCACGTTTTCGTTCCTCGGGGTCTGTGTTCTCCCACTCTTCACGTTCTTGCTTGTCTGGTAGATACTCTGCAGGTGGATGATAACTCTCTTCGTAACCGGGAGGAGGCAATTTCGGTGCAGGCACATTCTGCGGACAGTCAGCCAATACTCGTTGAAAACGGAGCAATTCACGTGGAATACCATAGGGTGGTCAGGTCGAGGTGCCTCGTTCGCCCACACATCGTAAGAAGCATATTCCAGCTCTTGCTCTTCCCTTTCCCGCTCTTCCTCGTCTGGTGTTCGGAAGGGTTTGATCCGTCCCTCTTTAATCGCCTTCACCATCTTCATGACCCGTTTATGCTCATGCATAGATGGAATGAATCTACGCTTTGGCTCCGGCGCAGCAGAGAGAGGCATAACTTCCTCCATGCCTTTCCCAGTGAACCACTCGACATAGTCCGGATATGGATCGTATCCATCTCCAGGCTGCTCATTGCGTGTCAACTTCTTCAGCGTCTCCAACTCGTCCGGGCTCAGCTCGAGTGGTTTGCCAGTGGACGGATCCGTGAGGCCTGTCCATCCTTCTGGTAGATCTATGCTCTCAAGCAGCGAGTCGAGTGCTTGGCCCTTGGCCGGTCTGGCAATCTTCTTGCCATTTATGTCGTACCCAATATGTGGATATGCGTCGTAGTATGACAGTGGAATGTTTCCAATCGTGTTCGAGGTGACGGGTGCATCTGAATCGTCGGTGTCGTAGGCGGGATCGATCTCTTGGTAGACGTAGCGTTCGTTTCCGTTGGCGTCCTTTTCGATGCGATAATTGGAGGTTTTTGTGCGATCTTGAAGTTCGAGACGCTTCATGCCCTGATCTGGTGAGACAGACAGATTCTGTATATCTCTGCCGGTGCCGGTGCCCATCAACTTTTCTGGCGTTGCATTTGCACCACGAGATTTCAAATTGCGAATATGATCCCGCACGTCCTCCTCGTCCTCCGATGAAGGAATCTCGTCGCTGTCCAGCTCTGCGTCCTCGTCCTCCTCGTCCTCGATATCTGCTTCACTGTCGAATTCGTCCTCGCTGTCGTCTTCTGCGCTGTCGCTCTCATCGAAGGCGCCATTGAGCTCTTCGCCGTCGAAATCTCCCTCGTCATCACTGCTCTCAGGCCGTGGGACCTCGATCACCTTGCGCTTCTGTCCCGCTCGTTGCGCCATGTTGTGTGTGGGAATGCGTACAAATTTGTCGCTGCGAGCTTCAATCTTCAAAACTTTCGAAGCTTAAGTCCGCAGTGGGTCTGAAGTCCGAGCTCCGGGAGAGTTTCACTTCCAGCGCCCACTCATCCTGCAGCCGCCTCGAAGTGTTCAGACTCCCACCTCTCGAAAACAAGTAGACGTATCTGCTCCATATGCGACAGCACCTAGCTACGGATGCGACGCATCATGTGTGTCATCTACGCCAAGAGCATTCCCCCGAACCTCAAAGGATTCGCGAGGCAAGGATCTACATGTGCAGCTGCACGGAAGCAAGTCTGAGGGAGCAGGTGGAGAGCAGATTATGGTGCACACTACCGCTCAGCTGGGCGAAGTCAATCCTATGCTTGCGCTGCTATTACTTCTAGAATCGACCTGAAAGTCATTGCTTTGTTCAAGCCGTCTTGGATTCAGCTGCGGCACGCATTCTACAATCTTCATTTCAGTCTGTACTAATGGCTGAGGCACAAGCTACGAGACAAACGTCAAGCTCTCCCGGACACAGTGCGGCACAGCCTGTCAAGCGTCGAGCCGCATGTGATGAGTGTAGTGTGTCGACTCACGGCTGCTAACTATTCATATCACCTAACACGAGGACAGGAACGAAGAAACTAAAATGCTCAGGCGCCTCGGTTGAGCGACCACGATGTACACGATGCGAACGAGAGAACATAGCCTGCGTGTTTTCAGCTCAGAAACAGATGGGAAGACCCAAGAAAAGGCATGGGGAGAACGCAGAGAACAACGCAATTACGAAGAGGCGCAATCGGGAGCGTACTTTGGAAATCAACACGGCTCAAAGCATTCCTGAGATGGACATTTACGAGAGCGCTTTTACACCAGGAGGCAGTCTGCAGCCTTGGCTGAGAGACGGCTGGCCAGCCGATGTTAGCGGAGAAGGCGGACACAACGGGCACGGCAGTGATGGAGGTTTGCCCGGCCTGACGCCCGACGCTGGTATGGAATCGAGCCGCAGCAGCAGCCTGGAGAACGGCCAAAACAGCCTCGTGGGCGTTCAAGACGAAAGTACTTCGCTACTTCTTGATCCTTCCCTCACAGGCATAGCCGATGCCCCAACCAGTGTGCAAGCAAGCTCTACGCCCAGTTGCGCTTGTTTGAGCACCCTCTACCTGACGCTGAACAATCTTCAAGTGATGGACAACGACAGGTGCAGCTTTCCGTTTTCGCTGCATCCCTTGCGAGAAGCAATGCAGACCGCATCGGAAGTCCTGAAATGCGAGGCGTGCCCTTCTCGATTTATATCAGCAATTCAAAATACACAGTTGGTCGGTACTTTGTTAATGTCCATCGTCGAACGTTTCGGCAAGGTTCTGGGGCACATTAATGCCGAGGCCGTTCGAGCGCAAGCAGCAGGCGAGAGCAAGAAGTTCACTCTGGCTGACCTCAACAGCTCAACTTTGCATCTGCATACTGGTGGACTAAATTGCTCGGCCGCGTTCTCTATCGACCTTAGCCCGGGTGAGTGGAAAAGCATGTGCAAGAAGGTGGTGCGAGCTGAGGTGCATGGGCCAGGGGCTGGAAACAACTGCTGTCCATATTTTGTTGGGCTATGCGCACAGATGGAGCAAAGGCAAGCCAGATGGCACTCGCGACCTCTCCCGAAAGACTTTCCTCGTGACGGTAAAGGGCTCGCAGTCGGTATGGAGCGGGAATCGATAAATCCCGGACACGCCAACGGCGAGTACTTGTGTCTTAAACTGGTCGGCTTCGCACGCAGGCTTGTGGCGACATTGGACTGGTCGTGATTTTCGCCATTGAGCTTGCCGCGTTAAAGAGGTTGATAGACCAATCCATAAAACGGAGTGTCACGCGGGCTTCAACAGAAAGCTGTGTCTCCCTTTCATGAGAGTCCCTCAGCCGGGCTTCCTCAACTTGTTAAGCGCTGCCATTACTCCCTCACTGAGCGCCTCGTCGTCCTGCTTGCGCTTCTTTGGCACCTCAGACGGTTCGTTTCGCGTTGTTGCGGTAGTCTTCTTGACCGGAAGCATAGCCTCATTCATCGCTGCAGCAAAAGCCTCTTCGTCCTCGGTGGGCTCTTGTATCTGTTCTGCGAGCCGACTAGGCGGGCGGCGATCGGCGTCGGCCAGACCAGTATTCGTGCGGCTGAGAGCAGGGGTAGTTGCTGCACTGGAAATTGCCTCGTCCCTCGTGACATCTCTGGACAATGTCGGCGCTCGTGATATTGGCTGGGTGCCGAGAATGTTTTCCACTTGTAGTCCTCGTTTGCCGGCTCGCTGAATCCGAAATGGCTCAGTCACGCTTTGAGTCCACTGCTGCACCTTCTTCTCTCCCCAGCCCCCAATCATCGCCACTTCTTCGTGCCGTGCATTTACCGCAGTGCGAATTGTGCCAAATTGAGACACAAGTGAGACAGCATCTGTCTTGTTGATCGATCTCGGCGTGGTCACAAAGTCAACCATGCGATCACTGTAAGACGTGGACTGATGTTGCTTGATAGACGTCGGTGCCGCATTCTCGTAGGTCTTGAACAATTCCAAATATCGTGCTCCTTCGGCGGCGGACCAGCACAGGATGATGGTGACATTGTTGATCACACTGGTCTTACTGAGCTCCTTCAAGCTCTCCTCATGGTTCTGGATATCGACCATGCACAGGATGATGCGTAATGCGTACTTGCCCTGCAGATTCTTGATCCGCGTGTAGATATACTCGGGGTGCAGCCGGTGATATTTCAGACTGAGGAACAATGCACAGGTGGTGACCCCTAGTACATAATCTGCTGGTATGTCTGCATACTCCCACGGCAACGATTTGATCTTGTCCAGGATCGGATTTCCCTTCTGCCTTGGAGATACAATAATAGACGCTGGACCGGTACGTCTCGGGAGTGCTTGTGGTTTTGGTTGTTGCACGCCAGGTTTTGTCGTTGATGTAGCGCCACTCTGTCTGTCCAGTCCACGTTGTCGCAGTGGTTGTCCGTTTTGTCGTGAGCCTGATGCGTGTGACGGGTTCGAGCCTGTTGTGGCGTTTCGAGACACGCTCGAAGCTGCTCGATGCGGCCCATCATCCTCAATCTCGTCGGCCATTTTTGCTGCACATGCTCACCGCCGCACTCACCGACAGCGCATTGTTCCGTCGCCTTCTGTCAACAGTGAATGCAGATTGCCTGTGGAAGTGAGGCGCGTTGACGTTGACGCGAACAAAGGGTCATAAGGCAGAAACGCGGTTGACGGCAAGCAGGCGCACAAGCCACTCGCCCGTCGACGTCGATCCACCAAGCGCTTCTTCGCTTCTCCAGCGACGACATCCGGCCACCAGTACCAGCACCACCGCCCCCATCACCACTGGATCCCCCGCCCAGCGCCGACACTCCCTGGACCTGGAAAGCCGTTGGTCTCGATCTTCCGATGCTCGCCTGGCGCCGCGCATACTGATCCCGCCCGTTTCGGCGAGCCGACGTTCGTCTTCTGGGCCGGTCGTGCACGCTCTTCAACCATTCTTAGGCGGGCATCCCCTACGGCCACGACGCTGACCTCGCCGCCATCCTCGATTGCTGGAGTGCGCTCTGCTTCAATGTCCGCCCACGACGGCGAGCGATCACCGAAACGGCAGAGACTCGACTCCTACTCGCCCGCCAGCCCACGGCCGACCGCAGAGCCGACAAAGACCTTTGTGCCCAACTACTCCACCCCTCCACCCAGCGTCCGTATGTCACCTTCATGGACCGCGCAATCGCAGACGAGTCAGCAGCTGCAACACCAGCCTGGAGGTAGCAATTTCCCGTCTCCACCGAGCACCGCCGGCTTTCAGAACCGAATGGCGAACCGCGACAGCGAGCACGGTGGCAGTGGACACCATACTCCGGCCTCGCAAGACGATGGCGACATAAGGAAGGACGGAGACGGTGATTCGGAGATGACAGACCGACGAGAGAATCCTGGGGACGGGCACAGAAGGAGCGATCACGAGCGACAAAGAGGTGAGGGTCATGATGCGGCGACATCGTCTTCGAATGCTGTGCCGCAGCTATACAGAATCCGCACAAGTCGTAAGTATTCCCAGCGGGTGGTGTACATGCAATATGTGCCATGCTAAACGCCCTTATCTCTTGCAGCGATCGTACCTTCACGGCCGCATGCGAGTCAGAACCTTCTGGCGCTGTACGATCTATCAGCAATACAAAAACGAGTTGCTCGAGTAGATGATGCGGGCAACAAGATCAAGCTCAGGAAGTCTTATGCGAGCAAGGTCAAAAATCTAGGGCTTGAAGGCCTGAACAAGGCCGCACCGAACCAAGGCGAGCTGCGAGGCCTTGTGGATCCGGATTGGAATTTTGAGACTGCGCCTGGGCAGACGTTGTGGGATCAGACCTGGCAGGAGTTGAAATTAGGTGATTCTGCCGCGGAAAATGAGCTTCTTGGGAAACTAGATTCGGCACTTCAATTCCAACCGGGACGCTTACCAAGGAACGAACATGAAGCGTGGAAGAAGACTTTAGGCTTGGACGAATCCACCTTGGCGGCGAAAAGTCTCGCTGCATCCAAGGACGCAAAGCGACCTGTTCCTAACGCGCATCTAGCCAAGACTGCACCGGCCACCGCCATGAGGTCCTCTGCGCCATCGTCGCCCCGGAATGGTCAGCGACTCGATCGAGCCGGAAAGAAGCGTAGCTACGGTGACAGCAGTTTTGAAGGGTATGGTGAGGGTTACGAAGACGATACAGATCTCGACGACAATGGGAGGCGGAGGGATTCCTCTAAACGCCAGAAGCGCAAGGTGAGTTCCAGTCTCTTCGGGTCGTACCAAGCCCCTAGCACGTAAAGACTGCGCATCCACTCGGAGTCAAACACAGAGCTGAGAAGCACAATCTCGTGGCCAAGTGCATATTCGGCTAGGTCTTTGGGTGAGGAACAATAGACTTGCGCAGTGTATGGGGTCGTACTGAAGCATCATATGTTATCTCATGACGTGAAGTTCGTCAGCTTACACTCTTGCAGGAGTTCCCTTCGAATGCGAATTCCCCCGCCTTCTCGAGTGGTGGCGGCTCAAGTATGGTGGGCGTTCGCAGCTCATGAGTGCTGCAAACCCGATTATGGATCAATCAAGTCTGATATTCTGACTATGGTCACTGGTCTACTGGTCCTGCTTCCCGTTTTGATGGAATCGACCTCTGGTCTAGCACGTCTTCACTGCCCGGTTCTCGGGCGACCCGTACACACAAAGACCCAACCCACAGAGGAGTGGACGCGACTTTTCCACGCCCGGATCTCAATATCCCGCCGTTTGGAATGCTTACACACCGATGTGCAAACCTAATCACATATCCGCAAACAACCCATGCTTTTCCAACTTCTTTTCGCGACGATCGGAGGCAAGACATCCTCTTTCGACTTTACGTGGCATACGACAATCTCGTATGCACGAACGAAGACTGTTATACAGCTCGGGCCACGCGCGCAAGCAATGTGCATATACAACCGAGGAAACACAAACACACACAGTCCGTTGATACAGACTGGACTTTGAGACTGACTTTTTTGATTTTACGAGGATGATTGCAAAGAAGTGAAGAAAGACACGGAAGGTCACGAAAGTGCGGAGAAGCTTCTTGTAGTTTCATGGGCGCTGCTTTGTGGTTTCTGCTTTTGCTTTTACTCGGCGCACGAAATACCCCCCAGGTATAAATCCTACTGGGAACTTTTGGTTGTTTGTTTTTGGAAAGCAGAAAGGGGTATACAGCGGGGATCGCGAACGGTCGTAACGTATGTGTGTGTGCGTGTAGAAAGAAAGAAATCACTGGCAATGGCTTTCTCTGGTGGTGATGCACCAGATGGCTTTTCGGTTGAGAAAATGAGACTCGTTATTGAGGATTCTGAGATTCCTTTTCTGTTCAGGTCCAACATCCTGTACCTCCACTCGTGGCAAATGATATGCATGTTTGACGCTCAACGAATAGCTATATCACCGCAAGTAAATTTTCATGCCGAGGAGCGTAAGCACTGATGTTGCAGGATGCTCGCGAGTACATTTACGAGCAAGCTGAACGACATGGATCTATCACAGGAATCGATTCGATAGCCACGTAGATATAAAGAGATGATATAAAACTAAATCACACGAAAGTCCATGGATTTGACCGTTCTTGTTCCCATATACACCACACGCTGTACATTCATGTCCCGTTTTCCCCCTTTCTTACACCTGAAACTCCTCCATAATGAAAATATATTTCGACAGAGATTGAAAATTGAGTATGACTGGATTTGATGATCCTTTTGGTCATTATTTCGACTCCGTCATGTTTACCCTCGGAGCGGGGAGTTCACCCACATCACTCCCAGCCATTTCGTAAATGGGAGTCTGGCCTCGCATTTCTGCCGGCACGCCCTTGACAGGCGAGTAGAACTCGTGCGGGTTCTCCATTTCAGAGTATCCGATCTTATTCGGATCGATCTTATGAGGGCTGTCCAGTTGGTGGATTTCTTGGCCCTGCAGTTCGCCACCCATGGGGCCGGAGATGAATGGTCGGGCTTCGGTGTCCAGGGAGTAGGTTTTGTCTTCTGGTGTGCTGCCTGCTGTGCCTCCCGCTGCGGATTTCGCATCGAGCTCGGCGAGGCGTTGCTTTTCTGTGGTCTTCTTTTTGCGGCGAAGGAAGAAGAGAACGAGGCCGGCGATTGCGACCAGACCGACGACGCCGCCGACTACGCCTCCAGCGATGGCACCGGTGTTGGATGAGCTGTCGTCGTCGGTGCTCGTCTTGTTTGCACGAAGGATGGATACTATCTGTTGCTGGGCAATTCGGTCTGCATTCCAATCGCAAGGAGCGATGGTGAAATTTGAACGGTCGTAGTCTGCGATCACGTAGGCTTCCTGGAAGAAAGTCCGCCCAAGCGTGTACTGCGATGAATTCTGCGCCCTCTTCAATGGGAAGTATCCCGTGCTTTTCACAACGTTGGGAAATCCCAGCGTCAAATCAAAGGCCGCATACGGAAAGACAATGTCTATTGCTTCCGAAGTCGCTGTCGAGTCTGCAGCTATTGTGAAGGTGACGTTGGGGTTCACACTTCGCAGCTGTTCGCGGAGCGTTTCGTTGACCAGATAGAAATTAGTGGAGTCGTCGTATGTTAAGTTGAAAGCGGCCTCGAATGCATCGCATGCTGACTGCGGTAGCCACAATTGCGCAACAGAGGAGTCGAGGAAGATTTGGATGTTGCCTTGGGGCAGGAGGACGTTGGCCGAAGAATCGGTCGTGATGGAGCGCAAGTTTACCAGGAGATCGCGGCTGATATCGGTATTGAATGGAAGACTGAGACTCTGATTCTGGTTGAATCTGCTCGCATCATAGCCGCCCAGTGTGAGCGAGCCCAGATTGTTGCCATTCAGCCTGTACTGGTTACCGGCAGTGTATGCCCAGGATACCGACGGAATAGTCCTGTTGTTCACCAGAGATTGCACAAACGAGGTCTGTGGGTTATTGAACTGAGTAACGCCAGCCGAGGTGGTGAAGTTCGTTGGGCGTGGGTTGAGACCAAAAATTCCCACGAAGAATTTGGCACTGTCCAGATTGAAGACGACATTGTGCTCTGCTGAGGCCTGTACTGCGCCAGGCCAGCCGATAGTGACGCTGTCATATCCGGCCGTGCCCTCGGTATCGAGACCCAGATTCTTCGCAACTCCCACGTTGTAAATGCTATTGGGTACCCAGGTGTTAGATTCGGAAATCTCGAAGATGCCTCCTCTTTGCTGCGGACAATCCTCTGGGTATGTATCCGGGCAACCTTCTGGGGAGACTGTCAAGACGGATGTAGCGGATGTTCCAGGCATGAGGCGCACCGTCTGCGGCTGCACACCAATCTGCACGGGAAACGACGACCACGGCCCATCGTTGCCATCCCAATTCTGCGCCGCCGCAATGCTCAATGCCGCCGGTATCGTCGTTGTCGAGTCATTCTGCCTCTTCTCTAACCTCTCCAGCCCTGGAATGCTCCGCGATAGTAATGAGGGGATCGAGTATGCGTCAGCGAGCGAAACGGCAAGCAGAGCTGCCAGTGTTCCCGTGCGCGCCATCGCACGCGCCCTATCGACTCCGTTTCCTCGTCGGCCAGCCAGGATAGATCACGCCTTGGAGCGCAGGTTCGACGCGGTGACGGTGGTGGCAGCGCGCGATGCCATTCAGGAGGGTGTTAACGAGCGACAGGACATGGTGGAGGAGGCAAGACAATACGAGGTGGTAGTAACTCTATTCTACTCTGCGCTGCGACGGCGTCAATTTGCCCGCTGTCAGCCGCCGGGCTCTCGGATGCTGCTGCACGTGGTGTCCCTTCTGGCCATCCCATTCAGTTCTGGGCCGCTTGGACTGTCTCCAAGAACTTGACTCCTGGTGCTATCTCTGCCTTTGAGCACATTGCGGTCCATCAATGGCTGCGAACGATGTTATCGCAGGCCGGTCATGATAGCAGCCAAGAAGCTTTTCCCGTGGACGTCTTCAACGCTAGCCCCGAGTCTAACTGCAAGAGCCGCGGTAGAATGCGTCCTGTCGCCTGATCTCCGGCGTACATCTGGGTCCAGATGTGCTTCAATGGCATGCTTAATTCTATTTCGAGCTGCACTCTACGCCATCCCGCCGCCTCCGCCGCCTCCGCTCACGCAGGACGACGAGGTGGAATATGGAGGCATCGTCGGGAGGTCAAACATAACATCTCCCAGCCTTGCAGCACGTGCTTGGTCCTTCTGGTCCGGATTCAGCTCGCCACAGTCGATATGGCCATGGGTGATAAAACTCGCCTAAGCTCAGCGGAGGATCTGCTGTGCTGGAGTGGATCAGAGGCACATGCGCGGGCAGCTGAAGATTCCACACAGCAGAAGCAGACGAGCATAGTAGCGGATGATCTGGCCGGGCAGGACTTCTCTTGGGTGAGGCCATGGCGTTGCTGCTGACAAGCCTGCTCGCAGCTTTCAATGCAGCCAACTGCAGAGGACTCTTCAAGACTGATCCTTCGACACGTGCCGGTGGTATGCGTAGCGCCAGAAACGCAGTATCGCTTATTCCATCCGCCACACGCGATGCTGGAGAGCAAATCACATCCCTGCGACCTCCACTGCAAGACTGCACGCGAGACCGCCATCGCTTGCAACTCATCAGCCTCTTCGCCTCGTGGCTCTTCACTTTCTATTGCTACGCAATTTCCTAAGCTCGTTCCACGCTCGCTACCATCTTTTCCGCGAATATGGCAGTGTAGGTCCCTGTGCCCATTCACTCGCTCTGTCGTCATAACGACTGTGATATGCTGTGGTTTGCAGCATTCGTCGGTCCGGCTATAGCTACGGAGGCTGGACATAGATTCGGGCTGCCAAGAGGTGAGGAAACTGCAGCAGTGGTATTCCACAATCGTCTGTGTTGGCATTCAACGTTAATCATGAGTAGATGCAAATGTCACGGCCGTCACAGACATCAGCCCCACGGGTCCAAATGCTTTTAATACTTCGGCGTACTGCGCCTCGCAGATGTCTCAATATTTCGCGACCTACAATCCGACTGGGGTTTTTACAACCTCGACTATCACGGATTACATAGGCTTCGATGACACAGGCGAGCAGACTGGCAAGATTGTGACGCAGTCTTACAGCACCAGGACTATTACCTTCACCAAGGAGGCATATATGGCCTGGCAACAGGGCGGGGCCAAACCGCCATGCTGCAATACCTGTCAATTGAAGGCTGGTACGATCGAATTCTTCTGGTGGCCAGACCTGGCACAAATCACCACAACTACCTCGGACCCAGTAGCCTCGCCAACCAACAATGTCATCGTGACCGCAATGGGCAAAGATGGCTTGGTGTTCACTTCGCCGACCGTGTACATGGCATTCTCATCACTATATGCGAAAAACTTCTGCGGCACAGTCGGCGAGATCTGGGAAAATACCACGATCGGCTTCCATCCCAGCGAAATTTCGACTATCAATGAGTACTCATACACATACTATAGCTACTTCACGACAACCGAGCGAGGTTCCACCATCACCGGCTTAGCTGATGCAAAGGGAACTAGATTACCTCCGTCGCCGCTCAAATATGCAGACTTAGCTCAGAATTGCTCGACAATATCTGGATACGTCTACTTTGAGAAAAACCCGCAGAATGATGTTGGAGGCGGCTGGGAGCATGATCCTTGCCATCCTGTTCTTGCCATCCCGAAGGCTTTGTTGAACATGCAACAAGCATGGCAAGATGCGCAATGCACTGTTCTAGATGGCTACGGAGCGTACGATCCCCCGATTGCCCTCACGCCTGCCACAGCTGCTGCTACGCCCACTCTTCCGCCTCAGCCTGACAAAACGGACACGCACACCGAGGCACCAGTGACCACGACTCATACCGCCTTGCCGGATAGTCAACCTACGAATTTGCCGAATCAGGGAATTGTCTCTGGAAATGAACCATCTGAGACGACCTGGACGATTGGCCCTCCGACGCCCGAGACGCCCATCATTCAGCCATCTCAAAGCGACTTGGACACTCCGTTCGTTCTTGGGACCGAGACTGAGACGAGACAGTTCAAGCCCCACGTTGAAGCATCAGGCAAAGCGCTATCTAGCATTGGACGTACGCTTCAAAATGTGGGTGCCGGCCAACAGCAGCCTGTGCAGACTACAGTCGAGGTCTTCACCATCATTGAAGTCACAATCAACCCTGCTGGGACCACTTCTGTTTTGACGAGAACCACCGAGGCTATCTTGCAACCTGCCAGGACAGTCGTACAGGCAACAACGGACAGAGGCGGCTTTGTCACAATGAAGACCATTATCGAGGCAGAAAAAGGCAAACCAGGACAACAGGTCGGGAACGATGGTACTGTCTACACTATTCTCCACGAGTCTACTCTGGCCGACGGTCGGAGGACAGTAGTCCCTTCTGTGGTACTGCTTGGCGGTGCCATTCCAGCCCAGCTCGAAGGGTCAGGAGCGCATGTTGCCGTGCCTATCATCACAGCTGGTGGCAATGTGTACACCGCTAACTCTAACTACGCATTTGACATAGATGGTACGATGCTAAAGCCAGGCGGGACAGTAACTGTTGACGGAACCACCCTCCGATTGGGCGTAGATGGAATGACAGCGATTATCAACGGACAAACCGTGCCAATGGCGAAGGTCACCTCTAGCGAAGTTCCCGACACCACCATCACTGTCGGCGGTAATATACTAACTGGCGATGCTACAGGCGGCTTTGTGGTGGCACCTGGTACGATATTATCGATTGGCGGTTCATCTGTAATCATTAGTGGAACGGCATACGCTCTGAAGACGAACAGTGCAGGAGAGACGCTTCTTATTGCAGGTCCTAGCGACGCGTCATCCACAGCCGGAAATGTTGCAGGGTATATCATGAGCGTTATTGGAGAGACACATTCGAGGAACGAGGCGAATGCGAGAGCCAGAACATCTACGACACGGAATGAAGGAAGCACAGCCACGAGAGAGGTTGAGACAACATCGACAGTATCTTCTGCAACAAGCACAACGATCAATAAGACATGGCTCCCCTCATGGTGCTTCGCCATCATATTGGCACTCATAGCAAGCATATGATGGGATCCAACGCATAGCTTCCACGAGATTCGGCGAGAGATGATGACTTGATGCATATTAGCGATCATGTAGAGCAATATTAATCAATAATACTATGTCGATATGATCAATGCCCATCTGGACTCAAACACATAATGCTGTGTTGAAGTCCACGATCCTTCAACAATCAAAAGACATCGCAAGCAGCAGATGACCGTACGCCCTACAAAATCTGCTTCGTCTTACCAGTTTCAACCTCATATACCCAGCCCGAAATCGTCTTTCCTAGCAAAGCAGAATGACCTCTGAGCCACTCCACATCGTCTTTGACGGCTTTCTCCAAATCTGGGAAAGGCTGGAAATCGTATGTACCAGCCAAAACACCTGTTCCAACGTTTTGTGCTACGAGGGAAAGAGCGTCGGTGTTTGTGAATGTGAGCATGCCGCAGCCAGTCTGGGGAAGAGTTGTACTACGTTAGTGACAGTCCAACTAGGGCACGACGTATCTCATCACGGAAAACGTGGGTTGGGATCATGAGGGATAAGACTCTTACGTGTTTGACCAATACAATCTCCCGTGTTCCGAGAAGGTGTTGAGAGATCAGGATCGATCGGAGGGCGTCTTTGGCGTTGCCTGCGTGGGTTTCCCATCAGTCGACATGGCATATGAGTTGTGGAGTAAAATGGAGAGCTGTACCGCCGGCATTCCTAATCACATGTGCATCGCCGAGATCGATACCAAAGGCTGCAGCGGGATCGATACGAGCATCCATGCAAGTCACTGATTGGAACAATATTAGCCTTCATTAGATTAAGGATCAGATTGTAGTACAACTTGCCCACAAGATACTTCTTCGCTGGTGGGAGCGCGAGATGGCCTTTTGTGAAAGATGAGCTATACTCTTCGTTCTTAGAGACCAGGTTCTTTTGGATATCTGTTGCCATCGTGTGTGAGCTCCAAAAGATTTACAGTAGAATTCTATCTGTCTGAACGTCGTTTTGAGATTAATAGATTAGACGACGATGTATGGTGGGGCTTGCTCTGGAGAATGCTTCGGTTATCTTTGTAGCCATCTTATTTATATATCATTGAGCTGTTGTGTAGCTGTATCGGGCGGGGAATATGATATGGCGTGCTACAGCTAGCGCAGGTACCTGCTGAATCCTCTCCAAATACATTCGAGCTATTGCTGGCCCTGCCATGCAACACTCCTTGGCAGACTTATCAAGAATGTGCAGGAGATAATCACAGAGCCTGCCTATTGCGAGCAAAAGTGGCAGTTCTCATACGATCGTGCACCCACAAGTTGTACGTGCGCCGACAGATCGCTCATTGTCGTTCAAAGTGATTCCGCACAGCTCGCACGTATGCTGGACCAGTCCGACAGCAACCGCCTATCAGTCTTGCGCCATTCGCTGTCCAGCTGTCGAGCTCAGCAGAAAGTTTCGCCAAAGCAGCAGCTCTCTCTTTCGTATTGAGAATGTCTTCTGCGCGTTGACCATGCCAGGTCTTGCTCACCGCATCCCACACCTCTCCAGAGTTTGGATAAGCAATAAGGGGCATCTTCGTCAACTTGTGTATGTTTCCGAGGGTTTCTGCAGAAATGGCCATGGGCACGCAGTTGATGCCGAAAGCCACGACCTGTTCAGAATGCTGCTGCACCACGGCGACTGCCTCTTGCCAGGGTGTGCCGTCCGCGAGGTGTTCAGTATCCTTGACCGTGCAGCCGAGCCATGCAATAGCAGCGGGGAATTCTCTCTCGAGCAGCACCAGTAACGCTTTGATCTCATCGATGTTTGGTATCGTCTCGATCGCGAGGAGGTCAACACCGGCGTCTACCAGCGCGGCGATTCTGGGGCGATGGAAATCCATATATTGCTCAGCCGTCAACGTATAAGCACCCGTGTACTCAGATCCGTCCGAAAGGTATGCGCCATATGGTCCGACACTGCCTGCTATGAGTAACGGCCTGTTTCGACCAACGACGCTCGTGTAAGCTTTGTCGCGAGCCTGCCTAGCCACTTCAACACTGCGCTTGACGAGTTCCTTTCCGTCAGCTTCGCTCAGCTGTAGATGCTTAGTCAAGCCCTCGGTAGCAGCTTGGTAAGAAGCTGTGATAGCGATGTATGCTCCCGCAGCGAAGTAATCAAGATGGACTTGTTCGATGCTGGCTGAGTCGTCTTGAAGGATCTTCGCAGACCAGAGAGGATGGTTCAAATCGTGACCACGAGCCTCAAGCTCAGTGGCAAGCGCGCCGTCTATAATAAATGTGTCCACGGCATGGAGTAATGACTCGAAGGCATCTCTGGAGAGCATTTTCGCTGTGCCTTGAGTGGCTCTTGCTTTGCAGGAGATTCAAAAGGTCTCGTAGTCGGGATCGGCAATGCAGGAATGAACGCTGGCTATCTGGTTTGTCAGGCCAATGGCTCCAGGGAAAGGTGATGTTTGGGCGAAGAGACATTTTCAAAAGCCGCCACTGGGCAGTAGATGGGCCACTCCAGCTCCATGATCAGTCAACGAGCGATATGCCGTACGCACTGTCGCCAATTGATGCTCTTCGCCTCGTGAGCGAGATGAAGTGAAGTCACAACAAGCAAGCCATCAAGGTCCGAGCAGGTCGGAGGCGATGCGTGGTGCAGGAATGCGTGGTGGGTAAGGTTCAATGTTCGTGTCGGCCAACTCCACGTCACTTGCAGGCTGCGGCTTGAGCTGTTGCCAACAGCGCGAGCTCAGAAGATCCGCGACCTCGAAACCAACAACACCCCAAACATGTCGCTGTTCTCCTTCTCCACTCCGCTCGACATCGACATCGTCCTCGACAATACCGACGACCGGCCCACAGTTGACGCCAAACTCGACAAGAACCGCCGCGAGAAGTGCCCGCTGTACCTCGATGGAGAGACTGTCAAAGGCGCAGTCACAATACGACCCAAAGATGGCAAACGACTAGAGCATACCGGCATCAAAGTGCAATTCGTTGGCACGATAGAAATGTTTCTGGACCGCGGCACCCACCACGAGTTCCTCTCTCTGCAAACCGAACTAGCAGCACCTGGCGAGCTCCAACATCCCGTCACACTTCCCTTCTCCTTCAAGAATGTCGAGAAACCCTACGAATCCTACCACGGCATCAACGTCAAGCTGCGCTACTTTCTTAGGGTGACAGTATCGCGCCGCATGGCAGACGTCGTGCGCGAGAAAGATCTCTGGGTCTACTCGTATCGCCAACCACCCGAGACGAACAGCGTGATAAAAATGGACGTCGGAATCGAAGATTGTCTACACATTGAATTCGAGTACAGCAAGAGCAAATACCATCTGAAAGACGTGATCGTGGGGCGGATCTACTTCCTTCTGGTACGGTTAAAGATCCGACATATGGAATTGTCTATCATAAGGAGAGAGACGACGGGCGTGCCGCCGAATCAATACAATGAGTCGGAGACGTTGGTGAGATTTGAGATTATGGATGGATCGCCTTCGCGTGGCGAGACAATACCCATTCGGTTGTTCTTAGGCGGCTTCGATCTTACGCCTACGTTCCGCGATGTGAATAAGAAGTACAGCACGAGATATTACTTGTCTCTGGTGCTCATTGACGAGGACGCGAGGCGGTATTTCAAGCAGAGCGAGATCGTGTTGTACCGGCAGGCACCTGAGAACAGTGAACTGGCGCAGAGGCAAGCGAAGGAGATTCAGGCGAGCTAGGCAGACGTGGATGTGAGACGAGGATGAAAAAGTCATTAAAGGTCGCCGAACAGATGTTATACTGTGAATAACTACTTGCCAGCGGTTTTCAGGGACGCTTTCACGAGATATGAACATAGCAGGGCGCTCTGGCGTACAGAGAATTCGAACTTAGGGCGATCGCATCTTCGTAGTTGAGACTATGGCAATGACTGCGAAGCTTTCTGGCTCGTCAAACAGCAATTAAGATATGTTTGCCGAGGCTTGGTATCACATATGACATCTCTATCTTTACACATCGATCCCAACGCGTCTCTCCCCTTCAATGGCAGCCTGGCCAAGTATGAAAGGCGTTGCTGCTTCCGAGTTCACCAGTGAGCCTGGGTACTCCCTCGTAGCAGCGTGGCTCCGACACCAAGGTCCCAAGTACACTTGTCCATTCCAAGGTATTCATCACATGTGTCTCTCGCTCGCTCCTCTATGTTGAGCTCGTAGTGTAGGCCCCCCTCATTTGCAGATGAACGCCGTCCCCGAGGGCACATGTTTGCAAAATTGCCCACCATGCCAAATGTATGCAAAAACGCTTGAACGTATCCAGATACAACAGAAATCTGCTTCGAAATGCAGCCGGCCTTGTCATTTCATCATGACATCAGTAATTTTGGCAGTTATTGCTTGCCATCGCCTTGCTGATCGGTTTGCTCCTGCTGCGCCTGATTTTGCGCAGCTTTCTCCTTCTCGGCCTTTTCTTTCTTCGACCTTCCGGTCCATAGATCCGAAATACCGTCCTTGAACTTCTCCCAGGGGTTCCGATTCAGATAGTTGCTCAGTTGCCGGAAGTTGTACATTTCTCCCCAGCAATCGCGACCCCACTCGCAGCCTGCCATGTTCACGAGGAAATCCCGCTCCGCCTCTTGATAGTGTATGCCCTGGAGGCCACATTCCTTCATATCGTCTCCGATCTTGAGCGCTCTGCAGCCGCCCGATGGCAGGCCTCGATCGTCGCCGCAGGCTCCATTAGGGAAAGCATTGACCTTGCGTTGCGCCGCAAAGGCTACATGCGGTCGAATCCAGGGTTGGTTCGTGTAGATGTACTCGAAAGCGTCCTGCTCTTTGTGCTCCCATTCCATGTGCCGCTGCTCGTAGAAAACTGGATCCCACCACATGTCGAGCACTCTATCTGTCCATGAACTTCTGCGGACGAAGAAGGAGCCCAAATTGAAACCACCACAGTCTTGCGACAGGACCAAGTTAATGCTCTCTGGTTTGCCATCCCCAACCAGTGATAAAGACTCCTCGTCCAGGTAATTCGCATACTGTCCTTCGCTGGCCTTGTCAGAAGTGCAGTTCGGCGGGTGTTGGATTTTCAAGGGATTGTATTTGTTGATGTCGCGGTATGTCGTGCCGCCGAGGTCGTTGAAAAGGTGGCTTTGTAGCGAGTACTCCGGTTCCATAATGAAGGTGTTAAGATCGAGCCACCAGAACCTGACAAACTATCAGCCGTGTCCGTCAATTTGCAATGTCGCCAAACTTACCACTCAGCCTGGGGATACTTCTTCATAGCATTTCGCACAATGTCCACCTTCTCCCAGCTCTCCCTCCATTCGTGGGCGTAGCGCTTTTTCGTGCTCATGTCCACAATGTGGAGGTCATAGCCCCATTTGGCAGCATACTTTTTCTTGTTCTTAACACTGTCTCTTTCGATCGCCCATTCTCGAGCTCCCTTCCACTCCATCACACCGCCTCCCTGGTTGGCGCCGAGTATGATGACGAAATTTGACCCTCCTCCTAGCCATGATGTCCTCCTATACCAGTATCGAACAGCTGTCATGTTGTTAGCCACAAACTACCTGCCGCTCGAAGCGCAGAATACTCACGACTCCAAAATAATGCCAGCAATCCCAGCACGGTGATGATCAACATCGCCATGTACTTCCGTCTCCGAGACATCAGTAATCCGCACCGTCTCGGGAGGTCTGCCAATGTCCACCGCATTCCTGTCCGCCCCCGTTCAAATTTGTCCTTCCCTGATATTCGCTCTTCCTGTCCCCCGTGTGCGAAAGGCAAGCTCATGCTCAGTTTGCGCCCAAATCTCCCAAAGAAGCCTTGATTCGTGCTCTGGTAGCGCGGGTATCCGTTGACTCTGGCCGATCGCTCTTTCGCCGTCGCCCACGATACGCCGCCGTTCGGTGTCGGACTCGAGCCGCGCAGTCGCCCATTTCCTTCAAAGGGAGGATTGCTCAAGCCAGGGGAGGACCAGCCGCCCTCTCGTCGCGGGCTAGGACTGCGGTCGAGCGACATGCCCGCCTCGTCCTTCTCGAGGAAGGCGTCGCCGGCCGTGTGATCGGAGAACGCGCTTGCACGCCGGGTATTATCTCGCGGACATGAATTGCTCGTTCTTCGTCGATGGTTCGAGACTTGGGCGGCGGTGGTTGCTTCTGCACCACTGGCAGATTTGGAGTGCTGAGCCACTTTGGCTGAGGAGTGTCGGAGGTGACCTGCAACGAGGGCCCTCGCAATAATGGCTAATGAGGAAAATAGATTGAGCGGGTCCCGGCCTCAGCAATGTATCCAATGCTCGCCTAGATCCACCTTTTGCAGGACGGGTATGCAGATAACGCCTCGTATCGCAACGCCAGACACCGATCGACTGTCTGACTGTATGCGTTGCTGCTGTTCGTTCAACGCCACAGGTGCGTGTAGGGCTGGTCGCGTTCAGCTGCACGGCAGGGAATGCTGGCCTGGGTGGAGTGAAAGCTGTCTCTGGTGATTGCAGGTGCTGGCGAGGGGTCCTGTGCGACCAGCGAGTACACTTTTCAGACCGCTTTGAGTGCGCGTACCGTTGAATTACCGAGACATGCGGAGGACTGGCGTTCTGGGCTGGATGCGAATTTCTGGGACAGAGGCAGACAATATCGGGCAAAAGCAGAAATCCGCCATAATTCGTCAATCTGCGATGAGAGCTATCGTCAAGGGATGGACTGGCCTCTGTGGCGTCCAATTCGACGAGTACGCGCGGACCCGCGCTCCAATGACCATGCAATTTGATGGTCTGTGATCACCTGCAACAAATCCCCACGCTACACACTACTGTACGCTATCTCAAGGCGAACTGCGCATCTTCTACATTGAGCATTCAGCTCGCATGCGAAAAAGACACGCTGTCATCTTCAGCAAATCGCATTGATAACGGTCAGATGTCGGATAATATTGTACCGACACGTTGTGGCGCTAGCCGGTTGGCTCAACGCAGGAGAAGATCACGGCGATTTCCTATTTCGATGCACTCTAACTACTGTTGTCCATCGCATCCAGACCAGCCAGATCGCAACAACCGTCATTTCGCGGGTCAGCATGGCGCGCAAATATTCTCAACTGCTTCTTGCCCAGCCGCGCATGAGAGTGGTCTATTTGAGAAAGGGCAGGGAAACTAGAGCAAGACCTCAAAGCACAATGCCTCAAACTTCGGCGGCTGGCACGATGGTGGTCTGGCAACTGCTAACGTTTCGTCGTTTGTTCGGTAACTATATCGAGCGAGAAAATACTGTTCCCGCAACTTCGTCTTTCGTTCAGTCCGTTCTTCATCACTTCCATCCGTGAGCATTCACCTTTAGGTTGGTAGGCGCAAGGCCCGATATTTGCAAGACCACTTCATCTCGAACTCGTATGATGCCTATTCGGTCCGTACATTGTTGCTATGAGGCAGATTTCGTTGGTGACCTGTACAAATGCGCTGCATCATTATCAAGGAGAAATGGTCAGTAGTGTCTAGCAAAAAGAGATGAGCCGAGCATTGTAGCAACCAGACACTGAAAAAACGCTTCGTTCAGTAAGTGGCTTCGAGTCGATCTCCAAAATTCCTGTTGAGAAAGCTATCCCGTTACTGAGTAGGCTGTTCCGGCGATGCCTTTTGCTAAGCCAAGTGATACTTGACAGAAGCCAGCGACTCTATTCACTTCGACATCAAATTTCATCGAAGATAGCAACCTAGATCATCAAGCGTTCGACCTTGTCCTTGAGTGCGCGGATCTGTCCCATAAGATCGGAAGCCTCGTTGGTAGTGATGCTGCAGCTGATGACTGCCCGAGATACACCACAGGCGCGGCCGAGAGCCATCTTGGATGGAACATACACGTATGGAGTGTTCTTGTCCTCGCAAAGAAGTGGAAGATGGAGCAGGATAGCCAGAGGGGTCTGCAGAAAATTGTTAGAAAGGAGCGACATCACGCGACTTGGTAAGAATTTGACTTACAGTGTCGGCCGCGAGAATGATGATCTCGCTGATACCACGGTTCACTGTCGAAAAATTAGCATGAGCACTTGCCAAAACCACGAACTGTTCACATACGAGTCTTCGTAGCCTCGTTGGCTCCCTTCTTGAGCTGGCGGGCATGGCTGGCTTGCTGGACAAGGTCGAGAATTCTGATTGAAATGTTAGCGATACGTGCTGTCCATCGGCGTGCACCAATAACTCACTCCTGGCTCAGTGCAGCATCGGCAATCGGCCAAGCAGCGCTCTGGTCGGCCATTTTGTCTTGGAGGGTGGATTTCTGAAGGTGTCGAATTTGGGATGGAAGTGCCTGTTGCGCATTCTTAGCAGAAGTTTTTAGGATGCGCCGAATGGAGAGTGCAACGTACTGATGTCGCGCAAGGCTCGCCCGAATAGCTATGGGTTCACGGCCCTGATGTTGTCGACGTTCGCGAGTAGCTAACAATTTTCGCGAGATGCTCCAAGAAAGTTGTAACCTTTTTTTGTGTCGTCGTACCATCGGTCCGTTCCGAAGCGCCTCAGGCGCCAGTCACGTGTAGCCAGCTCTACTTGACAGCAGCATCATCCAAAACAGCTCCTTCGAAGCGACCAAGCAGCAACACACCTCCACGCGGCCCACAACACCTTTTTCATCTTCAGAAACCACTTGAATCCCTTTTCGCACCTTTCAGATACACATTCAAGATGGCCACCGATCTCTGGTAAGTGTAGCGACTTCAGGCGCTCCGGGAATCATGATGGGGCAAAACGCGCATCATGAAGCTGGCTAGGAGCCCCCGTGGGCGATGAGCAGGTTGCATGCTGGATTACAAGTAGCCGTGAAGCTGACAAGTCGTGTGTATAGTCCAGTCTATGCCGTAAGTGCCGCCACGAACCGCTACACCGCAAGCATCGCACTCCTTGTCCAACCACTTCCCACCGCTACGCCATCGACCTGGAAAGTCCTCGCCACGGCCTACACTTGTACCGAGAGACATAATGGGCGATGCAGATGATGAAGGGATCGGGCGGAATGCTAATTTGATGGTCACAGCCTTTCTTCGGTGCCATGGGCTGCACCAGCGCCATTGTGTTCACCTGCTTTGGCGCAGCGTACGGCACAGCGAAGGCCGGCGTGGGTATCTCATCTATGGGTGTCCTCCGACCTGACCTGATCGTCAAGAGTATGTCCTACAAGTTCCCTGGACGCAGGAGCCTCGAAATGCAAGAGTTGGAGCATGGAACAAGTGGCTAACGCTATGATGCAGACATCATTCCAGTCATTATGGCTGGTATCATTGCTATCTACGGGTTGGTGGTGTCAGTGTTGATCTCCAACGAATTGACGCAGAAGACGCCGTTGTTCACTGGCTTCATTCAACTGGGCGCTGGTCTCTCTGTCGGTCTTGCTGGTTTGGCCGCTGGGTTCGCCATCGGAATCGTTGGTGATGCCGGTGTGCGTGGTACAGCACAACAACCCAGATTGTTCGTCGGAATGATCCTGATCCTCATTTTCGCTGAAGTTTTGGGTACGTTGGCTGCAAGCTCGATGCTGTTGGCGCAGATACTAATGTGTGTGCTCAGGTCTGTACGGTCTCATTGTCGCCCTGCTCATGAACTCGCGCGCAAGCCAAGACGCCGAGTGCTAGATAGCTGATGATGAGAAATGACAAGGACGCGGACAAGATATTACGACAACCAAAGCGCGTCAATATGGTGGTGGCAGAGGAAGGATATGGACGGGCGCGCGCATGAGCCTTCTCGACTGAAGATGGTGCACAGTCCGCATCGACATCGACGCATTGGGAAGAGTGCGCCATAGGATAGCATCAGGGAGCATGTAACGTTAGTTGTATATTCAAAGCAGCAGGCGTTCACGAAGGGGTAGACAGTGTATAGGACCATTTGATCACGTTTTCTTCCCCACTGCCTTGGACAGTCACATGTTTACGCGTGCCCTAGACAAAGTACTGAAAGCTACGAAAGTTTCCGGGCGAAGCAATGCTAGGTACAGCAGCTGGAAGGCATAGTGATTGTCGTGTATGCGCAGGCTCAAGGATGAGCGAGCTGAAACAGGCAAGTGCGCCCGCATTGCAAGAGCGCAAGGCGGCAAGATTGCGGATCGCAACGGGTCGGAGGTCTGTTCTTGGCCTTTTGCAAGGCCCCCGGAGCTCTGAGGAGGACATTGCCGGCAGACTGGAGGCGGAAACGCAGGCCGTGTTCAAGCAGAACAGCCCCTCTTGACATCAGAGAACCCCGCCATACATGAGAGGTAAATGTGCGAGGGACACTGCAACTCAAACTTACATTGACAGGCAAGAGTTTTTCCCCTTCTCCTCTTCTGCTGCAAACCACATCTTGCTCCTCCTCTTACTGCTGCTGTGACCATCAAGGTATCACACTGAACCCGCAGCTGCACCCACCCATCCACCCAATCCGCGAAGCACTAATACAAAGCTTCCACCATGTCCGACACTGCAGGAAAGACCATCACTTGCAAAGCCGCTGTAGCATGGGAGGCGGGCAAGGACCTCGTGGTCGAGGACATCGAGGTTCTGCCTCCACGAGCTCATGAAGTCCGCATACAAGTCTACTACACTGGTGTGTGCCACACAGATGCGTACATGCTGAGCGGAAAGGACCCCGAGGGTGCTTTCCCAGTCATTGCAGGACATGAGGGCGCTGGTATCGTCGAGAGCGTCGGCGAGGGTGTCACCAACGTGAAGGTTGGCGACACTGTCGTTGCCCTGTAGTAAGTCTTACGGCTCCACAATCGATGGAATGGAAGTCTATTCGACATTGCGAGTCCAGAGCTGACAACATCTCCACAGCACGCCAGAATGCAAAGAGTGCAAATTCTGCAAATCCGGCAAGACCAACCTCTGCGGCAAGATTCGCGCAACTCAAGGAAAGGGTGTCATGCCTGACGGCACTTCACGCTTCAAGTGCAAGGGCAAGGACCTCCTCCACTTCATGGGCTGCTCCACCTTCTCGCAATACACCGTGCTCGCTGACATCTCCGTCGTCGCTGTGACGCCAGATGCGCCAATGGACAGGACATGCTTGTTGGGCTGCGGTATCACAACCGGCTACGGTGCAGCTGTTATCACAGCAGGACGCGGAGGTGTAGAGAAGGGTTCCAACGTTGCAATCTTCGGTGCTGGATGTGTTGGTCTCTCCGTCATCCAGGGTGCCGTAAAGCAGGGCTCCTCTAAGATCATTGTCGTCGATGTCAACGATGCGAAGAAGGAATGGGCAAAGAAGTTCGGTGCTACTGACTTCGTGAACCCAGCCAAGGATCTCAAGGAGGGCGAGAACATCCAGAGCAGACTCATTGATATGACCGATGGCGGATGCGATTACACATTCGACTGCACAGGAAACGTTCACGTCATGAGATCAGCGCTCGAGGCCTGCCACAAAGGCTGGGGTGAGAGCATTATTATTGGTGTCGCTGCTGCCGGACAGGAGATTTCCACAAGACGTAAGTCAAGTCTCTCTGACTTCGCTGAATGTGAGGCTAATTCTTCTCACAGCATTCCAACTCGTCACTGGCCGTGTATGGAAAGGATGCGCTTTCGGTGGTGTCAAGGGCCGCAGCCAAATGGGTCAACTCGTGCAAGATTACATGGACAACAAGCTCAAGGTCGACGAATTCATCACACACCGACAGCCACTCGGCGGCATCAACGAGGCTTTCCACGACATGCACGCCGGAGACTGCATTCGCTGCGTCGTGGACATGCGCAAGGTTTAAACAATGTTAGATTTGGGAAATGAAAAAACAACTTGTGAATAGTGAAGTTAGCGTTGCTGCAACCAAATTGTGAAGCTATAGGTGTAAAATGACTTTCACATCCATACTGGAACTTCCGGTTCTTCCTGCCTCCGCACCTCTCTCTATTCGCTACATGTCAGCATCCTGGGAATGGAGGAAGGCGGGGTTGCTTGGAACATGTCATGAGTACGAGCCGGAATAGCATCGGTTTATCTTTCTACTTCATACAGACGTGACGGCTGGCGGGGTGCCGCGATGTTGGAGCGCCATCCATGCTATGCGATCATTTCTACAGGTTGGTGAGGTAGTCTTCGATCTCTTGCGGACTCAGAGTCCTGAAGCGTGGGCCGGTAGCCCCCTCGACTCCTTCGTACCCGAGCAGATGGTCAGCAGGATCCCCAATGATGCCAATCTCGACTGTGTCGCCGTTCATCTCGCCTTCGATCGTCTCTTTCAGTGTCAGAAGTGCAATGTGCACCGCATCCTCCAGCTCCAGACCCTCTGTGTACCGCTTCTCCAGGAATGTCTTTGCGCTTGTTGCACTCTTGCCAATGGCTGTGGCCTTCCATGGGAAGTAGCTGCCGCTGGGGTCGACTTGGTACAAGCTTGGTCCGCCCTTCAGAATACCGCCTGTCTTCCTCGACTTCTTCTTCTTATCATCCAGATCCATCTCCTCTGCAGCTTCTGCTTGCTCCTGCTCTGGCAGAATCCCATCGTCCCAACCAGCAATCAACAGGCTCACGCCGTACGGCCGCACACCTCCACTCTGCGTCGCCTCTTGCATCACGCGCGCCACGTCTTGCACTAATATCCGCGTTGGCGGATACTCGTTGTATATCCGCTTGTAGCCTGTGTGACTGACTTTGCGCGCCTTGTCGACGAGTACGCGGTAGTCGGGACCCATGCCGGAGTAGACCATACCGATGTTGGGCGTGATGAGCGAGACTTTCGAGGACGATGAGGCATCGATCAGCGGTGTGGAGGACTTCTTTTCGGTGGCAAGGACGACGCCGTTGGCAGCTTTGATGCCGAGCGATGTGACACCTTGGTTCACTGCATTGAGCGCATATTCTGGGCAAAGTCAGTGGTGCAGCGAACGATGCGTTTGTGACGTGTCTTACCAATCTGCACCAGTTTTCCACTGTAGAGATGTTAGCAGCGGCTATTAGCAGTTAGCAGATGCGAACTTGACATACCTGGGCGAGAAGGTGGTGAGCGAGAAAGAGTATCGGTCGGCCATGATGGCCGCTGGTAGTTCAGAGCGCGCGACGTTTGGGTGCTGTCAGTCCGAGCAAATGGAGGGGAGACGATGGTGGGTATGTGTGCGGATGCGGCAATGGAAATTCGTGGTCGTGGTCGTGGCGAGAGTGAGAGATGGAAACATCAAGCTCTCAGTGTTGCAGGCGACCAGCTAGGTACGTGTTGCACCTTCCGTCACTAAAAGCGGCTTAGCGCGGCTGCTCTTCTGAGCAGTCTTTGGCGAAGACATCTCTCCGCTTCTCTGCTCACCACGGCCCATCCACCGACGCTGCTTTGTCTGCTCGCCAACCATGAGCTCGTGCACACCTTTCATCCACCTTGCTCGCGACACTGGCTGATAGTCCCTACTTCACGCTCCTCTTCAACAACTTTCAATTGACAAACCTCACTGATCAAAATTCGGCATGGCAGCCTACTCCACTGGGGCCAGCTGGTCGTTCCCAGCCGACTTGCCTGGTACTTTCGAGCAACAATCTTCGCCTGAGCCACCATTGTCAGGCGTTGATGACCCGTCAATGAATGGATCTCACCATACCGCAGAGGCCGAAACGAAGCCCGCCGAAGAGCCGAAGCCAAATCGCAGACGGACCCATTACCGAGCCCGCAAGTGCAGAATATGCCTCGAGGAGGTTGAGCCCACTTTCCACTATGATCCGGATTCGACACTCCCCGCCTCAATGCAACCTCCACCGCGCGTGACGTACGAGAGTGAAGATGGAGGCCGGCTCTTGTCGCCTTGCAAGTGCAAGGGCTCACAGAAATATGTTCATGAAGAGTGCTTGGGCGCCTGGCGACGTGCAGACCCGCTCCAGCAGCGCAACTACTGGGAATGCCCTACATGTCGCTACAAATATAAGCTGCAGCGCTTGACCTGGTCTGCTTGGATTTCGAGCACGTCTGCTCAGCTGGGCCTGACGGCCGTGATCCTCGTGGCCTCAATTTTCTTGTTGGGATTTGTCGCCGATCCGATCATTAACCTCTACATCGACCCTTACACCACAATCGCTACTGGAGGAGGTCCTCGAGACTCGCTGCTCTTCGAAGACGAGCCCACCACATGGTTTGAGCATATGCTGAAAGGTCTCGCTTCGCTAGGTCTTGTCGGCTTTGCCAAGTTCCTATTCACACTTTCTCCCTTTCAGTGGCTCAATGTGCGGAGTTCTTTTGGAAGAAACACAGTTGGGGGTAACGGCAGGGATCGTCTCCAGCAGATCAGCTGGATCACAATACTCATCGGTATCGTCACCGCGTCCTATGCCATATATAAGCTGGTTCGCGCGTGGTCCAGACGCACACTGGAGTCAGCCAGTGAGCGCGTGATGGATGTCGGAGGTAACGATGACGAGGACGAGGATGACTGAGGCTGAACAGCAGACGTCGCGGCGAGTAGACATCGTTATACTGACCAACTTTTACATTCTGTGCCAGGCTTGTTCACTTCTCTATCATGTCTCGCTACGGTGAGTGCCGGGCCTCCTCCTTTGGCCTCTAGCAGGTATCCGCCCTAACTTAAGTTGGCTCGTCTCGGACTTGTTCCCATACAAAGACTTGACAATTAGTCAAGGGGCGCAGATTGAATTGCTCGTACGAATCTTGATCTCAGCGTTATGCTCGAGAACGTGGAGGACTGCGTGGCTATCTCCAGCGCATCATGCTGCATCCGTGCGGCGCCATACTCTTCCGACCACTCGAAAGAGACGTCAGCGGCCTGGAAGACTGGCGAGCGACTGGTACATCCTTGTCATCTCTGGGTGCAGAATAGTTGATATGTAGATCGGCTTCACAGCCTTCACAGCCTCCACATGATCTTCCTTTCGAGGCGCACGGCTTGGCACCAGTTGTCTAGTCCCGCCACTCCCCGCCAGCGCAAGATGTGGTTGACGGTGGCAGTGGTTCTACAGTTCTATAATTTAGTCACGCGGTCCAGACACATCTTGCAGAGCTCGAGCATTCTCTCTGCAACTTCCTAAAACGGAGCTGATCCCTGCCGTTCTTGTCGCTGACTGGTGGCTTCGTGGTTCTGCGTCTGGAAGCCGTCTTAAACGGCTAGAAGCCCAGAAGTGATGTATTCGCACCTGACCCGGCACCGAACCCTCTTTCCAGGTTCTCGACTTGCCGCTACTCCTGCCCTTGATAGCGGCACTTCTCTGCGACCCATGAGAAGGAGACCGCAATGAGCTTCTGTACAAACGAGTTCGAGCTGGTGCGAAGGACCCACGATGAGTCTGCGATTGGCCTCGCTAGACCCCAACGAGCCGCGAGCTGCCAAGGACTGTAGGAATTGCAATCGCAGGCGCATCAAGTGTGACAGAAGCATTCCTACCTGCAAGAAATGCGGCCTCCGGTCGTTGGAGTGTCCCGGCTATGGACTGCGCATACGCTGGGACCAGGGCGTAGCGAGTCGAGGGAAGCTGAGTGGCATGAAGATACCTGTGCTCGGCGGTCAGCCAGCTGCTCCTCTGGTCAAGACGCCCACGCCTCCTCGTAGCGAGAGTCCCCTCCCACACATTCGCCATGCGGCAACATTCCCAGCTCGGGTGGACATCACGAGTCTACTCGCGTCGCCTGCGCCTGCCATTGCGGGCTCCAGTCGAGAGGATTCCCAGCAAAACGCGCCTGGAATAATATTCGACAATCCACATGCGCTGAACATCAACCTGAGCGAACGAGAAGTCCCGTCCCCTCTGGAAGACCCAGCGGCGCAACGCCTATTCAAATACTATGACCACTTTGTGTCTGCCACTTTTCCATGGGTCGAAGGGCCTGACAACCACTGGCGAACAGTAATGTTACCACTGTCACTCGAGTACAGGCCGTTGCTCCTCGCGCTGCTGGCAATGGCGGCTGAGCAATACTCGTCAAAGACAGGGTTTGAATGGATTTTTGCGGACGGATCGTGTGGCTCTGCCCAGTTGCGAGACGACTGTCTCCGTCTTCTTTCGCAAGATCTGAAGGACGAAGTCTCAGGCGCGGCGCCAGATCAGCAACGACACTCGAGTGGATTGCTTGCAGCCATCCTCGCGTTGTGCAATCTTGAGATGGTGCGCTCCGATTCTGCACTGTGGCGTGTGCATTGGAGTGCAGCTCGAGCTATCACACATCGGTGGACAAGTCCCCCGAATTCAGCCATGATGCTGAACTACAACGACAGATTCCTTGTGGTCGATGCTTTCACTTACGACGCACATGCCTCATGTACCACGTTCGATGGATATCGGCAAATTCCCAACGATGTTGTCCACCCGCACGATGTGGACATTTTTATTGAATACTTCAGGCTGGTGCAGGACGTTACTCGTTTCGAACGAGCCCGTTTCGAGGATTACAACCATCCAGTGCCAGAGTGGCTACAAGACAGACACAGAATACGCGCGGAATTCGAGGCTGTAAGAAGACGAAACCAAGGCTTCAGCCAGCTATTTCAATTGGCATCGGAAGAGAGAAAACACGACTTTGACGCCTTGATCGACATGTACCACTACTCAGCAATGTTATACGCATTTCAGGTCGCTCTGCATCCTGTGGCAGATCTACTGCTGCGCCACGAATGCGCAGAAGGAGCCATTGATAGCTTGAACCGAATCAAGAGTCCAGAGGGCATTCAACAGAACTTCGTGTGGCCACTCTTCGTGGTCGCAACAGAAGCAAGAGGCATGGAGGAGGCACAGAAATTTTGCGAGTGGCACCTTCTCGACGCTATGGCGGGAACAGGTTGGGGAAACTTCTATCCCGCTCTTGAATTCTTGAAAAGATTTTGGAAGACTACGCCTGGCTTGCACCCCACCTGGATAACTTTCGCGAGGGAGGAGTCAGCAAGAGGGATCAAGCTCCTGGTGATATGAGTGTTTAGAGCATGTTTGGACAGTACACAGGTCGGGAGGGCAACAGCACCCAAGTAACACAGACCACGCAGCAATGCATTAATGAAATGATCCTTCTCAGACACACGGCTTCAGGATGGATACGAGGACGCCATGCTCTTTTCCTAACCAAGCGGATGCCGTCTCTTTGCGTTCAGATGCATTCGGTAATCGGATCACTCGTGGGCAGACACTAACCTTACAGGACTGCGATGCAGTCTGTATCACACTCACAGCAAGACTGATGCCTGTGGGCCACGGCTTGAGCACGTGTTGCCAAGTTCCTTCGTCAGGCTGAACACCAATGAGACGGGTGAAGTTTGTTGTCGGCAGCGACGCCGTCCAGACAACGCGGCTTAGGGCGAGCCACCCTGCTCGCGCAACCTTGCATTTGTTCCACAGACCCTCCACTTTTCCCCGTCAACACGCTCGCGCAAACTCGCTGCGGCACCACAGTCATTTGTTACATTCTTGCCACTGTGTTGATATAAGGAAGTGGTGCGCCGTCCTCTACAGTACGTCTGTTCTCATGCGCCATCGAAATTACTGGTTTGGTTCGGATGTTGACATGGGTTGCCCATAGCTCCTTATCACTGTCGACCTCGAGAAAATCGACAGCTGTTCACCATCGACACGATCACCAACACCACCGGTCGTCCCCATCAATACTTCAATTCACAATGCGCGCCTCGAACCTCATACTCGTGCTGCCAGCACTCGCTGCTGCGCAGGAGCAAATCCCGATGATCGACCAACTCAAAGGGTGGTTTGCAAAGGCCACAGCATCGGTGTCGACGGCTGTGGAGAAGGCAACACAAGCTTCCATTCCAGACCCAGTCGCTGCAGCTGCCGCAAAAGTGGCAGATTTGAAGGTTGAGAGGTTGACCTTGGACAACCACAAGGAGTTGATCCAGCCGGGTTCTTCGGAAGCTGCTCCTGGAATTCAGACCTGGGAGGTGTTTGTGACGGGAGGTAACAAGACATGCTATGGCCGATGCGCTCGCGCCGAGACAGCATTCAACGAATCTGTCGCGTTGGTCGCAGCTTCACCGAACCCTCCAAACCTTGCTCTTCTCAACTGCGAAACCGATGGCGTTCTCTGCCACGCCTGGGCTGTCTCTCCTCCGACTGTGCTTCACTTGCAGCTCCCACAGCCTCTGGCCGATCAATCGACTCCTGCTTCGACTGTGCGCTCGATCAGGGTCAACACCACCACGGTGACTGCAGCGGACATTGCAGCGATTCATCTGCAAGAGAAGTACCTGGAGACTGAGCCGGTAAGCTAGCTACTGGAATCATATGGTCGCATCGGTGACTGACTTTCACTTGCAGTACGAGGGATTCTTCCATCCCTTTGATGGACCACTTGCGCAGTACGGATTGACCATTCCATTCGGCTACCTCGTTTGGGGCTTCTCACAAATCCCATCATGGATGTTCATGATCGGCATTAGTTTCTTCTCCCGGACCATCAGTAAGTAAAGAGTGAAAAACTTGTAGATCTCGTGCTAACATTCAGCAGTGGGTCGACGTATGGCACCACCTGCCCAACGAGGCGACGCTCCTGCCGCAGCCCAGTAAGAGCATGACATGAAAGAAATGTAATTTGTGGATGGCATAATATACAAAGTACTTTTTGCAATGAAAGAATATGCACGAGGAGGACCACGATACCCTACGGTCATTTTTTGAGCAGCAAATCTGTGCACGCGAAATCAGGGTAGGTATTTCGGTATATGAAAGCATGCTTGGGACACAATTGAATGCCCGACAGCTTGCTAGGATGGGGATCTTTGGCTAGAATCAACGTCGTCCAGCTCATGCGAAGTGTAATTACAGAGCCAACCAGAAATTTCACGAAACGCCTTAACTCCGCGCTAAAAGTTTCACATGTGAATGCCGTTGCGTGAGGGTCATTGCATTCTCGGGCCAGCTTCTGCGAGGCCTTCCAGTCCTTGCATTGGATCTGCGGGTCCATTGCCGTTCTGTACTTCTGAGGCAGCATCGCCTTCTTCTCCGACGTTATACTTGGCTGCGTAGCCTTCCTGTGGAAAACATTAGCATGACGCTCTGAGAAGACACGAGTGATCTACTCGCCTGCTCCCAGACCGCCGTCCGACTTCCAAGGCCTTCTTCGTGGTTCTTCTGCGGCTTTGCTTGGTTGACCTTGATTACTCGTCCATATAGTTCGGACTGGTCCATGTTGTCGATTGCTTCGCGGGCATCTTCTGCGAGAGAAAATTCGACATAGCCGAATCCTCGGTGGGGGTCTCGATTTGACGCTCTAAATTTTGTTAGTATGTCTGGGAGAACTGATTTGGATATGGTTTTGCTTGCAGTTCAGGTTTTGGTAGAGAGACATCGACGATCTCGCCAAACGGTATGAAGGCGTCGTGGAGGGTCTGCTGCGTGACTTGGTGATCGAGCCCGCCCACAAAGACTGTCTTCGTCTGTTTCGCTGCGTCTGCCATTTCTGCAGGCCGAGTGGTTTCGATGTGAGTTATTTTTATCACGTGCAAGAGCGGAGGAGAGAAAGAGTGAAGCAAAGCTCGCCAAGCTGACGTATCTGGTTGCACTAACTACTTGTCCTCAGGGTTCAAGGGAATCAATCTATAAACATCTCCAGGCGTTTAAGGAGATCTGTTACCAATTCCACCAGTCTCGCTCCTCTTCTCCTTCTCACTTGTCCTCTAATGCACATGCACGGCCTGTAGACAAGCGTGTAGACTTTCTCTCTTCACTTCAAACACCAGCATCGCGGCCCCTCCACCATGGTCCGCCTGCGAGAGATCCCGCGCACCGCCGTTTTCGCATGGCTACCAGGCAGCGCCGCGCCGCTCGTGGTGACGGGCACGAGGACGGGCGCTGTCAGCGATGACTTCTCGAGCGAGGTCAAGTTGGAGCTTTGGGACCTACGACTTCACGAGCTGGACGGTGACGGCGAGCTAACGCCAGCTGGCAGCATCACGACCGACTCCGGCTTCAACGACATTGCTTGGAGTGCACCTGACGACGACCACCCTCTTGGTGTGATCGCGGGTGCTTTAGAGAACGGCAGCGTTGACCTCTGGGACGCTGAGAAGCTACGCAATGGATCCTCCGACGCATTCATCTCACGCACTACGAAGCACACTGGAAGCGTACGAGCCCTGCAATGGAATCTCTACAGACATAATCTATTGGCGTCTGTGGGTGCTAAAGGCGAGATCTACATCTACGACCTGAACAACATGGCCAACCCATTCAGGTTGGGAGCGTCGGCAGCTCGAGCAGACGATATCGAGTGCCTGGATTGGAACAAGCAAGAGAAGACCGCACACATCTTGGCTACAGGTAGCAGTGGAGGCTTTGTGACAGTCTGGGACGTCAAGCAAAAGCGGGACATTTTGACCTTGAACAATCAGGGCCGTAAGGCGGTCAGCGCGGTGGCATGGGATCCGCAAGAGAGCACAAAGCTAGCCACAGCAACACCGAGTGATCAGGAGCCATTGATCTTCTTGTGGAGCTTGCGCAACAGCAGTGCACCAGAGCGGACATTGAAGGGCCACGAGCTAGGTGTATTGGGCTTGTCGTGGTGTATACAGGATCCAGACCTGCTTCTCTCCTGCGGCAAGGACAACCGAACTATTTGTTGGAACCCAAAGACTGGCGAGCGCTACGGAGACTTTGCCGCTGGATCGAACTGGGCGTTCCAGACTGCATGGAACCCGCATAATCCGAGCCTGATCGCAAGTGCCTCGTTCGATGGAAAGATACTGATCACATCAACACAAAGCACAAATTCGAAATCAGACGATCAGGGAGCGGCCAACCAAAATCTCGACGGCGAAGACTTCTTTGCCAAGGCACAGTCTCAGCCTCTCGGGATATCCTTTACTTTGCCCAAAGCGCCCAAATGGGCCGGTCGTCCTGCCAGTGTTTCGTTTGGCTTTGGCGGTAAACTTATTCGAGTAGGCGCAGATGCGTCGCGAAAGAGCAAGATCTCGATAGAGACATTCGAGGTGGATAGCTCCATCGGAGAGGCAACGACCAATTTCGAGAATAAGCTTGCTTCTGGAGACCTCACGAACATCTTGGCTTCGAAGCTCGAGGACGCAAAGACCGACGAGGAGAAATCTGACTGGCAGGTCATCGACACACTGAACGCAGGGAGCTCTAGAAAGAAGCTGAGGCAACATCTGGGCTTCGAGGATCCGGCGACCAGCGAACTCACTGAAGGCACAGAGAAGCTCGCAGTCAATGGTGATGCGGAGGATAAGACAAATGGTGACAAAGACGATGATTTCTTCGGCAGTGGTGAGGCTGATGATAATTTCCTTGCGAATTTGGCTGGCTCCAAGGGCGCCAAGATCAACAATCCATTCAAGGTCTACACTGGAACGGAGTCTGAAGCCGATAAAAGCATCACGCAGGCGTTGATGTTGGGTGATTTCGAGAAGGCCTTGGATGTTTGTCTGAAAGAAGATCGCATGTCTGACGCATTCATGATTGCGGTCTGCGGTGGTCAGAAGTGCATCGACAAGGCACAAGCGGCCTATCTTAAGAAGCAGGCCAATGGGCCCAATTACTTGCGACTCCTCGCGAGTATCGTTGGCAAGAACTTGTGGGACGTCGTTCACAATGCCGATCTGAGCAACTGGAAGGAAGTCATGGCTACCCTGTGCACGTATGCAGATGAGAAAGAGTTCTCCGATCTGTGCGAGGCGTTGGGTGATCGCCTCGAAGAAGCTTTCCAGAGCGATGATGGCCCGAAAACGCTTCGCCGCGACGCATCCTTCTGCTATCTTGCTGGAGCGAAGCTTGAGAAGGTGGTGATCAACTGGGTTGCCGAGCTCGAAGAGCAGGAGAAGGATGCTCAAGAACAGTCTGAGACTGATAATGGATTCTCTGTGCACGCCAAGTGCTTGCAAGCGTTCATCGAGAAAGTCTCCGTATTCCGCAAAGTTACCAACTTCAGGGATTCAGAGCTGCAAGCAGCTGCCGATTGGAAGTTGGCACCGCTGTACAATCTCTACGCCGAGTATGCCGAGATTCTGGCCTCTCACGGGCAGCTCACTGCTGCCGAGCGATATCTGAATCTGTTGCCGGCCAAATTTGCCGGTGCCGAGACATCACAGCAGCGCATCAAGCAAGCAACTAGGAAAGCAACTACTGCAGCCCGACAACCTGCTACAGCGCAGCGTGGTGGACGAGCACAGCCCTCACTGAACGCATTCCAGCCAGCACAGCCAATTGCGCCCGTCCAGGCACAGCCACCGGCACCACTTGTTAATCAGGCTCGCAATGCTGCACCATCTCCATACGCTCCCGTCGCGAACAATACGAGCATACCACAGCCGGCAAACCCGTACGCGCCCACGAACAACGCCTATGCTCCATCTGGCTACACTCCTGCGCAGCCCTCTGCACCGTATGGCCAGCCTTCATATGGAGGGTACCAGCCGCCTCAGGCTCAGTCTGCATTGCCGCCACCTCCTCGAGCGGGGACTTCGTCACCAGCAGTACTTCCCGCTGCACTAGCGAAGAAGACTGGCGATTGGAATGACATGCCAGAGGGCTTCCTGAAGGAGCGACAACCGACACCTCGCCGCAACACTCCAGGTCCACAGCCAGTGGCTGCACCTTTCCCAGGAGCACAAAACGCAATGTCTCCGCCACCAGGCCCGCCATCGGCGTACAGCTTCCAAAAGCCAACGCCGCCTTTGCCGCCGCCTCCAAAGGCTGGCGAAGGTCCACCCCGTGTCACTTCTCCACCTATGCAGCCACCTGTCGCCCGTCCATCATCTGCCGCTAATGTTTACTCACCACAAACGCCAACGCAGAACCTTGGCTCGACGTTACCAGCTCCATCTGTACCTCCTGTCCAGCGTGGCGCTTCCCCATATCAGCCTCCACCTTCAACGTCGTCGGCAGCACCATCAAATAGATACGCGCCAGCTCCTGGCTCGCAACCATCTACTTTGCCAGGGCAGATGCCGCAGCAGAGAAGTGTGGCGCCTAATCCGTACCAGGCTCAAGCTCCACCACAAGGACCGTACGCGCCACAACAACCACCTCAGCAGACGCCGTACGGCCAGCCTCAGCAAGCAGCCGCACCTCCTCCACCGAGAGCGCCTGTGGGGCCGCCTCCGAGCGGACCACCGCGAGGACCGCCCAAAGCCTCCAACGGGCCTCCTCGCGCCGCGCCCAATACCGGCGGCCAAGAGCTTCCTTCGCCTCAGCGAGAGCATCCACCACAGGGCGCCCCACAGCAACAGCAACAACAAGCTGCGCCTGCACAGCCAAAGTACCCTCGCGGTGATCGCTCACACATTCCTGCTAGCGCACAGCCAATTGTCGATCTGCTCACACCTGAAGTTTCGCGTGTCAAGGCAGTGGCACCGCAAAATTTCAAGCCTCAAGTCGACGACATGGAGAAGCGCATCAACATCCTGTTCGACCATCTCAACAACGAGGATCTTCTTCAACCCGATACCGTGCAGCAAATGGTACAAATTGCTCAGCACATCCAGCAGAAGGACTTTGAACAAGCGCAAGCGCGTTTCAACGAAATGCAGCAAGCGAAGCTCGAGACCGAGGGCACGCACTGGATGGTAAGTTGCATGAATCATTTAATCTCGACATGACCCTTGCTGACCTAAACTTTTTTCTTCAGGTTGGTGTAAAACGCTTGATCGCGATCGGCAAGGCTACAGTACGCGCCTAGGAGCTGAAACTTCTGCCGTTGAAGAGCGTTATTGAACGATGAAATAAAAGCATATAGAAAAGAAGAAGCGTTACGTTCAAAGCATACTGTTCGATCGTTCCCGTGAAAGCGCAACGTTTGATGACTGGTTTCTCATCGAACTGTGTAACGAGTTCCACGTGGTGGACGACCGTATCCAGCGGTGAGATGCCTAGAATACTTCCAAATTTACGAGGACAAGAATGTGTGTGTGTCCGTGTCATTCATGCAAGTCAACTCCTGCGTTGCTCGGTTCCCGATCGGGGTGTGGCAGCTTTGGCCGGTGCCAATACGGCCAGCTATCGGTTGTCAATGCTGTAACGAAGCAGGCCACGACCTTGCTCGTTATGCCCATCGGCACATTGAGATTGACGGGACAAGTCATATTACCAATGCTCATGTATTCCAGAAATGCGGCAGGAAGCGAGAATGCAGAAGTCGGGATGGACATAGTCACAGGAGAGCACAAGCAGAGCCTCAAAAACACAATTAAGTGCGTATCTGCTTTTCCAACTCCAATAGCGCACAGACTATCACACGCGATTGTGCGATAGATTTATATTGATCCACTATCGGAAGGCAGGAAGGAGAGGAACGCAAATGACGCACCGTTGAAGGAGGACACCGTGGGAAGGCAACAGCAGTTGGCAGCACACCATTCTGCACACGATTCGCATTAATATGGGCTGTGGCTGGTACGGCACAGATCGTCAACGCTGGGCGGCGTGCCATGAAAAGCTTGTTAAAGCAGGTCAATTGCCCTCAACCTTGTTGCTTCAGCTTGGCGGCGATTGTCCGGCGGGAAGGGAAGGGAAGCTCTGACAGTGACAGGCTGACTCGGGGCGCGAGCCGCGTCGGAAGATCTTGAGAGGAAAGATCTCCGTGAGGCTGATCGAAGTTTGATGGGGTTATGCTCGAAGTTTGATGATGGTGATGAGGGTGGAGGGAAGACAGGTAGATGAGATATTTGGAGATTCGAGGCTTTTGATAGATGATCGAGATGAGAGGGTATCACCAGGTTGTGTTCACGCACAGGACGCGTGTAGGAACGACAATCAATCGGTAGTATCATGAGGATGCGATGCATGAGCAACGCTGTGAACAGCGAGGTCCGGCCTTTGTCAAAGACCTCTCAAGCGACATGGCGAAGAGATAAACCCGGGATGCTGCCGAAACGAGGAGAGCACAGGTCTCCAATTTTTTCTCTCCACAGCTGACGGTCGTCGTGCTGATAGCGCAGATCTGGCACGGGCATTCGCATGCGGCACATGCGTGTGTGGGCCCTCTGGATCGCAATATAGACTCCCACCAACCGGCGCGCCAGTCAGACCGCTGAAATGTCCGGCGGGGGTCGCGGTCTGAGACAACAGTTGTACACCCGCCATCTCACGCGTTCGCGCGCTGTTCTCGCCAGAACTATCATCTGCTTGCTCGCCTCAGCGTCTGCTGGTTTGCAGGAGTCGTGCTGGTCGATCACATCTCTCAGCAGTCGTTCGCTCGCGATGCATGCCGACTGTCAGTGATGGCCCGAACCCCGAGCATGGGTCGGCGAATCAGGACCAGAGCAGCAATGGTGCACAAACGCTCGGGGCACTGCATGTACTATGGGGTGCCTGAGGGGGGATTGTGAGCGTGGTGCATGCAGTGATGATGTTGTGGCACTGGTATGGTATGCTGTGCGGACAGAAGCAGACAAGACACTCCTGATGCCGCACCGTCCCGCCGCTGGACCAGAATCCTTTGTATCTCTTGGCGTTTTCTCCGTGTCGCACAGCATTAGCCTTCGAGCTGTGTGCCGGCGGGTCGGGAGGCGTGTGGGAGGAGGTGGTACCGCCTTTCATCATGCAGCCTGCCACGACCGCGCCGACCGTTCATGGCCATCGGATGCGTACCAAGCAAAGCCTCGGCTGCGTGGCGACCGTGAACTCTGGTACGCTCGATGCTCTTCACCACGGGGCTACGCCAGATATAGCAACTGCAACATTGTCGTGGGAGTATGGAGCACGACTCGACGGAGTGAGGTCCTGGTGATGACAGAACACATGCTGCTGTCGACCACCACAACACCTGAATCGCGCGTGCAAGCATGTCCAGGAATGACGATGCGGGAGTGTGTTGAAGAGGTGGGCCTTAGCCGTGAAATGTCGTATGCGTGGACACTGCATAAGCGCGCGAACCTAACAGCCACTACCGCTTGTTTCCGCTAAGATCACGGACCTGTGCGTTAGATCCACAGACCACCCCAGTAGGTTGTGTGCTGGTCAGCCTTCTAGCCCTTACCCAGCGCAGGAGTGCGACTGGAGAAGCTCGTCGTCGTCTTCCTTTTCCACCATCTTTCGTGCTCTGCTCTGCCTCGTCCGCGCCCTCCCCTCTGCATGCTCTATTCCACGAGCCCACTCGCGCTCTTGTTGCCCGACTGCCACCCCGGGCCATTGTTTCTCTTCCGTCTCTGCTCTTCTCTCGCCCACTGAGACTGTCTTTTCTCCGAGGTCACTGGCGCGCGAAGCAGGTACGTGGGAAACGTCACTGGCTCGTGACAGCATTCGACGCCCACGACACTCCCCTCCACCCACCACATGCATTGACATTCGCGCTCCAGCAGTGACACTCCCATTCTCGACACTGCAGCATGGCTGCGCAGCAATCGCCGACGGGGCCACTGTCGCATCAACACCATTACGGAGGCCCTGCGCGTCCACCTCCGCCGCCCAACGGTGCCATGCCCATGCAGCAAATCCCTCCTGGCAAGTCGGCCGCGGAATACCTTCGAGCCACCAACGAGTCGGTATGGCTGCAGCTAGGCAATCTGTCAGAGGTCATGGGCGAGCTCGACGGCGCGACTCAAGCCTACGAACGCGCCATGAACTTCAACCAGTGGTCGGTGCCAGCTATGCTCGCCATCTCGTGTATCCTGCGCTCCAAAGACCAGTTCACAGCTGCTGTGGAATACCTTAGGCAGATTCTCAAGGTGGAGCCCACGAACGGCGAGGTTTGGTCTAGCTTAGGTCACTGCTATCTCATGATGGACGACCTACAGCAAGCATACTCTGCCTATCAACAAGCATTGTACCACTTGCCTGATCCTAAGGAGCCCAAGCTGTGGTACGGCATCGGTATTCTCTATGATCGATACGGTAGCTTGGAGCACGCAGAGGAGGCGTTCTCTCAAGTCATGCGCATGGAACCCGGCTTCGAGAAAGCAAACGAGATTTACTTCCGGCTGGGCATCATATACAAACAGCAACAGAAGTTTGCGCAAAGTTTAGAGGTACGCTTTCAGCATTTCTCTGCGTTGGAGAGCCTCACATACTAACACCGCGAAAAGTGTTTCCGTTACATCGTCACCGACCCGCCGCGACCTCTTAGTGAGGAAGACATCTGGTTTCAGATCGGTCACGTTCATGAACAACAAAAAGACGTACGTTCCTTACATTCCGACAGCATGAATAGGCGTTAACAGCGAGCAGTACGATTCGGCAAAGGCGGCGTATACTCGCGTCCTCGAACGCGATCCCAATCACGCCAAGGTATTACAACAGCTTGGCTGGCTTCACCATCAACAGAGCAGCAGCTTCACCAGTCAAGAGCAAGCTATCGAGTACCTCGAGAAATCGGTCGCCTCGGGTATGTCAACTGTCTCATCATCGTCTTGCCGTCCACGCTAACATTGACACCAGACCAAAATGATGCTCAGAGTTGGTATCTGCTCGGCAGATGTTACATGTCCCAGCAAAAGTATCCCAAAGCCTATGAAGCCTATCAACAGGCAGTCTACCGCGATGGTCGCAATCCTACGTTTTGGTGCTCGATCGGTGTTCTCTACTACCAGATCAATCAGTACCGAGACGCGCTGGACGCGTATTCTCGTGCAATTCGTCTCAACCCCAACATCTCTGAGGTGTGGTACGACCTGGGTACCTTGGTAAGTACAATATCGTCTTTACTGCGAGACTTTCGCACACTGACTAGCTCCAGTACGAATCGTGTAACAACCAAACAAGTGATGCCTTGGACGCCTACACTCGAGCAGCGGATCTCGACCCGACGAACGTACACATCAAAGCACGCCTCGCTCTGCTGAAAGGTCAGCCAACTAACGGTTTGCCCAACCAAGGCGGCGCGCCACTGCCGCAGGACGTGCACCCGCAAGCCTACCAGCCTGGCGCGCTCGGAGGCGGACCTCCCGGTCCTCAATGGGGAGCCCACTCACAGAATGCTCCGCCGCCAGGACCCGCGCCGCCGCCACTTGCTGCTGGCAACAACTGGGGCGGCAATCGCTTGGCTGATTTGCAAAATCCTCAGATGCAGCCGCAGCCTTTGAACCCGTACGACCAACGTGAACGTCTACCACCTCAACAGCAACAACAAGGGCCACAACAAGGCCCCCAGCAAGGCCCTCAGCAGGGTCCTCCTTCCAATGCTCAGCAACAGCAGCCTGCTCCAGCGAGGCAGCAGAGTCCACCACCGTCTCGCCAGTATCAAGAACAGCAGCCACAGCGCCCGCCACCTCCGTCTCACCGAGGTCTCTCACCATCGCCAAAGGGTCAGCAATCGACGCCCGCAGGATTTCCGGGAGGTCCGCATCATCAGAGCTCGCAGCAGCAACAACAGCAAGGCCCTCCTTCTCATCACGGCCCATCAGCGCAAGAGCAGCCTCCGCAGAGACCTCCATTCATGTCTCATCCTTCTAATGGACCATTGCCACCACAGACTAACGGCGTCTCGACGCCGAGCGCATCTCACACTCTGCCACCATATGGCCGACAGGGTGAGGGTCAGCCTGAGATTAGACCTCTGATCAACAATCCTGCTCCATCGCCAAGCGCTAGTCAATTCGGTGGGCCTCGCACACCATTTGAGCATCATCCAAACCCAGCAGCACCCAGCATCGCCAGTGGCGCTCCTCCTCCAACGTCTGCACAAAGTGCTGCCGATGCTGCTGCACGCGATCGGGAAGAAAGACCTGGCAGCGCCGCTCCAAAGCGACACCGCGAGTGGGAAGATGATCCGAATCCAGGTGCGGCTAAGAAACCTATGGGTGAGGAAAACAGGTCGAGACTGGACGAGATTAAGATGCATCGCCCATCTCCGCCTTCAAAGATGGGCACGCCACCACACCGAAGTCCATCTGAGCTTCGACGAATGGAGGAGCCACGTCCCACCTCTGCATACAACCCATCCGAAGCTGCGCACCACCCTCCTTCGTTGCCTTCGATGCAATCAATCACGCAGAGGTCGCCACGCACCTCGGCTCCGCCTCAAGAGGAGCATCGCGCTCCTCCGCCACCCCAGCCTGCGCCGGCTCAAGTATTTGAGCCAGCTGCTCGCAAGATGGACGTGGACGAAAACTATGATGACAGCGGCGATGAGGAGAAACGGTCGACCACGAAGCAAGAAAGTCGCAAGAACAGTCCGAAGCCCGCAAACGGCACTGCGGCCGCTGCGACGACGAATGGCTCCGGCGAGCAGCAATCCTGATGACCATATGAAATAACCAGAGAAATATGCGCACGACACCGTGATGATTTCCCGAGGCCGCTTATTAGGCAGCACAGCTTTTGATATGTCATTGTAGCTGCAACTCGCTTCTAGCATATGTATAGGCACATACTCAAATTCGACATCTTCTTCATCAGCTTCTTCATGTGCAGCACGCGCGATCGTCGGCAGATCTCTATTTGAATTGGTTGTGCAAAGCTCATTGCTTCTGATAATTGGGTTTGGCAAGCCGCTTAGACGGATTTGTGGACTGTCCTGACGTAACGACACCTCTACGCAACGTTCAGCTCTTTGTGCATTATATATTCAATACTGAACACCAAGCAGAGTACAGATCACCATTTCAGATTATCATCCATCATGGCACCCAAAGGTCTCGCAATCTTGCTAGGAGCTGGTCCAGCAACCGGAGCAGTAAGGCTGTCCTGACCTCTCAAACTACCTCCTCTCTGACACACTCAATAGGGCATCGCTCGCGTCCTTTCGCACCCAGCTCAAGGCAACATGGTATTCCCCATCAACAACAACAACAACAAATCCCTTCGTACAAATCCACCTCTTCTAACCCTTATCACTGCCACCAGGCCGTCGCCCTCCTCGCTCGCCGCCCTGAAGCCTTGGACGAACTAATCCAATCTCTCCGCTCCTCCAACTCCGACGCCATAGTCGAAGCCTTCCCCACCGATACTCAACCCGAGAACTTACGAAAAGCATTCCAAGAAATTCGCTCTCATAGCTCTTTCAAAGATTTGAAATTACGAGTTTCGATTTTTTCGATTAAAAATAGTTCCAAGAAACCTTTTATGCAGGAGACGTTTGAGGAGTTTATGGCGCCGCTGGAATCTTATGTTGGTGGTGAGTTATGACCTTTTATCCTCCCTCTGTGAATCAAACAAGTTTTAATATGAAGACGTCGAGACACCTTGTGTTGATACTGACGCTGTTATTTGTGAATAGGAGCCATGGTCTTCTCCCAAGAATCCATCAAATTGATGTTCGAGCACCACGGCGAAAAGACTCTTGCTGAAGGAGCCGAGAAGAAGGGAACGCTCATTTTTACTGGAACGCTTGGTGCTTTGAGATGTAATGCCGAATTCGCGAGCTATGGAGCTTCGAGGTCAAGTGTGAGACAGCTTGCTCAGGCTTTGGCGAGGGAGATGAGTCCCAAGGGGATTCATGTCGCACATGCGATTGCGAATGGAAGGATTGTGGATGCGGATTCTGAGGATACGAGGACAGGTGAGAACAACATTATTCCTTTCTGAACGAGGTCTTTGTGATGAATACTGGGCTGAGGCTAATGTCTTGCAGGCAAACATATTGCGGCCGAAGCTGTTGGGCAGACATATTTGTACCTGCACAATCAGCATCCCACGCTTTGGTATGGCATCATTCGCTGGTGCGTCTTCTTCACATGCTAACTCGTATTCAGGACCCACGAGCTTGACCTTCGACCCGCACAGGAGAAGTTCTAAGATACAGCACGTGCTTGAAGAAAGAATGGCGTTTTCTGGTCCATACGTAAACGACAATGTCTGCGCATGTTGATGCATGTGCAGACACTGTATGCAGAAATGGGCACGGCATGTAGATTGGCGTTTGTTGAGAGCCCAATGTGTCCAATGATCACAGTATTCCAAGTACTATCGTATTCATGGCACTTTGGCACATCTTCGGTCATGCGGATGAAGAGTCCAGATTATCTGTATCTCAGGCCTGATTGACTCCACTGCGCGAGCAGATAGAGATCTATCGACGTGCTCATGCCGAGCCCATATCAGAGGAGGGTGCATATATCACCGGAGCTTGCATGTGACAGTATCGCTCGAAACAATCTAAGCCGGAGTGAAGCGCAGATCGGGCAAGGCAAGCCCCGTCTTACAACGTTCAGCCACGCTTACGCAAAAGTATCGGCACAAGTCGATATGCTCCGCAACGCCCTTCCCATATGGGCCAATTGTTGAAGCTGGAAGAGTACCGGGCAGCTTGGCTCAAGCCATATCCGCCACATTGCGGAAGAGGCAGATGTTAATGCGTGAACCGCGGTTGGGCACTTGACATCAGCCACGTCGATGACTGACCAGGTTTTCTGCGCAAATACAAATGTCGGAGATGGTAGATCAATTGCAGCCTGGCGAGTAGTCATGCCGATCCAGCTCGCGGGCCCCGACGAAACAACCAGCGACAAGTCCCCGAGCCGCCGGACCGCTGTCCTCGAAACAGGTTTGTCAAGTCGCGGGTTAAGCTTGTTAGTGTAATCAGGGTGCAACCCGCGCTATACTCGAGCTTAACAATGCTAACGTTGGCGTGCCTCTGTGAGCGAAGGAAGAGCGGAGCGCAGCAGTTCAGCCACGGCTGCAGCATCCCTAGGTTGCACAGACCGAGTGTTGTAGCATTGTACCTGCAGAATCCTCCTCTCAAGACCGACCATGAGCGACGATATCCGCGTTGCTCGTCATGAAGTGTGCGCTGCTGTAGCTCCGACGTGCCGAGACAGACGGGCTGAACGTTGTGGTGGTTAGGTTACACGAACAACGTTGAACTCACATGTGTGTCGCGTGGGGAAAGATGCTTGCAGGGCACGTGCGAACCTGGCCACTTGACTCGCGGGCTGGGCCTTGGTGGTACGTACTGCAGCAGCGGAGGAGATGCTGAAAATGCAAATACGACCTCGCGATAGGAGCAGTCCGTCGCGATGGCCTTGATGATCCTGTGGCGCCCGCTTGCCCAGCCAGACTGCCCTCGTTCTTCGTGTCGTGGCGCTGCGACGAGAGGCTAACAGCTGGGGCCCCTCTTCTGGAGGAGAAGCCCGTGCTGCAACGATACGACCCGGCGGCGCCGTCTTTGCATACAGCGGCGGTCTAGCAAACGCCGGGCTGGCGGGCAAACGGAGTAGAGGAACGCGATGCGATGGGGGTGCCCTCCACAGCGAAAAGCAGATGCCGGCGATGATGAAGGCATCACGTCTGCGCAGAGCACGAGCTGGGGCAGCGGTCGGTCGGGTGCGCTGCCACTATCTTCCATCCATGCAGGGCACATATTCCAGAAGCCTCGGCCAGATAACGAAAGGATGCGATCGCCACGGAATTGCGAGCTGCCATTGGCGGGCGCTGGCTCTTGATGGCGTGCCTACACCCGAGCTTGCTGGTGCGTCCGCTTGGATATTGTCCGCCTGCGTCCAGGAGCCGTGTCGGCTGATGCAAGCGGCGCGCGTGAAGGTGTGTTGGCAGGCGGAAGTAGGCCTCTTTCTGTCGTGCTGGAGATGGATGGCAGACAGGAACACGCTGCTGCTGTCAGGGCCTGGCCAATAGCAGCCCATGCGGCCGGAGATGTAGCGGCTTGTCCTGGAGCGGATCTCGCAGCGCAGCGTCGCTGCTTAACTAGCCTGTGCACGGCCATTCGCCTCGCGCCTACTAAGTACCTCTACCAATCTATCGCGGTGCTTTAGTGCGATGGCAGAGGTGCAGCTCGTGGTGGCCCGCGTGGGCTGCCTGCCAGAAAGTCCGTCCGCTTCCACAAAGGCTCTCTCTCCCACAGTTCGTATCGTGAATCCTCTTCCCTCAAGCGCGCGCTGTGGTCACGGAAGGAATAGTCGTTAAATGTCTTGTTGCTCCATCCACCGCTCCTCGTACGACATATAAGCATGGCTCACGACCCGGTTGACGCCACGACAGCTCCACCTGCTCGAAAACGGCGCAGACGAACGGCTGCCAGTGGTGCCACCGATGACTGCTTTACGTGGTAAGTGCAGACGGGAGACTGCAGAGACACCTGAATGGGCATACGCTTACCGGAGAGCAGTCGCAAGAGGAACGTCAAGTGTGACCGAACCAGGCCTTACTGCGCTCAGTGTATACAGATCGGCAAGGAATGCTCAGGGTATAAGACCACGCTGACCTGGGGCGTTGGTGTTGCCAGCCGGGGCAAGCTTCGAGGCCTGTCGTGTCCCATCGCGGGCACCAGTGGCGAAGCTGCAGACACCGTGAGACCGTCCGAAGCCAATACCACAAGACGTCGAAAGAGTTCCGTGAGCAGGCCAAATGCTCCTGGCCCGGTGGACATCCCCAGGAACAATGCCGCCTCTTTCCACAACAACCATGTCGCCGGTGTCACCTCCATGCCTTCCACAACGCATGCAGGCTTCCAACCGACGCTACCAACAATCAATGCTGGGCAGCAGGGCTGGAACATCAATGGCTTCGGACTGAATCGACCAAATCCATTGCGGCACCATTCGCTGCAGCATATACACACTGCACTTGGACCACAGTACGATAATGGACCCAACTCTGCCAGCTCGGGCGACTCGTTCCCAGATCATGGCTTCAGCTCGCCTCCGGATTATCCGCTATCATCAGACCTCAATGGCTACAGCGAGTCGTATCCGCCTGGCACGTCTGCATCGTACACGAGCCAGCCTCTCAGCAGTTCAATCGACAGCCTCAGTTCACATTTCAATTCCTCCTCTGTCGGCTCCTTCGGTGACCACATGAGCTCCAGCATGGAGTCCATCAACAGCGCAGGTTCGTTTGGTCAGAGCACACCTACGGAGACGCCACTTTACAGCACGAGTCCTTTCCAGCAGGACGAGATCCTATTCAGCCCCATGTCGGAATCTATGTTTCAGCAAAATCCTTTTGAGCAAATCGATTTCAATAATTTCACAGAGGAAGAAGAAGACACGAATCAGACGCAGCTCGCCATCTTTGATGCGCGATGGAGCAGTCCTTTCTTCACATTGAGTCCTCGAATGCAATGTCTGATGGAATATTACGACCGACATATCTGCCCATACCTGATAGCATTCGACGGGCCTAACAATCCGTACAGGAAACACATTTTGCAGCTGGCAATGCAAAATGAGGGTCTGCAGAACGCGATTGCCGCTTTGGCGACAAACAACATCCGAATGAGGAAGCAACCACCGCCGAGGCGGAGGGGCTTTGTAGAGGAAATCACGGATGCTTTTGATGGGACCGCGAAACCGAAGGAGCTCAACGAGCCCACTGCAGAAGAGACGTGCTACAAGCAAATGTCGATTGACCAGCTGAATATGCAGCTCACTGACACGCGCGCCGCCCAGGACGACTCTGTAATCGCCACTCTTCTAATTCTGTGTCTCTTCCATGTATGCGATTCCGGATTCAGCAAGTTCAAGACTCAACTGGCTGGTGTGCAGAAGCTGCTGTCTTTGCGCGCACCGAGTGGCCAGTCCGAATTCACGGGTTGGGTGGAAATGTTCTTCATTTGGTTCGATGTCATGACTTCGGCCGTCAATGATCGCGAGACGCAGATCAAGAGCGAGTCGCTTGACATGCTGGATTACTCTTCTAACCTGGGAGCGCTGGAACACTTCTCAGGATGCGATGGACGATTATTCAAGTTGATCGCCAGACTCGGTCGTCTCAGTCTTCTCGCCCAAGGTCGACCGGTTCGACCACAGAACAATATGCCACGACCGCCTCCCACTCACAATGGGCATAACGCGCCTCTGCGCAAGAGGCCATCGACGAGTAGAAACCACTCTCCCTTCCACACGGACAGCCTCGAAAGCAATGGCTGGGGCACACCAGTCATATCTTCAGACGACGAAATGGCCGGCTCCCCAGAAGAGAACATCTTCACCACACCCAACAATTCCTACCCCGACAGTCGCGCAGAATTCTGGTCCGAATGGAACGACATTCGCGCTCGACTCAACGCCTGGCAAATGGACACCACACCATCTCGACAAAACACTCCCCCACTCGACAGCCGAGAAATGGAGCTGGGCCAGCGCGATCTCCTCCACATCAACGAATCTTTCCGCTACTCGGCCCTTCTCTACACCGAACGCCTGGGCTCTCCTCTCCTCCCATCTTCTCATCCCAATTTCCAGAAATACGTCTCCAACGCCCTTTTCCATATCACAGCATTAGATATCACATCCTGCGTGAATAAATTCCTCCTTTGGCCACTTTTCATCGTTGGAACGGAATGTGTCGATGAAGGACATCGGAATATCATTCGAGCGAGATGTATTGAAGTGCAGATTGAAAGTGGATTTTGGAATAACATCTCGGGATTGGATGTTTTGGAGAAGGTGTGGAAGGAGTTGGGGAATAATGGGCAAGGAGGAATGGGAGGGGGGACGATGGAGGCTGCGGAGATTAAGGCGAGAAGGAGAGATTCTGAGGCGGGGAGGACGGGGAGGTATGGGCAGGCGTTGAGGTGGAGGAAGGCGATGTCGAGGGTTGATGGGGAGTATATTTTGATATGAGATGAGATGAGATGATGGGATGAGAGGGGATTTGTGACGACAGGACAGGACAGCACAGATGCAAGCTTTACTGGTTTAATGCTTGGCTGAAATGGATATCGACAGTATTTATTATTGAGAAGTTTTTATGAATATGATTGAAATGTATTTTTGTGGGAAGGTGTGAATGACTGGAATGGTTTTTCGAGTTGTCCTTTGACACGACGGTACTGTGAGGTTGGAAAAGGTGCTTGAACAAGGGCAGAATGAACGCCTTTGAATCTCGAAAGTCCTTATGCTGTCAGGAAAAAATAGACTTTGAATGGCAAGGTAAAATTGTAACAGCAGCAGATACGGCGAGAGTTTTGCTGAAGCTACTGTGAGCACTAGAGCATCAACTGAGGTGCCAACGTTTGGGACGACCAGGCAGATAGGCATTTTTCACGAGGGCTGCTATTGCAAGTAACGATGGGAGTGAAACACAAGAGAACAGACAAACAAGAGTCAAAGTGAGTAATCGAGACAATGCTGTCGCTCGATTCCGTAATGCACTGGTAGCTAGAATTACACTTCTGTTGGGCCACGCCGGGCTCCATCATGACATAAATCATCGCTCATCAATGCCCCATGAATTAAGCATGCACGTAATGGGGTACACCATCAGTCCATTTTTCCCCATTCCTTTGTTACGCCTTGAGCACCAACGCTGAGTGTGTTTGTGTTTCATGCAAATCGTGTGAAGAAGCATCGAGTCGTGAAGAACGTTGAAAGCGTTGTTGTAATCTCAATCAATCAGTGTGAAGATGTGATTGTGCGACAACAACAACTTTCGTCGTGGTGGCTGGTTGTTTAGAGGTAGACCAAAGCTGCCATGATGGCGGCGAGGCCGACCACACTTGGCTTCTTCATGTCGGCTGCACCAGTGGCAGCAGGTGGAGCATTGGTGGACGCAGCAGCTGATGGAGCGGTGCTGCTCTGGGAGCCGGTGTTGGAAGCGGACTCGCTGGCGGAGGTGGCCAAGGTGGTGGACTCGGGACCAGACTCGGTAGAGCCAGGAGTGGTGGACGGGGCTGGGGCTCCCTCAGTGGTCGAGGCGGTCTCAGAAGTGACTGGACCTGGAGCAGTTGGGACACCGGTGCCGGAGGTGCCAGCTGGTGAGACCTCGGTGGAGCCAGAAGTCTGGACTGTGGCCGTCGACTGAACAACGCTGGTGCTCTCAACGGTCACGGTAGTCGACTCGCCGTAGCCTGGTGGGTTGGTAGCGCCGGTTGGGCCTGTTGAGGTAAATTGTGAGCTTTCCGTGCTCACCGAGCCAGACGTGGGAGATGAAGGGGATGTGGAGGTCAACTGTGAGCTTCCCGCGCTCACCGAGCCAGGTGTGGGAAACGAGGGGAACGCGGAGGCAGGATATGAAGTGGGATTCTCCACGGTGAGGGCACTAAGGAGGACGGAGAGGGCATTTATTGTGGAAGGGAACGTTTGCGTGGAGGCCATTTCCAGGACCGTGAGGGCATTGGGGGTGGAGTCAGAGGCAGAGGGGTCCGGTTCACACTCACTGGCCTCGCAGTTGGACGGGAAGACGGTGGAGACCTGAGTGATGGTCACTGGTGGCGACAGTTAGCGGGTGTTGCGCGTTGCAACGTGGACGGATCGACTTACCAGTGGCCTCTGCGACGGCGACGGAGAAGAGGCCAAAGGCGCTGGCGACGATGGAGTAACGCATGTTGATGACTGGTCTTGGGTATCTGAAGCGACGGTAATGCTGGAAAGCGATAGAGTGGCGGTGATGGTAGACGTTGACGATGGCCGACGGTTTGTGGTTGGTAGGAGAGAGAGAAAAGGCTGCTATGTGATGTGCGAAATAAAAGTGGCTGGACGGTGGAAACGGTGGCTGGCTTGCGTGTTTGTGTGCGCGACACTGCTGCACTTCACGCGTCGACGGCGACCTCGCTTCCGCCGCACCGCTCACTTGCGTCGCACCGCATCGCACAAGGGCCCGCCGGCTTCCACTCGGTCGAGACGACATCTCTCCGCCGTGCGATGCCCCGGCCCTGTTTGTGTGAAAGACGGCGTCGCGCGTGCGATCCTGGAGGCGGCACGCAGGCCATCATGAAGCTACAGCGGTGAGCTGCTGACCACGCGCATCTTACTCTGCTACGATATCCCCCTGCGCTCGCCGCGCGCTTCTGCCGCAATGCGCAAACATTGATAGAGTGTAAGTGGAAGTGAAGCTGGAGTTGCACATGGAGACGGCAGGATCCACCCGGCAGCCGCCGCCAGCCACTAAACCTTGCAGCGAGGCTGGGCGTACCAAGATTTTCCACCACGTTGGATACCATACTACGATCGCTTGATCTAAACGTCGTGCGAGCCACTGGAAGCACGGCTGGCACACCCATACAAGCTACTTCTTTCATCATGCATCGGATAGCCGCAGCTACAATGCCAGACATCACAGAGGCCCACACGCGCAATTCTACACGACCACCTGCAGGCAACGCAGTGGCAGCAGTGGCATGCGCTTTGAGCCTTACTTCGCGGTAGCGCTGGTAATCATGCTGCTGGCCTTGTTGCACAAGGCACTGATGGCAAGATCAGGGCAGGACGATGCATCTCCACTGCAATATAACCACTGAGTGGTCGATCTTTGCTCATCGCAAACCACCACGGGCCCGTGTGTCCGCCTGAATCACCCAAGGGCACACGAGTTGCAGAGTGCCTGGCACTGGACTGACGTGGACCAGGGCAAGCTGGAGATTGCGCTCCCGTACGTCGGCCTGTCGACGGTGGACACGTAGATCTGAGAGACTTGTCAGCTAATGCTCTCTCTATTGCATCATGCGCGAAAGCGAGAAGTGAGTAGCAGTCAGACAGCAGTTGGATCAATAGCTGTTCCACAGTGTAGTTCAGAACAGGTCTGTGTGTTATTGTATTGTCATCATGGTAAGGAAGTAGAAAATGTTGGTCAACGTACCTTGAGATCCTGCTGCCATGCTTGAGTATGGGACTTGAGTACCCGGTCAAATTGACAGGAATATTCCACCTGTCAGCTGGTTCTTTGACGTTTGAAAAAGCCATCCAGCTTCTGCTGTCCTTCATCATGTTTCGATCGACCAATGCCACCTCTCTGCCGCTTCAGGCCAATTAGATGGTCCTTCCGGTCGATCGAGATGACGAGCAGCTTGTGCTGCGCAATGCCTGAAGCTAGCCGGGGCGGCTGTTCGACAGCAGTATCTTTAGAGGAGAGGCTTGCTTCATCAGATTCGGCTGTGGACACTCCAACAACAGCCTCCGCAATTGCACTGTCGTCATTGGCAGGCTCTGGAGCTTCAGTCTTGCTCAGAGCCAGCTCGAGATAGCCTGTATTGGACCAACCACCCAAATGCTGAAGAATTATCTGACCTTTGACAGCCGTCACCTCGGGAGCGATTGTCACGCTCTTCGGTGGTAACTTCAGCAGCAACCGCTTCCAGAGTTGGGATAGCAGCATGCCATGAGACACAACTGCTACCACAAGCTTCTGTTCAGGAGGTTTGCCGAGCAGAGGGAGGAGATGCTGGTCCAGAAAATCATCTGCCCGCTTGGCCATGGCCTCTTTGCTCTCCACATCAACGAACCCTGGGTCATTGAGATGACGTTCCCGATGTGCTTCTCTTCCAGTCTTCCTAGCATCGGTACGAGCCTGAAAGGTCTTCCTTTCGTAGAAGCCAAAATTCTGCTCAATCAAATTCTGCACTTTCGTGATTTCGACTGGCATCTCGGAGGATGGCTGAGCAGACTGAATTGCTTGTGCAGTCTTGAAGGCTCGGGACAATGGCGAAGCAAAGATGTGAGTGAACACAACTTTGTTGCTGGCGAAGTGCTCGCCTAGCCGCTTGATTTGGTCTACGCCATGGTTTGTGAGGGCGGAATCTGTGACGCCGGCGTATAGTCCGGCTACGTTATCCACTGTCTCGCCGTGGCGGATGAGATAGAGGTCCATGTGGTGTGCATTGTCGTGGTGGACGAGGCGGCGATGATCATGACGATGATCTAGGGACGGGAGACAAAGATGCAAAAATCAGAGGGGAGAGGATTCGAGCTAGCTCTATGACGTGCAGAAGCTCGGAGCTCTCTCACTCTCTCCATCCTCGAAGGCCAATCTCCCAAACAATGCCTTGACACAAATCAAACTCATTGAGCCATGTGCTCACTCCTTGCAAAGAATGCTACTGTAGCACGCAGTTGGAAAACATTCTGGAAGCTGCCTCCCGCAATCCGCGCCTACGCCATCCAAGCTCCCGGTGCCCCAACAGTAGAGGTCTTCGACACGAGAACCAAATGGCTACAGAAAGAACGAGCAGCAGCAAACACAAAACACAGCCGCGAAGTAGACTACCTCCGCGATGAAGTCGCCGCCCGCCTCTGCGATCGAATCCTAGATATCAACAGAAACTTCCCCAAAGTCCTCGACTTCGGCGCCAATGCCTGCAACATCGCCCGCATCCTCACAAGACCCGACCCAGACCCCGACTCTGCAAAGCCTTCAGTAGAACCGATCAGCAAGAGAATCGACGAGATTGTTTGTGCGGAAAGTAGTCCGACACTACTACACAGAGACAAAGATGAAGCATTCAACAAGGACATCGAAATCAGAAGGGAAATGTTGACGAACCCGGAATACGTCCCCTACGAAACGGATACTTTCGACATGGTCATGTCGTCGTTATCATTACATTGGGTCAACGATTTACCCTCTGTCCTGACACAAATCAACAACTGTCTGAAACCCGACGCGCCTTTCATTGCAGCCATGTTTGGCGGAGATAATCTGTACGAGCTCCGTGGCTCTCTACAACTAGCAGAGCAAGAACGACTCGGCGGAATCGGAACTCATATGTCCCCATTGGCAGACGTACGCGATGTGGGGAATTTGTTGAATCGTGCTGGTTTCAAGCTTCTCACGATAGATGTCGAAGATATCATTGTGGATTATCCGCATATTTCAGCTTTAATGGCGGATTTGCAGGCTATGGGTGAAGGGAATGCTGCGTTGAGGAGAAGTTCGGGGCCGATCTCGAGGGAGGTGCTGCTGGCAACTGAGGCCATTTATCGTGAGTTGTATGGTGAGGAGCAGGAGGATGGGACAGTGGCGCTGCCAGCTTCTTTCAGGATCATTTTCTTGATTGGGTGGAAAGAGAGTGAGAATACGCCTAAGCCATTGGAGCGCGGGTCTGGAGAGGTGAATCTCAAGGACTTATTTGAAGCAGATAACAAGAAGAATTGAACGAGATCCTGCATGTATTGGTGCAGCGGGAATGTTTAGTCTGTCTCCATTGCAACTTGATTCCGTAGATCATGTTCCAGAGGGAAATGCACTGGAACGCAAACACGGTCCTTCATATCCATGGACAATGATGCTGTCTGCCCCTTGCAGGTTGCATATCTGACCAGTTGTCGGCCCATATTGACCTGCTAGGCAGGCTTACTCGCTGGTGCTAGAGCGAAGTGAGCGCCAAAGAAAAAAGTTCACTCCAACTTCGAAGGCATATATGTCGACGACTAGGAGATATACTGAAGCCTCAGCCGTTGCTGACAGAAAATGACCTACCAGGCTGAGTCGCAGGTGCTAGCATAGGCGAGAGTGTCAAAAACAAAAAGGATAGTCTCAAGTTCACTTGAGGTACTAGGACAACCTGAAGGTTCTCCTGGGGATCGAACCCAGAATCTCCTGATAACGTTGAATCGTAGTCAGACGCCTTACCATTGGGCCAAAGAACCGCTTGGATCGAATGCTGCTTGAGCTATTTGATGGAGTGATGAAATTTTCGTAAAAGTATAGAGGTAAAATTTTTGAAACCTGCGGTGATCTCCGAAATGCTGCCGATGCAGACTTGTTTGACCAGAGAATCCAGAGCCGGGGCTTATGGGCTCCAGAGATGATTGGAAATCATCGTACAACCGCAATGTGAGTCCACTGGTCTTTTGTGTCGGTAGGGCTTGGTGGTGAAAGTATGGCATCTCGTCTAATCGTGATAGCTATCGATAGTGACTTTCGATAGCTGACGTTCACGTTGGGCTGATCTCGCGTCTTCCCTCCTCGGCCATGGAGCAACGTGCTGAAAAGGTCAGGACCGGATGCAAGCAGGCTTGCTCGACCCAGTGTCGTGTGCTGGTAAACAGCAGTCCTTAATAGCATGCACCTTTAACCCTTGGTGCATCTATCGGCTTTGCGAATAAAAGCGACAAGATTATCAGAGAGGTTTGATCTCTCTCATAGTCGACACTATCGGAATCCACTTCAATCGGCCGAAGTGTTGACCGAAGTAAGCCTCATGGGCCGCATTGCTCTTTTGGAAAGTGTAGCATATTTGCTGTCTGCACTCATTCATGGAGCATGCTTTGCGCTTGTGACTGTATCGTCATTGGTCATGTCTTCGTCTCATCGTTTATGTCGTAGTCGACCAGACGGTGGATCGATCCTGTCGAATCCTGCTATCGTCACCTCCAGCCACCCACCCTACCATCGTCCCATCTGGACTTCCGCTCTCGCCTCATGAAAGCAGTCTTCCTAGCATCTTTCGCCCGCCTGACAAATTCAGTGACTTCTCGCTCACTGGCTATGCCATCTTCCTCCAGCCAACTCTCTTCAATGCCCCTCAGTAATAGCTCCTGCTCTTGTACGCTCGCATTCAACCTCTGGTATAGAGCTTGGGGACTGAAGTCTCGCAACGCAGCTTCCGTTTCAGATATCTTACTTCGATGCTGTTGTTCCAACGCACGTAGAGCCAGTAGACGAGATTGTGTTTGTTCACGTAATGCTGCCAGCCGAGCTTCCGTTTCCATCAATTGAGAAGTCGCTGCAATGTTGGCTTGAACCAGTGGGGTCAGGTGTTGCTCGGATGCGGGAATGGCTGGATGTGTTGTATGAGGGCTACCGAGGAGCGCGGATTGTAGACTGGGAGTATTGAGGACATCCTGAAGGTCTGTGACACTTGGAACGCTCAGCCTATGCTTGTAGTTGAGCCTTTGGGCGTGTGGACGTTCACTACATACGACTTGTCCTTGAGTACTTCCGGCAGCCAATGCCCTTCTATGGGAGGTACGTATGGCTGTGGAGGCCCCTGCTGCTGCTGTGGATGTTGCGGTTGCGGGCGATATGTTTGGCTGCCATCTAGCTCAGACAGCTCGTGTCCCGGCGGTGGTGGAGGGAGCGGGGGACCTCGGGGCTGCGGCGTGTTTGACGACGACTGCTGTTTGGGTGGAGGCGGAGGAGGCGTGGACGCCGCCATGCCATAGTCCGCCATGGTGACTGCAAGATGTTAGTCGGATGCAGATGAATGTCTTCGTAGGATCCGAAGGTGGGCATGAGTTGCGCGTTCGTCCCACGCTTGGCTACGTGAGCCGCAAGCACTTCGTCCTCTTCGAACAGCTGGCTTTGATCAACACCAATGCGCCATGAGCGGCCAGCAGCAGCAGAAGAAGGGCTGGGGATCGCTGCTGGCGGGCACGCTCTCGTCGCTCGAATCGCGTCTTGACAACATCCTCATCGACGACGAGACGGCCCAAGCAGCTGCGCAAGCCCGTGCTCAAGGAAAGACCAATCCTACTGCCGCCGCGACCTCATCCACCACTACCACAAGACTGCGCAGCAATTCGATTAAGCTCGCTCCCAATGGCTCCGCTGCAGCTTCGAGAGACGCTTCAAGGACGAGAGTCAATGATCGCCTGGCAGAGAAATTGGCCAGAGCGACGGCACAGAAGTCGTCCAGGCCATCCACACCCGCGGTTGACGAAGATGGGCGTGCGAGCGTGGATTCGAAGCGCGCAGACGACGCGGCTGTGCCTGTGCCAGAGATAGCGATTCAAACAGAGGAGCAGGCGGATTCGAAGGTGGATCAGAGTGCCGACAAGCAGAACGAGGTCAATGGAACGACTACGGACGAAGGCGGTATAGAAGCAACTGCAGAACCAGCAACTTTGATAAGTTCCGACCTACCTATCAATCCTGCTCGCCAGTCGACAGAGGGATCTAGGGCTTCAGTGGATGATGGCTCCTCGAGGGCTTCTTTGGAAGTCGCAAACGGAGTACATACGCCGAGCGGACGCACGGATGGATCACAGGCCCAGGACCAGTCCGATATCCACGCATTTATGGAACGGATCGATGCTCTCCAGGCAAAACTGACCTATCTGGCAAAGGAGACGGTGGCAGCGGCTAAGAAAGCCAATGCGTCCACCGACAGTTCTAGCTTGAAGAAGCAATTGGCCACCAAAGACGAGAAGATTGCACTACTTATGGATGAAGGCGAGAAGCTGAGCAAGAAAGAGCTGAAGCACCTCCAAACTATCAAGAAACTGCGTTCGAAGACAGAGGAAGCTGATAAGACTTCCGCTGATCTGAAGAAGAGGCTTGAACGGGCAGAAAAGTCCGAGATGGAACTGCAGGCGAAACTGAAGAGGGCAGAGGCAGCTGAACGCCAAGCGAACGACAAGATGAAGCAAATAGCAACCATTGATAAACAGGTCGAGGAACTGCGGACTGATCGCGAAAATGCTGCCGAGCTGATACGCAACCTTACCACGCAGCTGAAGGAGGCCAACGAAAGGGCAACTCGGGCTGAGAAGAACGCAGCAAACAAGGCCTCCGAAGCCGACAAGGGAACAATAGCACATCTGCAGAACGAGCTGGAGGATGCACAGATTGAAAAGAAGCTAGCGGAGGACCGAGCCGCATCTGAGATGCGCAAAATTCGCGAGGAAGCTGAGCGACAGAAGGAGAAGTTTGGTGTACGGGAGCTCGAATTCAAAAGTGAGATCTCGAACCTCGAATCACGACTGGAGGCGATGCGTGCGCGGGCAGAGGAGGCCAGTGCCACTCCAGGAGCTGGCGATGGCGAGAGCAATATCAAGTTGATCAGACAGGTCGAGACGCTACAGCAACAGTACGCGCTTGCTAAAGGGAACTGGGAGACGATAGAAGGCTCTCTTAATGCCAGGGTAGCTGCTCTTGAGCGGGAAAAGGACGAGGCCACGAAGCGAGAGGTCGAAGTTCGTAAAAAGGCGCGAGAAGCAGGAGCCAAGTCAAGGAAGGCTGAAGAGGAGCTCGAGAGTGCTACGGATCGAGTCAAGAGCCTTGTCCAGGAGCTCGAAGTCCAACAACAACGCCTCAGCACGCTGCAGCAAAAGTTGGATCAAGCTGAAACTTCACAATCAGACGCGAAGGCAGATACGGAGCGTCAGCGCAAACAGCTTGAAGCCGAGTTCGCCAACCGGTTGGAAGAAGAAAAGCACAGATTGCGACGCGAACTGCAAACCTCTCCCCATCTGGGTTCTCTACAGTCGCCGACAACCTCGAGCTCTCGCAAAGCCCCATTCGCTGAACTTCCGAACATTCGCGGCAAGGGGCTACAACGACTCACATCTCACGATCTATCCGCATTACACACCGACCACCAACGTCCAACAAGCGCTCATCGCCGCCCATCTGCCCTGCCGAGCTCGACAACAACTTCCGCACGCGGTGGTCTGGGCACCCCAACCGACGCGTCCCCCTCGATCAGCAGACGGGAGTCCATGCTTTCGCTGCAGCCTGGAGACATCCCACCCACCCCTTCCATCGAAATCCCAGATCGTCTCAGCGAGGGTGGCAGTTCCTCGCCTCAGCGAACTATCGCGGACCTCGTTTCAAATTCTACAGCAGGACCTGGCGCTGGTCCATCTGTGCAACTTGTCGAGCGCATGAGCTCTCTTGTTCGCAAATTGGAGTCAGAGAAGGCTAGCTTCAAGGATGAGCTGTCGCGATTGCAACAACAACGCGATTCTGCGAGGGATGAAGTTGTGGAGTTGATGCGTGAGGTGGAGAGTAAGCGGAGCAGTGAGGTGAAGATGACGGAGATGAGTAGTGAGTTGGATGGTTTGAAGAAGAGGTATGAGGCTTCTCTTGAGATGCTTGGGGAGCGAGAGGAGGAGGTTGAGGAGTTGAGAGCGGATGTTGTTGAGTTGAAACGGATTTACAAGGAGCTTGTAGAGACGAAGGTAGCGAGGTGAAGTTGATGTTCATGAGCATCAGGTTTTTCGAATACTACAATGCATTCCGAGCTTTTACTCGCCACGATTGAATCAGTGCTGATTTCTCTCCTCTGCTTCGTTTGTTCTACTGGGTGATGGCAGCAACAAAGACCACTCTAGCCAACATGGAGACCTTAACGCGACACGCAGAGCCTCGTTCTGAAGCTGGGTACTCGACGGGCGAATTGCCAGACTTCATCAGACGCGTTGCACTATCACTTGGCTATTCCTTCGGAACAGCGATCAAGTTCAGGAGAAACCGCGTCCTGCTGATACCTCGCTGCTCGCCTTTCTCGCAATCATTGTACCGAAAGCTCCGTTGCCATGCGACCGTCTACATTGCAAACTTGCCGTTTCGTATGTTCGCCAAAGTTGGCAGGATCTCCATTTAGCCTACCTGAGAACCCGCAGAGTCTTGATGACATCGTAGTGAGTCTGTGTGAATGTCACTATTGTCGTACCTTCGGAAAGGAGTATATTTTGGGATTTGGTGCGGTAGGACATTGTCTGAAGATTCCGGCAGACAAGTGCCGTCCGCAGTTTCGGAGGTTCTTGGTGTGTTGGGCACCATTGCCCGGGCTCCAGTGCTCGTCCACGCACTATTTGTGCGCAGAAACAACAAGGGGACTTCTTGCACCGGAGCTTGAAAGTCACCAATTTAGATATTCGAGACAACGTTACCGGTACAATGGATGCGGTGGGAACGCCGAGAAGGTGCGGTTCGGAGCACTGATCGAATGTGCGCACAGCTGCGCACGATTCGTATAGTATCGGCCTCTTTTTCGCAAGTCTGTGGATTGTCGCTAGAAGGTGATTTGCATTATTCTGGAAATGCGATATGGAGATTCACTGTTGGCGACCCTGTCAGTTCTGCCTCGTCTAAAGCTTCGAGAACGCGCTAGAGGCGAATTCTTGTAGTCGAGATTATCAATGGCGATCTGCCGATATGAACTCGGGATGTGGTCATGATGGGTCTGAAAGAAGAGTGCTCGTGCTCTCGAGTTTCAAGGTGGTGGAATGGGTGAGCAGCGATGAGGTTGTCGTTGCAATCGGATAGATTGCGTAGAAATTGCCATCGTGTCGCTGCTGAGACCTAGTGCCGGGTTCGAGGTGTTTGGTACAGTGGCTGTGTGATCTTCGACACCGTCGTGCATATCTTGTTCGGAAAATAGCCTAAAATCTCTGGATGTCTTGAGAGGGAGTATCATGCTCGGTCGTGGTCGGTCAGCGTGCGGAGGAGTTGGTGTTGTCGTGAGGAAGGATGTTTTGGCGGTCACGAAAATTCGGACGCAATTTTCTCAGTGCTTCATGCTCTAGTACTGACCGCAACTCTGGCTGAATCGCAGATCTCGTCGGTGAAGAACGACTATCTCACACCGCCGCCACCAACACGGTGTTCGGTGAGCTCGTCTCGTAGTGTCGGTCCAGTGAAGATCAAGTGCAAGGATTGGGACATCGTCTTCGTGGCAGTTGCGCCGTCGCGTGTTCTTGCATGTCTTTTGCCGGGGTTACTTCGCCCTCGTCTGACACCGTGTGATGTTGGCCCGCCGACCGTGCCCCCGGAGGCAATAGCTTGATGAGCTGCTCGCGGCACATCAGTGTCTTACGTGGAGCGACCATAATCGAGCAGCAGACAAGCAGGCGATCTCTAGTGCACGCGTGCAACCACCGTTGCTTGGGATATCGTGTGCACGAGGCTGCTAAGTCGACTAAGCTAGCGGCATGTCGAAATATCCATGTCGTCTTGCTCATCTGGCTCCAACGCGAAAGCCAGAGCATCGTGTAATTGGCGTGGTTGTTTTCCATCATGCCGCGGCACAGCATCCAGACTCGAGAACCCTCGTGGTCTGCGTCACGCCAATGCTGCGACTTCTCAGTTGCCGGGAAGTAGGACATCGCTAGCAACACTTGTGAGAGCTCGTCCTTTTGGGCACAACTGCCAGCGAGAAGGCCGTGCTGTAGAAACACAAACATCAGGGCACAGTGAGGGCATCACGAGAAGGTCACATGGGGATCGTAGCTGGAGGTGGTGCGTCTCGACCATCGTGCCACTGCTTCCAGAATAACGTCTCAAGCCTGGGGATGCGGGGGTCGATGAGCTGGCTGTGCAAACCGATGTAAAGGCTGGCTATTGCACACCTTGAGTTGGATGTCTCGAGTCGCGTCGTGAACAGCATCGGACAAGAGATCGAGCGTGTCTTCAACGGTGAGGTCATCTCTTCTGTTTCCGTCTGCAACTCCTGGCGATCTTTCATGGTTACTTTCATGGTTGCAACGAGAGCGGCAAGGCGTCCGCAAAGGGAACACCTCCCCCCGGTGGCGGGCCGGGCAGACCAGGGACGAATCTCTGATTGATGCCGGGGAAGCAAAGATGGCGTTGGGAGCGAACCACGGGAAGTCATCGCGCAAATGGAATCACGGTGGAGGGCTGCTGTTTCTGCGTGTCAAGTCCTGTGCAGGATCCATAGCCAACGTGAACCTTCACACCGCAATGAGGTTGTTTGAAGTGGAGTGGGCATGGTGGGCAAGCAGGGTCTGTTGTGGGCAATTTGGTCGCGACTGCCATTTGAGCACTCATTTCACGATGGGCTTCGGTGACCGTGTGCGGCAGGAAGGCAGCAATCTCAGTGCTTCTGCGAGTCAGGCTCGCGGTCCCTATGCATCGCATCTAATGGACGCCGATGCAGCTGCACGACCGGGCATGGCCGGCATCTGCATCAACATGATACATGGTCGGTCGATGGAGGAGGAGGTAGTGGTGGCCGTGGTGGCACACCTTCACCTGCAGCATATGCGCAGCACGATGAGAGCAGCGCCGTGAGCGCACCATGGTGGACTGGTGCGAGACAGTTGCGCCGTGCCGCTGGTTCTTTTGGCGACGAGCGGAGACTTGGGACACAAAACAGGGCAGTGGTGCCAGGGGAGGACGAATTAGGTCGAGCCGGCATTGTGGGATAGTCAGGGGAGCAGCCGGCACGAAAGTCCGTCCAGCCGCGTGCAAAATTCGGCGTATTGGACAGGCGAGACTCGCAGCGCAGGCAGGACGAAAAGAGCGTGCGATGTTGCGGGCGAGCGGCGCGTGCTGCTGCTGGAGTCTGAGCCAGGCGTCGCTGCAGTGGACGTGGTACAACATCATCGCCAGCTCCATCATCATCATCACGACATGGCCCGTCGCGCGCTGTACCTGCAGCCGGGCTGGCTCGTGGGGTGGGCGCGCGTGCGTACCGCGTTCCGAGCAGCAGCTGTCCGACAGCAGTTCATCGCGCACCGCAAAGCACCACAGATAGGCGGGTAAAGTGCATACGTGATTCCGCCGCGGCGAAACGCGAAAGTGTCGCGATCGCTTGATGATGCGGTGCTGAGCCTGGCTGGGCATCGGCAGCATCCCACCTAGCAGCAGAGGCGTGTCGCGCGAGAGATGACTCTGGGGGGCCACGATCAGCGAGACAGAGACTGGCCATCACCAGCCAGACAGTCGGACGGCAGGGGGAGCCTGCGACGGCGTTGCTGAGAACGTGCGGCCAACCCTCACCCCGGCGCGTCGACATACCGCGCCGACGAGAAACAACAGCAGCAGCAGCCATCACACTCCACTCAGCGTCACATCACACCGTCGCGGAGGCAGAGCGTGTTGCTGCCGACTTCTGTTCGCTGCGGGCCTGCGACATCCGCACGCACGCACGCCCGCCGTGTGCCTCTAGCGCACCGGCAGCCGCGCATTGGGCAGCTCGCCAAAAAAGTCGTCGACAAATCATCGTCAGGGGCACAGCTGCTGGCCGACTGGCAGACTGACACGCCGCAGACGGGGACCTGTTCCTCCTCGCAACAGAGCGCACATCATCCTGCACGCTACGCTCCGGGCCACGCACTCGCTGCGCTGGCATCGCTCTCTGTCTGTTGCCGTCTGCGCGTGCGGTCTGCTCTACTCCCTCGCGTCTTCCCGCCAGCGCGCGACGTCTGTCTGTGCGCGCGACCTTCTGGAATCGGCAGGCCTCGTTATTCCTCAATTACGCCCACCCTGCTCTCGCTGTCTCACTTAATCCCGCGCCTAATTAACACAAGGCAGGATTGTATTGTCTCGCCGGCATCCCCTCGCCCTCCTGCTGCTCGACAATACACGCGCACCCGCATCGTGCGCTCTCGGACTGCACTGGACCTGCGTCGAATCTCGCCTTCGCCGCCAAACCGTTTGGCCAACTTTGCTCGCGACGCTCCGTACCGGCCGGCTCGAGACATACTTCTGCTCCATCCTCCTAGCGTGCCTCCCCTTTCTGCCGCGCTCTGTGCAAAAGCATCGACCTCCTCTGTCTCATCACCCTCCAGAGGACCCACTGTCAGCCCGACAAGTCAAGCCACGGGCTGCGCTATCTCGGCACTGATCCTCTGGATCGTCCTGCTAACTGAACGCCATCCTTTCGGCTGCGCTTCCGCCAAACCGTTGCACTGGAGCTCCCTTCTCGAGCGCACGACCACAACGACATCAACCTTCCCAGAGGCCATCGCCGTCTATACACTCCTTTACATCCCACTTGACGCCTGTCCCGGACCCTGAGCACTACCAGTTCCTTGGTTCTCTCATCACTACCCATTTCCACTTACTACTACTGTCGACTTACCGACGCGACTTAATCCATAATCACACCGGCCTTGACGGTCCATCGATCCCTCGATCCATCACTGCCACCCGACACCTCGACCACCATCGACAAAGTGTAAGTCTTCCATCAACGTTTGCATCCTGACACGCCATGACTGCCTTCGAAACACAATGCTGAATAACATTCCAGCTATCGTCTCGAGAACAGTTTCTGCAAAAATCTACATGTTGCATCAGTCTTGAATTGGTTTGTGAGCACCGGTCTCTACAATAGGGACCTTCAAAGCAATCATGACCGTCGCATACGACATGTCGTACCGCGGCTGGTCAAGTGGCTCGCAGGCCGCTGTCTGCCTCGAAGACAAGTTCGAAATCCTCAAGGACATTGGCGATGGCAGCTTCGGGAGCGTTGCTCTGGGTAGGACGCGCAGCGCTGGCGCACACGTCGTCCGACGAGGCACTTTGGTTCGTTACACTGCATGATGTCGATCATTCGATGCACTAATGTGGCGTCACAGGTGGCCATCAAGACTATGAAGAAGAGTTTTGAGAGCTTCGCACAATGCATGGAGCTGCGTGAAGTCATCTTTTTGAAGTCTCTGCCCAGCCATCCTCATCTGGTTCCGGCTTATGATATCTTCCTGGATCCATTGAGCAAGAAACTCCACATCGCAATGGAGTACATGGACGGCAACCTCTATCAACTGATGAAGGCCAGAGACCACAAGCCACTGGACTGCCACAGCGTGAAGAGTATTCTCTTCCAGATTATGTGTGGTCTCGAACACATCCACGACCACAGCTTCTTTCATCGTGATATCAAGCCCGAGAATATCTTGGTCTCGACGTCCGCACCCGATTCAGGAAGCACCTTCAAACGATATTCGGCGATGGTCACACCGCCATCAACACCACCCTCCTACTCCATCAAAATCGCCGATTTCGGACTTGCACGAGAAACGCATTCGCGGGTTCCATACACGACATATGTGTCGACGCGATGGTACCGTGCGCCAGAAGTGCTTTTAAGAGCAGGAGAGTATTCGGCGCCCGTTGATATCTGGGCAGTGGGTGCGATGGCAGTCGAGATTGCCACATTGAAGCCTCTGTTTCCAGGTGGAAACGAAGTCGACCAAGTATGGAGAGTCTGTGAGATCATGGGAAGCCCTGGCAGTTGGGTGAACAAGCACGGACAGAGAGTCGGCGGTGGTGAGTGGAAGGAAGGCATCAAGCTTGCTCAGAAGTTGGGCTTCTCCTTCCCGAAGATGGCGCCCCACTCGCTCGAAACTGTGCTGCCTGCACCACAATGGCCGGCCAGTCTGGCGCACCTCGTAACTTGGTGCCTGATGTGGGACCCCAAGGTTCGCCCAACATCAAGACAAGCGCTCGAGCACGAGTTCTTCAATGATGCCGTGGATCCCCTGAGACCTAAGAGCTCAGCCGCTCAGAAGACTTTGGGACGCAAGGCTTCTACCCACATGAACGCCGGCGATGACGGACTGCCATCACTTTCTACGAAGACATCTTCGTGGTTTAGGAAGTCGCTCGGACCGCGTGACGCCGCAGCACCACCTGTGCCCGAGTACGCACAGAATTCGTCGCCTCGCCCAACACCAGTGCACGCCGAACCAACGGCCACGCTCAAGCAAGCCCGGCCCAGTGCCACGAAGCGCGCTACATGGGCAAATGGCGCCTCGAATGCCGCACCCATTCCCATTCTGCCATCTATCCGACCAATTTCGCCCCTTCCAGATGCATCAGTCGCTCAGGCAAGTGTGAGTCGGACCGAGCAATCAGAAGAACGGTCAGGAAAGAAAATCGGAAGACAGTTGTCTGTCAATTCTCAAGGCAACCACTATGCTGAGATTCACCGTCAAGAAGCAGAGAGAGCTCTCAACGGCGCCTCTGGTCTCAAATCACCATCTGGTAGCCAAAGAGAAAGCTTCTTCTCGCACCTCCGAAAACGTGCGAGACGTTTCTCTGGAAAACCAAGTGGGCCGAACACACCTAGCGCAGAAGACATCGAAGCAAACGTGGGTTGCGCTCCTTGGGCATCGACATCGAACAGACAATCTATGCAAGACGTCCAGCCGACCGCACCTGGTGCTGCAAATGCGTCCGCAGACCCCAACTTCGCTGAGCTCGACCGAGCTCTTCAGAACGTAAGGTATAGCCTGGATGCGACGGCAAATGCGGCGCCGGCACAGCCTAAGGTTCCAGCCAAGATGGCGAGCAATCCTGCTTTGAAGAGACACCACTCTCTTCCATATGCCAAGGACGACATGTCAGCTGCCGCCCGCGCAAGACGCTCGGTCAAGGCTGCGCCGAGCAACGTTAGGTACGAAACACCTTGCGAAGAGGACGAGCTCCTGGACGAGGCCCTCATCTCTGCCCATCGTGCGGTGAAGCGACTCGACAACGGCGTCACACAGCCAGCGCGACCATTGCTGCCGCATGTCACATCAGAGCCTACATACAATGCGCCCTACCTTACCCCATCACCGTCCAAAGACCAAATGACGGTCGACTTCGTCACGAATGATTACACGCCTACCAAGCCTGTGAACATTCCTGCCGCTCGTCAACAGGAGAAGGCGGTACAAAACCCTCAATGGCCCACTCCACCATATGATGACAACGACTGGGCATCTGGCGTCGCCGCCAGCATATATGCCACACAGGCTGCCTTTCGGTAGTCGATATTGACAGTGACCATGGACTGCAGCGACCTTGACCAACGTATCTGGCGTCGTAATGCACCGGTTGCTGCTCTCAATCTCCTTTGTTTTCTTTTGACTTCAAGCATAGCATCGGCGCAGGGCTCTCATCCTCCTCTGGCTGGCCCCAGCACGGCATCATTTATCAGCATTAGCAATGGTAATTTCTGGAGTTATGGCACGGAACTGGGGCAAGGCGACAACACTCGCTTGCGAGGACGCGACACGGCGTTTTCAACATCAATACTTGTACAGGATCTTCACTGGATCATCAAAATTTTATCCGCTCCCAATGAGCATATATTCCCTTGCATCAGGATCATATCTGCCTCCGACGACTGGATCTTACACGGAATGGACGCGGAGGCATTGTACAGAAGAGAATAGGGGACGGAAAGTGAATGGGGAGGTCAATCTGTTTTTCTTGTTGTGCGGATGACATGTGTTCTCCAGCGCAATTGTTCATCGAACACTGCTGATATACCCCATGAGCGAACATATCCATAACGGACGCTTGGTAGACTGTGGCGCTATGATAGGGCCCCAAGCGACATATGATTAGGATAGTAGCATATCTGATCTACCATTTATTCCGCAATTCGCCATCTGCTCTCACTTTTGTACTGCGTGAAGTTTTTCGTCTGCCCGTACAACGTCATCGAGCATTTGCGCGTGAAGCTCGAGCTCTGTTGGAGTTGCAGAAGCTCGCCCGAAATTTTGACCATCTCCAACTTCACGCGTCGCGCGTTTCCGCCGCCTGCAACACAACCACCACTCTTGCAACCTACATGACAGAACTCTTGACTTCTGCTTGATCAAAACCATGGCGCCGTACACAGGCATCGCACTGTCTCCCGCCGAACTCTCCTACCTCCATGCCTCGCTCTCTCAAACCCCACCCATTCGCCCCGATGGCCGCTCCGCAACCACTTTCCGCCCTGTCGTCGCCGAAACAGATATCCTGCCGAGCGCCAATGGTAGCGCAAGAATTTGCTTTTCGGACGGCACGGAAGCGATTGTGGGCGTAAAAGCGGAAGTTGAGAAGAGTGAGCGTAGAGGAGCGGGGTTTCAGACAAGGCCGAGTATGGATGATGTTGCCATGGGGGCTACGACAGAAGACGACGACGAGGAAGAGAAGGGTGGAGGCAGAGGAGAGGAGTCGTGGGTTGAAGTTTCGATTCAGATTCCTGATATGAGGGATGATGATGCTTTGCCTGTTTTCCTCGCGGCCATGTTGACGGAAGCTTTGCTCGCTTCGGGGGATGTGAAGGATCGGTTGTTTATTAACAGCAGGTTTCATTGGAGGTTGTATATTGATGTGCGTATATCCCTTCTCCCTTCTCTACACACTTTCTTCCAAACTTGCAAAATGCTCTCACGAAGTGCAGAGTCGACAAGTGATCAGATCGGCATTTATGAGAGAGCCTTTCATGAAAATGAGAACAGAACAGATATAGCTAACGAAAAACGGTAAGTAGATCCTCCTCCTCTCTCAACCACTCTCCTACCCACTCCCTCTTCTATCCCTCACAACCCACCTCGCCCTCCTCTCCACCCGTCTCCCAGCCCTGCTCTCCCAAGGCGACGAAGACCCTCTCTTCAACGACGACTGGGATGCTTCAAAATACCTCTTCCCGCGAGATCCCAAAACAGGCAAACCCGTTGCGAAACCGCCCGTCACACTCCTTGTCATGACAGTAGGCTCAAACATCCTCTTCGACCCTTCAAAAGAAGAACTCGCAGTAGCGGATGCCGTGGTGGCGATTTCGGCTGCACAGGTTGACCCACAACAAGGCAGTGAAGATGAGAAAGACGAGGGGAATATGCGGTTAGTCGCATTGAGGACAATCGATCCGCCTAGTCGATTGACGGCTGCTGGAGTACCGAGTACGACAACCACGACGAACAAAGACAAGGGTTCTAGTGTCGGTGGTGGAGAAACGACACTGAGTGCGGCTGAAATGCTGAAGATGAGAGAAAAGGATGCGGGAGCGACGGTTTGGAGACCACCGAGGGGTGGAGTGAGTCGAGGGTTGATGAATGCTATGATTAAGGCAGTTGTGAAGAGAGGTGGGCTTGCGGAGGAAGTTTTGGAGGGGCTTGCTGGTGTTGAGACGTGACGCGGCGGGCGGGCTTTCGAGGAAAAGAAAAAACATTGGAGAGCGGGTCACGCTGTTGACTGGATTGAGCATTATGGAATGCACCGCTTCTGGTGATGATGCTGGATATTGGGGACAATTCTCTATATCATCACTCAGAAGAATGCCGAGAAAAAAAGACGTGCAGTTTTCTGGTACGAACATGAGACTGCAATTCTGTACTATGCAGTTGTACACTACACCGAAACACCGCTTCCAAAGGTGCGCCTCGCTAGAAGATGCCCAATCATTGAACTTCATAAAACATTGCCAAACCACGACTCTTGCCGCGAATGTAGCCATGAGACTTAGTCAACCTGTCCAGTACAGCCTAATCACCTGACAAGTCGACCACGTCTCCAATCTTCTTCGGTCGTTCGCTGACCATGGAGACCGAGGCTGGCCTCTTCTTCGAAGCTTTCCCATCATTCTCGCCGCCATTTCGAGCAGGCGTCGTTGCCCGTGACGTACTTCCGCCCAGCTTCGGCTTCTCCTGAGGTTGCTCATCCTTTGCCACGATGTTCCAAACGTGCTCTGATCCCTCAGCTTGTGAGACATTAGGCGGAATTTTCGACACCCACTCGTGCTTCAAATTCCAGCCCGCGCGTCGACACAGCTCGGCAACGACATCGTCACATTTGCCCAGCAGCTGGATATCAAACGAAATGTGCTTGATGGGGTCCAATGAGATGTAGATATGAGGAATCGAGTGATTTAGGTAATCGGCCATGTCTGAAACTGGTGCAACTTTGAGCGAAGTTCCAATTACGATGACTAAATCAGTCTGCTTCGCATCTTCCTTTGTAAAGCGGTCGAAGAAAGTATCCGGGAGCTGCTCGCCAAAGAAGGTGATATCAGGTTTCATGACACCAGGCTCCGGAATGCTGTCGTCTTCGTCCTCGTCGTCACTATCGAAATTCGTGGGCTTCCGTGGCTTGAGCTGCGGTTCGGGTCTCGTCTTCAGGTCATCAATGCATTTTTTGCACCGTGCGATTCGCTGAGCGCGAACGTCCGAGAAGATCGCCTTTCCATCGACTTTAGTCTTGCACTTGCGGCATGTGGCTGTCGCAAAGCTTCCATGGCATTGTCTAAGCTCGAGTCAGTTTGATAACAAAGGACAATACAAAGCCTTTGCTTACATTATTTTGTCTCGAGAGAGCCCAGCCAAGCCCTCGAGATCGTCGATGTTTTGAGTATAATTCCTCAACAGATGCCCTTTGTCCTGTAACAGTCTGAGGAAGGCATGAGTCGGTGTGACGCCTTTCTTTTGGTCTGGCAGAATGTCTCCTGCTAGTTTGTAAAACAGGCTGGGGTCGTTGTCGAACTCCACAATATCGAACACGTCCTGAGGCTCACTATAACCCAATGCAGCAACTTTGTCGTAGAAGCCTGTGCCTTTACTTCGAAAGTCTGGAATGCCCAGCGATGTCGATATGCCGGCGCCAGTGATGACCAGGATGTTCTTCCTCTCTTTGATTAGTCTGGCTGCATCGTCAAGGGTGTTGTACTCCCGGAGCTTCTGTCGCTTGTGGAAAAAGCGAACGACTGCATGGCCAAGTAGTCGGAGGAACAGGTCATCTTCGATGTCCAGAGTAGGATCGATCCCGAATGCAATGCCCAGCACTCGAGGCGGATATTGTCTCACATCGATGGTTTCCTTGAAGAACTCTTCGGGGCCCTTTTCGCGCAAAAAGGCCAGGAGGGCAGCGATCTCGCGCTCATCTATATCCGTGCTCCCATCTGCGAACAGTAATCAGTTTAGAACTCGAGTTAAGGTGATGATTCTGCTACCATTGATGTATGGCTGAATCTCAGCACTTTCGAGTATGTCGCCGAGAATGCTCTCAACATCGCCGCCTTCCGATTCATTATCGACTTCACTATCACCCGCAGTTGATGAAGAAACGGGTTGTTGCAATTCGACTTGCGCCTCAGCATCACCGTTGCCGTGAGCGGCGTGCTTGTCGACCTGCAGCGTGCCGGGCAGCGGCTGAGCGTGCTTCTTGGAGCCGTCCAGAGGGGTCACTTTGGAATGCAACATGGTTGGTAGTGCCATGCCATCAAGAAAGGTGTGTTGTGAGAAGGGGGCATATGTAAAGTGTCGGCAAGTGGTGAACACGTGAAGTTGAATTCTCAATGTTCACTCAATGCCGATTGGCTGTGGGCGCACCATGGCGCAGGATCACACGTTCGAGGTTGGCGCAGAAAGTGAAGGGCACGTGGAGTGTCGAGGGTGCGGTGGATGTAGATGTCGTCGGGCAACGGTGGTGGCAGTGTGGTTCAGCGGCTAAACCACCGTCGAGGCTCAGGCGTTGCGTTGTGCACAGTGCACTGGGGGCCAAGCCTCGCAGTGCACGCAAATCCGATGCTGAAACGGGAGCAACACCTCCTTCGAACTCGGGCTGCCGTACGGGCGTGTGCGAGGACGCGCAGCCGGCCGTCACATCATGTGTCTCGTCGTACCTCTTGGCCGTAGCGACAGCGACGAGGGAGACTAATCCGCCGGAGACGAATGAGGACGAGAGTGTTTCTCGGCTGGGCAGGAAGGAAGCGCTTCAATGTCGTCACATGCGCGCGTACGAAGATGTGAGCGTCGACGCCCGACCTGCCGAGCGGGCGAGAGAGCAGCACCACCGCCATACTCTTGTACCACTCCTCTCTGATCCTGGCATTGTCGAGTCCACGGACGCCGCCGGATCTGTGATTACATATCCCACACCTACCACCGAAGCCCAAATATACACACTTGTGTGTGGCCTCGAGCCCGTCGCAGCTTCCGTCCCCGCCGAAGCACGAGGTGCACACGCTACAGCGCTGGCCATTGCCCTGCCCACCGTGGTACCCATCGTCCTCGCCGAACCACTCTTTGCTGCAGGGTCTGCTTGGATTTATTCTACCACTTTCTGCCCGCCTCCGATCCCACTTCCCATCTCGACTGTCCCACTTCTGCGCGCGACCATATTGTAGACCAGCAGCGATAACGGCGCATCCCTCCCACGGCCATGGCTATCATCAAGAATCCCTTCCGCAAGCAGGACGAGAACGTGCGACCCTCGCCGACGCCACTCCCCGGCGAGAAACCGGCGAGCAGTGCGAGTAGCAAGCAGTTTAGTGCCGACGCAAAGGATCCCGTCGAATACAAGTTGAGTGGTAGGTCAACCATTGAATGGCATACACTTCGCATGCGCTGATGCATAGCGCAGAGATCAATGACTCTGGCGTCTTCGTCCCTCCGTCGCCCACTGAGAAGAAGAGCTTCTGGGGCTCCACGGCTTCGCGATCAACCACATCATCGTCGCTACACAAATGCGCCTTCGACGAGGGTGAGCAGTTCAACATCTCCCGGGAGTCCTTCGACTCTTATCGTAGATCTTTCGTACGTGCACAGACAATCGACCAGGGTTGATCGCTGCTGACACTCGATCAGGATATTTCCGCAAGGTCCCCCGTCCCACAACCCGAGAGCAGGCCCCGCGCATCGCTCGACAGCAGGACATTCTTACCACCGCCACGCATGTCAAACTCTTTCCACCGACCATTGCAAGTCCCGCAAACTCAAGAGGAGGATAAATTTGAGGACGTGAACATCGATGACCCGAAACCGCAACCTGCCAAGAAGCGCGGTATCTTCGCGCGCATGGTGGATGGCGTGGGAGACCACTCCAACCGACCCAACAGCAGCTCAGAAAACAAGACTGGCGCTTGGCACAGCCTCACATCTAGGAAGAGAGGAGACAGTGGGCGAGGAGCTGAGCTTGGTGCGATGCCACGAGCGGTTGAGCCACGAGCGGTTGAGGCGCCTAGACGTGAACAGACGCCGAAACCAGAGAAGCAACTGCCGGTGCAGCCGCCAGAGCAGCAGAGCGAGGCACAAGCGTCCGGGAACACTGCGACTCCCGAGATCAAGGTGAACTCGTGAATGGTCGGCTATATGCAAAGCGAAGATGTGTTTTGAGCATTGTATGGTTTTTTGGAGTTCGGGTTGGATCAGACACGAGGAGATCCCAAGGGCTCGCTGACAGCAGCCCGGTCATGATAATGATGATAACAGCATATGGACAAGCAGGCGAGAGAAACAGATATAGCTTCAGGCTCGCAACATAGTTAATAATTGTATGAATCGGTGCACAAAGAAGACCGTCCGTTCCCGCCGTTGACGCAGTGAGCCGCGAAGCTGGCGCGCTTTGTCGCGTTGGACCCCACTCGAGCTCGCCTCGTCGCGACATCTCACGATACGCACCAAACACAAAACCTGCGTGCGCAGACAGACTTAGCTCGTGCAGCGCTTGGACACTAGCATTGACAGCGAAGAAGAGATACCGCAATATGGTATGCTCACTGGTCAATACAGTCCGACTTCTCACTGACAGCACGTCTCGCAGAACTCGAAAACACTGCGCCGGCTCGCAGCAGATCACGCGCAGCTCCACAACGATCTGCCCACCAACTATCTCTTCCCGCCGAATCCACAGCACGACAACGACCTCTCGCAGCTCGACGTCCTATTAGCGGGACCGACACATACTCCCTTTGCCGCAGGCGTATGGAAGCTGCACCTTGCGATACCCGACAATTATCCCCAACAACCACCTACCGCCAACTTCAGGACCAAGATCTTCCACCCGAATGTCAATGAGAAGGGTCAAATATGTGTGGAGACATTGAAGCGCGACTGGGACAGCAAGCTCACCCTACGGGATGTGTTGGTCACAATATCATGTCTGCTCATTCAACCGAATCCGGACAGTGCACTCAATGCTGAGGCAGGTGCCCTCATTCAACAGGACTATGACGCCTTCGCGCAAAGGGTGGAGCTCATGACTAGTATTCATGCCTCTATCCCACCATCATTGACAGATCTCGTCAAGGAGGCGCAGAATCGAGGGCAAGAACCGGCCCCTGCAAGTGAGCCAGAGGAAGATGTGGAGGATTCTATGATGCGGCCCGAACAACCTGTACGACGCCGAAGGACTATTGCAAAGGTACGAGGCCTGAGGAGAACCGAGACATCACCAGGAGATGCGCCTGCTAGGAGAGCACGAAGACCGCCTGCCGCGAATCCTCCCAGCCGGCCATTCGTGGTTCAGAGTACGAATGACGACGTATTTGGAGCACCTGCACCACAGAGGCGAGAAGAACCAGCGACTGTGTACGAGAATGAGGACGATCGTGATTCGGAAATGCTCGAAGCAGATCAGGAGAACGATGCAGCTCGCTCACCTGCAAAGACACCTTCCGTAGGCGTAAGAACGCCACGCCGCCCCCACGGTATGCCTGTACCACTAGGAGAACTCATTCTGCCGGAACAAGACGAGGGCGGCACGTCCGTGGATGATACAGATATGGACATGGAGCCCGAATACCCGCCCAGTCCTCGCAAGAGTCCTTCCAAAAACCCGACGAAACAGTTCAGACCTGCTCTAGATCGAGCCGAGAGCAGCCGGGACGCTGCGTCAAGAGGAGCCCCTATGATCACTCCTCCGAATCTCAACGATAAGCCGCTAACGTTAGCCGGCTCAGTCTCCCCTCGTAGAGCGGATCGGGGTCGCAGAGTCGCGTTTAAGCTATCGAAACGGCATACCCCTGATCAACAGCCTGATGATTCGAGCTTCTTGGAGAGTAGCTTCATGAAGGCTACGATTACTCCTGCCGTTCAGAAAAATGCTGGAGTGCTGAAGAACAGGAGTCCGAACTCGTCAAGTATTCGGAGAGAAGAAGCACAGCGACGAGCAGAATTGAATGAGAAGTTGTGGGAAGCTTGTGGACGTGACATCAAGCGTTGGAATCGAGGAGATTTCGATGGGGACATGTTAACAAGAAAAGCACCAAGGTGGTGAACTTGGCTTTTGGCTGGCACTTTTGGCACATTTTCACAGTTGAGGCATAACATTGGAAAAGCATTGTAGAAGGATCACAGAACTCATTTGGCCTATCATAGCAGAGTTGGGCAATTACTCTAATTGAAGCGGTCAACAATAATGATAAAAACCCCAGGCTTGAAGAACTCTCTACATGCTCAAAGTCTCGCGGCCCTCATCTTCGCTTTCCTCGCTTCCTCAAATACATCATACCGATTCAACCATGCTTGAAATTCCGGCGACGCAAAACCCGCCATCATTTCCGGCTCTGCAATTTGATGTAGATCTCTCCACCAGGACTGCGCAGTCTTATTCCATAGTTCATTTCTGACGCGGATTTGCTCCGTATCGGTGAAAGTCCAATTTTCGATTTGATGTTGTGCAAAATCGCGGATACGGTTGATTCGTGGGATTCGGAGGCTTTCGTAGAGTGTGATGCGGTGGCGGAGGTTTTGGTCTGGTGTTGCGGTTGAGAGGAGGGAGGCGAGGGTTGCGGCGTCTTCGAGGCAGAGGGTTGAGGAGAGGTTTCTGTGGGGTGAGGTGTTAGTTTTGGATGGACGGAGTAGGGGGGTGGAAGGGGAGGGTTGCTTACCCGAGAGGGGTTATGGAGTGACTTGCGTCGCCTAGTAGTACGACTCTGGCTTTTGAACTTGACCAGCTGGTCAATTTTGCTGATGAGGTGGCTTGCCATTTGTAGGCGTGTTTGATCGTTGAGAGAATCTTGGAGATGGCAGAATCTGCGTCTTGGAAGCGAGTTTTGAGATTTGATAGATCTGTGACCCAGCCATCGGATGATTGTTTAGAGTCTTGTTCGACTGGAGACTGCTGGATCATGATCTGCACAGCTAGCAGGTCTCTCTTTGGCAGCGGAAAGACAAGAACACTCTTTCCGGGTCCTGGCGTGAGGACATCATGACCAGCCTGATAGTTCTCTTTCAAATGCTTCAGTTCCGGATCCTCGAGTACCGAGCTAGGCACGACCGTCGACCACATCGTTTGTCCCAAATCCTTCGACTTGTGCGTAGGAAACAACGTCTTCGGAACCGTTGATCCGGCTCCATCAGCTCCAATTAGAAAGTCCGCTTCCATCGTCTCTCCATTAGACAACGAAACTGAAGGTCTCCCATAGTCCACTTCATCACCAGTGCCAATATGCAGTACTTCCACGCCCTCATAGAACCTCACTCCACGATCCTTCGCTCTGACCCGCAGTAATTGCAAGAACTCCTTCCTCATAGCAAACCAATGCTGATCCTCTTTCCTCGCCTGTAGATCAATGGAGGCAATCTTCTCGCCCAGGTTGTCATACCTTCTCACATCATGCGCCACAATCCCATGCGATATATTGCGGACTTCTTCAAGCAGCCTCCATTCTTGCAGGATTCGAATCGCATTAGGCGAGAGCACGATTCCTGTAACGTCATTTTCAGGTTGCGAAGGTTTCTGTCTTTCGAAGACGATGACTTTGTGGCCCTCACGGGCGAGGGCAATGGCAGCTGCTAGACCGGAGAGACCTGCGCCAACGATTACAATGCGAAGTGGTTCTCGTTCGTCGTCATCGAGAGATTGAGGTCGGGCGGGGTGGAATGTGAGGTCCGGGAAGTTCTGAAGAGCCATGTTTGGGCTTGGCGTCGATCGAGTATACGCGAGCTTGAGATTGGCACAGGCAAAGGCGGGTCAGGACTGACTTCGTCGAAACGCAACAGATGCCAATGCACGTCGGCTGAAGAAGCATTGTAGCAGTCGTGGACGTCTGAAGGTCGTTTGGCGTGATCCTTGTCTGATTGCTGGGATCTGGAGGCTAAGACCACGATGGTCTGATTTCGAATGCACATCCGACCAATCTCAGCGCTGTCACATGCCCAGGCCGGAGTAGTGCGTTCGGTCTATGCGTTGAATTGTGATCGTACTTCATCAAATACATAATCCATTCACATGACTTTACCATCCGCCACCGGCAGCGGCGGCGAGAGCATTGACACGCTCGACATCTCCCCCCGGTTTATCCTTGCCGACATCGCTTTCCACAACTCTGTAGGTCGTTGTCATAAGTGTGTCGAGGTCTATGCCAGTTATCGTTGACCAGTGTTTCATAATATCGTGAATGTGGGCGTGGTATATGCCATCCACCATATCTGGATTGTCTTCCACGCCGGACATGACAGAGTCTCGAGCAGGCGAATGCTCCACGTCACTTTCAGTCCGAACCTCACTATCATCCGCAGGACTGTCATTCGACTCAGCGCTCCAGTATGCTTCATCGACTTTGGCTAGCCACTCCCGTTGTTGTGGCAGCATCTCTTGTGAACCGCCATTCTCGATGCCTGTGCCACCCACTTGGCGCAGGATCGCAACATCCCCCACCTTGATCTGGCCACCACCATTCGTGCAACCACCAGGGCACGCCATGACTTCGACATAAGCGTAATCATCGGAATCACCACCAGCTTTCGCGGCTCCAGGACGACGGCTCACTCCAACTTTACGACCTGTCGTGGCACCAGGCAGGCGACTTGTCTTCGCCGGTTTCAGCTTTCGAACCAGGTTCTGAATATTGCGGAAACCGTAGTAACGAGCAGCTTTGAAGATCGCAGTTCCGTCAGGATCGACAATACTGTACTCGGAGACATCCTGGTTACGCCCTCGCTTTACAGTGATTTGTGAACCGGCATGACGAGCTTGCTTCGTCTTCAGTATGTGCCAAAGATAGCCTCCTGATGTGCCGATAGCAGCAGTGTCCTGACGCTTGCGCTTTTGCCCCCTCTGGCTTCCGAAAAGGAACTCGTTCAGCCTAGGCTCTGGGAACGATGGCAAACCTGCGACGGGATGTTTGGGAAGACCGGGAAAGCTGATGTCCCTGCTTTCAGCGAGCATAAGTAGCTCCCGTGCCGTGATAACGCAATCAACATCACGAACAGCATCGCCACTCTGACCATGCCATGTGTGAGAAGTGAGCTCACTACGCGAAGCTTCGAGTTTCTTGTCGAAACATGGCATGATCGCCAAGTGCCAGACGTTGCTCGGATCGATTCCGTATTTCTTTGCCAGCACTGATTTGACAAGCACGCCAGTCAGTGCCTGAGGCGATTTGAGCCTGCTGAGATGTGGTAAAATATGGGAATGGGTCTTCTCAGCATAGCAGATCCAACCTGGACAAGCAGATGTAATGACAGGTTTCTTCTGGCCTTCCTGCAGCTGATCAACCTCGTCCGCTGCGGCAACAAGGGTTGCCTCCCGCATGGCATTCGTATCGATCACCCAAGAAAAGCCAGATTTGTTCTTGCCTCCACTTCTCACTCCCAATGGTCCGCTGAGCAATTGGCTAATCATGTAGCCCGCATCTCTTTCTGATATGTCGTATGTTGCAGCGAGGCTTGCCCGTGCCTGAGGGCTGATGCTTGCGATGAAGATCTTGCCTTGTCCATCTGTACTCGCAGCTCCGTTGCCTGCAGTGGGAATCGTGGCTTCCGGATATTTGTCCAACGTATCGAGCACCTCTGCATGACTCTGCAACGACACCAGAATTGCCTCTGCACTAGTGACGCACCCCGAGCATGCCAGACAATCGGTTAGAGAGATCTGAGCGGGCGGTGGTAGGGAGCCCGAATCGACTTTCTCTTCGGTGGTTACTTCGTAAGGATTGTCGAACTCGGTTGGTTGCTGTTTGGGAAGAGTCTCGACGGGCTTGATGCACGCGACACCCGGGTTAATGAAGTCATTCAAGTCGTCGGCGGAGAGAATGGCCGACATGTTGCTCGCTGGCCTCGGCTGGGACACATGTGTAAGTAAAGTAGGAAAAGAGAAAGTAGAAGATTTGTATGAGAAGAGGCGATTAGGAAGTGCCACTGCTAGTGAAGTCACCATGGGTATCCAATCGCAATTCGTATTAATAAAGCGGGCGAAGGGTCCCGACATTCGGAGATGCACATCACATGCTAACGCCAAGCCTCTCGCGGACTAGGACTAAGACCGGAACCTAGAACCTCTTCCGCTCTTCACAAAGCACTCGGACGACCAGCACATCGACTTCACTCGAACAATCCACCATGTCGCGCGAACAGTACACTCCTCCCGCCCTCAGTGGCAGCCAGAACACGAGCAACCCCGGCGCCAACACCTCGCAAGGCGGCTTCAACATCACCGGCGGCAGCACCTTCGAGGACACCTCCAAGCCCGTCAACTACTTGTGCGGAGACTGCGACACCAAAGTGGTGTTGAAGAAAGGCGACCCGATTCGATGCAAAGAGTGCGGATATCGAGTCTTGTACAAGGAGCGCACGAACAGGTACGTCAGCAGCAAGAGAGATTTGCGCAAAAGTCGGATGAAGGGCGGACAATGCGACGCGCGGGAAAGAGCGCAGACATTCCACATGTTCATGCTGACCTATGCTACAGAATGATTCAGTTTGAGGCGAGATGAGCGGTGGTGGACCAGTGAACCCATTTATAATTTCAGAGCGCATAAGACATTGCAGAGACCGCGATATGCAATGCCCTTAGCAATTGCGTCTGCGCAACGCAGCTTACACTAGCAAAAGACTACGCGAGGCCACCGAAATGAGCAGACCGTATTGGTACGACGACGCAGGATCGGCTAGTGCCATTTGAATATGGCCAAATGGCCAAAGTGGAAATAGAGGACGACGTGCAAAGAATGGTTGGCGTGCTCCGATTTGCACAAAAAATCGTACGGCTGCGTGCTAGTGTTTGCTTCACGGAAGTGCGATATCATCGAGCTATCAAACGCAAGAAAAATCTCCTTTGCGAGTGCCGGAGATGAACTAGAATTTTGTAGCCTCCAACCACTGCCAACAGCGGCATTCGCACTTCTGTTATCTGCAAGTAATAGCTTGATACGCACCATCGTTAACGGATTGCGGGCAAGCATGCGACCCGCGCATTGGTGCGCGCCATCTCTACTCTCTGTATCCATGATGTAGCTTCGCACATGCAAAGTATCTCTCGTCCGTCTCTCATACTCATTACAATGCTGCCGTAATAGAGCTTGCAGTACCATCCTCGCAAATCTAGTCGCCGACTCAGCTGCCCTTGAATGCATCAAAACGCTTGTATGTGTACCCGATGAATGGCAACGACAGAGTTGAGTCGTCGCCACCCATGGCCTCTGTCTGGGCGCGAAGCTGAGCAGAATTGTCGACCTGGGGAATCTCGTCGATAGGAAAGTACTGGGTATCGATGTTGCTCTGCAACTTTGGCTCAAATGGAGCTCGAATCTTGCGAAGGCCATCCCAGTTCACTCCGTGGAAGAATGGATGGGCCTTGAGCTCCTGTGCGCCATGGACACGTCCCAGTCGGTTTTGCGAATCGCAAATCAGGCTGCGAATGAAGTGCTCCGCTTCTGGGCCAAGCTGTTGATCCGGTGGGAATTGCAAATGGCGTGGCCAGTCTACGATCTTCCGATATGTGTCATGCGGCTCCTCTGCGCAGAACGGCGGCCACCCGACCAAGCACTCAAACATGATGGTTCCGACACTCCACCAATCACATCCAAAGTCGTAACCCTTTCCACTGAAAATTTCTGGTGCAATATAGTCTGGAGTGCCGACAGTGGAGTAGGCGAGCTGCCGTCGCGACTTTCGCCAAGTGTTGATCTGGTTGCGGTTCGAGACGGTCAACTGGATCTGATCAATAGAGACACTATTGCGGTTTTGTGCCAAAGACTTCGACTTGGTCTGTGACATGAGTTGCTGGTAATACGACGCCGAGTGCTCTTTCGAGAAGCCAGTGGACAGACCGAAATCGGTGAGCTTGATGTGTCCACCACGGTCCAGCAGGATGTTGTCTGGCTTGATGTCGCGATGAATGAAGCCCAGTTTGTGCACAGCCTCGATAGCCAGCGTAATTTCGGCCATGTAGAAACGGGTAATGTCTTCTGAGAAAATTTCGTACTTGATGAGCATTGTCATCAAGTCACCACCTGGTAAGAACTCCATCAACATGTACAGGAATGTTTTGTCCTGGAAAGAAGTGTGAAGTTTGACAAGCCACGGACTGTCTGCATTGGCCAGGATATCACGCTCGGCTCGGACGTGGGCAAGCTGATCTTTCTTGTGCTAGAAACATGTTAGCAGTGTTGTACAATTGATCTCGAGTCGAACTCTCCCTACCATTTCCTGCTTGATGAGCGATTTGAGTGCATAAATCTTGCCATCATGCTTTCTTTGCACGAGTCTCACTTCACCGAAAGCACCCTTACCAATGATTTTAAGTGTGTTGTAGTTCTGAGGCTTCTCGCTTGTTCGCAAGAACCTCAAGAAGTTGGCCTCGGACTTCCGCAAGGAGTTCTTCTCCCTCTCCTTGCGGCTGTCAGACAGCTCTGAATTGTTCAAAACCATCTCCAGGTCTTTCGATCTGCAACCATTGTCAGAATCACAAGTGTAGCATTGTGTGTGTATGCCCATACCTCTCATTGCGGGCACGTGCTCTTTCCACATTCTCCTTGAAGAACTCTTGGGTGAGTAGCTTCTGCACCTTGACACGCTCGGTAATGGCGGACGAATACTTGTCGGGATTCTTCGTGGCGGGCTCGTCATCGAAGATGCTCGCTTGCTGCGGCATTGCAGGCATGGGAGCGTTCAGGTAGCTGCTCTGGTACCCTCGAGGGTCACCAGCAGTTCGTGGCCGGGAGGGATTCGCAGGAGACGGTTGTCTGCCGTAGGGACTGGCAGAGCGAGGCGTGTTACCTCCTCCGAGGTGTTGATGCTGGAACTGGTGAACCAAACCATTTGTAGCGTCATTGAAGCCTCCTGGGGAGCGGTACCCTGCACCGGGTGAAACGCCGCTGGAACCAAATTGCTGGTAGGCAGCATTGGGGTTGTTGTAGAAATAGCCCTGACTGTTGATGCCGCTGGTCGATTGTTGCGTACCCCAGACTTCCTGCTGGCCGGCCGAGTTGGGAAAGGGTTGGGGGAACGTCGAGGGGGTAGTCGGGAAGGCACGGCCTTGTTCGGCGGCGAAGTTTGGAGCGTTGTTGAAGCCGAAGTTGAGCTGCAGGCGATTTGGGTTTCGACTGTCACCCTGCTGCTGTTGCTGCTGCTGCGGCTGTGGCTGCTGCTGGTTGTACGCCATGGTGAAGGCTCGACAGCGATTGCTGGACAAGTCAGTAAGGATGTTGATCGAGGAGCGGATGGTGTTTCATACTTCGAGTTGGACGCCGAAGCAGATCAGAGCCGATCGGCACAGCAAATGTGTGGTCGAGCGGTAGGGAGTAGGAGTAGGTTTTGGCAGAGCCGTCTCAAGGGGTCAATGGTCGAAGCGGTGGAGGCGTTTCAATAAATGCCTGCTCGCGAATGAACGACGCGATCAGTGGCGGTGGAGGCGAAGCGCAGCCAGCATTGCAGAGGGAGCGCACGAGGAGGCGAGAGGGCGTCAATCGGCGGGAGTTGGGTATAAGTGCTGGAGGCAGCGCGACGTAGTGAGCAGCAGCGACTACCTGAGACTACCTTTTGAAATGGCGTCTGGAGCGACGACCCTGAAGTGGGGCCCGGCTCTGCATGGGGATAGGCGCGGGCCACTTCGACACACTTGTGCACGCTCGCTCCTCCCTTGCGGCCCTGCCACTGCATCTCGTGCGGCCCCTCGTGCATTCACCGTGCTGCTCCTCGTGCATTCACCGTGCTGCTGAAGATATGGCGTTGTCCACGGCGCGTCGAGTCCAGCAAGGTCCGTGGAGGAGAGAGGGTTTCGTCACACCCACGAGGCATCACACGCACGAGCACAAGCAGCATCACGCTCATCTGGGTCAACATCGGCATGGAAACTTGCGGTCTGGACACCCAGACCATGTGCTGACGGCGGTTTCTGCTGCTCTTCACACCTGCTTGAGCTGTCCACTTTGAAGTCTTCTTCATCGACGATCGATGGTAATCGAGTAGCAACACCACTATGCATACTTCTTTTGCTTTGCTCATTCTCCCAACTTTGTGGCCCCCAATTCCACAGCTGTTCGGAACCCCTCTGATTCTTCACATGCAGGTCCTCAAAAGCCACCATTCACACCTTTGAACCTTCATTCACGTTGTTGTTCATTCTGGACTCAAATCCGCCTCCTTGTGTCGACCACGCTGACGACAAATGAAGTTGTGATTGTACAATATCTATACACTGGCATCTGCTAGTGCCTGCTGAGTTGGACGAACATGTCATATCACTTTTCGAATCCCATAAAACGCTGATGCAGTCGCTCTTGCATGCAAAACATAATCTTCCCAAAGATAGCGCATCAGTGCCGCTCTTTTGTGCTTTCAAAGCTCTCCAGCACACTCTGCTGGATTGAATCCTTGTCCTGCGATCGGTGTTCCGACTGTTGCCCGGCGGACGTGGCGCTGTCCTCTCCAGTGACCAGCTTTTGCGCTTGAGCCTTTGCTTGAGCCTGGCCAACACTGCCGTACACTGACATCGCCGTGGCGATCATCTGGCCAATGTCTCCCACGTTTCCTGGAACTACAACCGAAGTTCCCTCTTTGGCAAGCTTGCCAAATGCATCCACATATTTCTCCGCCACCGACAGCGATACGGCGCCCTGCGCTGCCTGCTTGCCCTCAGATAGACTCTTTGCTACTGCATCGATACCTCTGGCTGTGGCCCTAGCTTTCAGCTCAATGGCTTCAGCCTCACCGAACGCAGCGTTGATCTGCTCTGCCTTGATAGCTTCGGATGCCAGGATGACACTCTGCTTCCGACCCTCTGCGATGTTGATGGCAGACTGTCTCTGACCTTCAGAATCCAGAATCTCGGCACGTTTGCTCCGCTCCGCTGTGACCTGCCTGTGCATCGCTTCGACTACAGGTCCTGGTGCGTGGATATCCCGAATTTCGTATCGAAGGCAGCGCACGCCCCAGTCTGCCGCAGCTTCATTGATCGCTTGTGTAATGTTTGTGTTGAGCGCTGCTCGCTCTTTCAAGACATGATCCAAAGTGAGCTGACCAATTTCACTTCGCATCGTTGTTTGCGCGAGCTGCGAGATGGCGTAGTCCGCATCCTCCACACCATAGCTGGCCTTGTATGGGTCCATCACTCGCGTGTACAGTACACCATCGATTCCGAGAGTAACGTTGTCTGCGGTGATGGCACTTTGAGATGGGATCTCCATAGCATTCTCCTTCAGACTCTTCACATATGCTATGCGATCGATCACTGGCATGAGAACCGCAAGTCCAGGTTGAAGGATACGATTGAAGCGACCCATACGTTCCACGATCCATGCTGTTTGCTGTGGAACGAACTTGATTATGGTGTTGGCGGGCAGGCTCGATCGCTGAAAGTATGTGCTTGGGCTCCCACCGCCGGTCGCCGCGCCGAACATGCTCTCTGCCCCGCGAGGCAACGCATTTTGTGGTGTCGTGGAGAAAGTGGCGCGTTGCGCGGCATAGACAATCGGGTATCTCGAATTCTGGATGACTGCCATCGAGCGGCGCGAGAGGGTTGGTCGAGCAGCCCGGAGAGCTGCCATGGCGGGCGTGATGGCCGCAGCCGGTGAGCTCATGGTGATTGAGCTTTGATTGTCGTCGCAATACTGCTGATGATGGGAATCATGCAGCGCTGTCGTTCTAAAGATGACGGACGAGGTGTGCCAGAGGTGTTGCGCTGATCAAGCTTCGTCGGGCTTTGCGCTGCGTTTCCTCCGCTCACTCGCTCCTTCTTCGCGTCATCTGCTTTCACGCGACATCTCACTCTCTATCAATACTTCCTCTCATTCCTGACCGCGCACGTACATTAGTGTCAGCGGGCCGGTTCCAAGGATTTCCAAATCGACATGCTCATCTCAGCCATAAGCGAACATATTGACCGCTGCCACTTAAGCGTTATTGATCAAGATTCACCATGGGACTTTCCAGAGGTTTCATCTACGATCACCTCGTGACTCCCGTCTGGCATACGCAAAACAACGCACGAATTGCTTAACAAAATCCTGGCGCATACACAACACATGTATTTTACTGGCTTCAGCCAGCCATTGGAGCGTGACGGCCAACGACGCCATTTACTAGAAAGTGTAGAAGGGTCGACTCGGTAGACATTTGCCCGATTCTTACAGATCATCCTTTTCCTTCCACAAGTGCTTGAGCAGGATTGGTGCAGGTACAGCTGTACGGTTCTGCCCTACCAGCACTAACCCCAGATTCAACATGCGCGAAAGAGGGGAAGTACCTCATCGGTGTCATGACAGACAGTGCTGTCCTGGGGAAATCAATGGCTTGGAATTTAGCGAGCTGGTGCCGGAGTATTACTGCCCATATTTTCTCGGCCCAGCTCGTTCAGCATAGCGATCAGCATCGGCCTCCAGGTTGTGGAAATGCTTCGCGAGGGGCTTCGGTATATCAAGCCACGAAAGGGTGACCGGAAAACTCATGACGAGCTTCAAGCTAATGTCCAATGTGGCAGGTAAGAGATATAGCTGCTCGCAAACATGCCAAGGCAGTCACGAGTCTGCAACCACTCCTTAGCTGTGGTTGGCATCCGGAAAATGTACCCCCGAGAACTGCCAAGAGGTTTCACGTATGCGCCTACGAGCAGCCAGCATTGCCCAAATGGGCAAACTTCCGGCAGGGCAGTCACCTCGCAGCATGTCGCTATCCTCGAAACACATCAATTGCAATCTAAAGCAGACACCCCGAGCTTTGATATGCAGGCCAAGCAGCTACTTCACTCGAACCGTGCTACGTCCAACCTCAGATAAAATCTTCCTCGAATGATGCGAGATCCTGCGGAAGCGATGTCTGACCCTTCGAACGCCGTGCGTGGTCTGGAGAAGTATATAGCTATGCGAGTGAGCCTGACTTCTGACCTGTGTTGGACACAGCACGATTCTGTGATTGTAAAATATCCTGAGCATTCACAATGGGAGCCTTCATCCCTTTCCTCTCTATTTTGCTGTCCCTGCTGTCCATTGTCCGTGCACAATGCGGTTCAGGCACACCTAACGCCAGGGTGACAGGCTCCAGCGGCGCATATGTCGCTGCTAGGGTAAGTACATGGTCGATGTCTTCGTGTCTTCTGTTAACAGAACTGTCATAGGGATCGACCACTGTGTATTCAGGAGCGGATTATCGTGCCGCAGTCCAGGCTGCAGTAGATGCCATCTCCAGCGGACAACGAGTTTCTGTCATCGCCTCTGGCTCGATCGGAGCCAACACCATCACCATCACAAGTGGAAAGACGTTTGAGGTCTGTGGAACAATGAACGTCGCCAACAGGAGCGGGCGTGGTGCTATCGAAGTGACAGACGCTTCTGGAGTGCAGGTGGGTAACAAGTCGCAACGAGTTCTTCGGATGTGTCTGATGGCGTACAGATACCCTACTTGACGATGACAGGAAGTCCCTACTTCGGACTTCGATTCTCTGGAACGTCTGGGCTGGTTCTGGGCAAGATCACTCTAAACCTGAGCGGTGGTATGTTGTGGTCTTGATTTGGCCTCCATCGCCTGCAACTGACGTGACTCTAGGCCTGGGTATCAGGTTCGACCGTGATCGAGCGGCCAACACCAATGTCAAAAGTGAGTGAAGCTCTATTCCAACGTCACGCTTTCCACGACCGGACCTGTATCCACATGCTGTCCAGGCACAACTGTGTGCAGCTCCTTTGCTCGAAGACTCGTAGGCTGACATCCCTTCTCACCGCTAGTGGACACAATCTCCGTCACAGGCGCCGGATCCCATGCTGTAGAGACGTGGAACATAGACGGCTTAACGATCAACAGCGTGATCGCAAAGAACGTTGGCGAATGCGGTCTCTTGCTGCAGAACACGCGCAATGCGAACGTGAGTAATCATGTTGCCTTGTCGTTGAGGTCCCGTCAAGCTTACTCATCTTTGTCAGGTTGGTCTCGTTGATGGTAACAATGTGGCTACTGGCACTGGATATGCCACACTACGATTCGCCAACCAGAACGGACGCCGTGCTGACGGCAGCTACGGCACCAACGTCTATATCGACAAAGTCGTTTCACGTGGCGGTGGTAGAGGTGTCTTCTGCGTCTCCGAGTCTGGTGGTGCTCAAATCAACAACGTTGATCTCGCTAGCAACGGCAACAATGCAGGTAAGCAAGACGAGTAAATGGATCGATCATGGCTAATACTGATGCGTGATCCTAGTCTTGATCGAAAATTGCTACAATGTCAATATTCGCGCTGGTACGGTCAATGGAGGCGGAGAGGTCAGGCTGGCTGCACGGACAGAGTTTGCAAACAATCGTGATATCTCACTGACCTTGAAGGTGGACAACAATTCTGTTCGCGAATCCCCTTGCGGTGAGAACACAAACTTCAAAATTACTGGCAACGCCCAGGTCAATGTGTGCTGAGAGAAATGAAGTATACACGCAAGTCATTGTAAGAAGCATGCCATAGCGAAATTATTCCATATGCCCTCTTGAAAGATTTGAAAAGAGTGAAACGGACTCGGATGTGTGGTGCATGCTGTGGCATTGGCTGTGGCCCTAGTGTGGATATCGTGGCCGCGCTAGTTAGCGAGCGCGCTCTTACCCTAAATCTTTCGAAGTTGCCTGTCGCCACGACCACGAACTTCACCAAGTCCCGTATTTGCCAATCATGTCGCGTACGAAGAATCGACATAGAAAGCGCTCCCGCGGCGAATTTGAACGCGATGACCGTATGGGAGTCGGGCAGACACTCGCGCTTCTCAAGAACGATGAAGCTGCGCTTAACGGACCGGACTCGAGATCCCTCTCTGAGGATGTCTTTGATGCGACAGATACTCGTTCCAATGAAGAGGACGAGGAGCACCAGAACAAGAGACGCAAAAAGGCGCCCAAAAAGGAAAAGGATAAGTATCCTGCTTTCGCGCACTCATCGAACATGCGTCTGAACACTTCTGTGAAGCTCAGTGACATTCAGAACCTTGTCTTATATCTACTTGCGGACGGCATGGCGCCGCAGTGGCTCGCGATTAAGCATCACAGCGCAGTCAAGAAAGTGGTCGCTCTCATGGTCCCAGGTCTCGAGACAGGCATGTTCGATGGCAGGATTTCCCTGGAGCCGCAGCAGGATGCGCCAGAGGAGATAGCCAAGGACGAGCCCGAAACCCGCCGGGAAGGCGATGAAAAAGGCGACGATGATGGCTGGACTGAGGTGCGGTATGGCAAAGGCAGGAGCACGCCAGATGACTATTACCCTGTGAAGCTACAGGGACCTCGACTACCGGATTCTCTAAAGCCTCTCGAGGATATGTTCGAGCATGTATGGCCCGTCACAACGCCCGGCGATGATAGATATGCGAAGATGCATTCGCCTTTGGCAGCGATGCTGACCACGCCACTCGTCAAGACGAAAGAAGACAAGAAAGCAAAAGGCCCACAACCGCCAGCGGCGAGCAAGAACTGGCAGAATCAGCGCATTCCCATTACCGAGCTTCTAGCTTCCACAAGCGAGCTTGCAGAAGAAGGTTACGCTATGCATCCAGCTCACTTTGCCGGAAGCTCAGAGGCTGCTGGAGAAGCCGCGAAACGTGTGACTGCCAAGACTGGCCTGGACGATGGCTGGGTCGACACCTTGAACATACCAGATCTCGTTGCTGGGAAGGCGAGCGAAGATTCCATTCAACAAGGCTCGGTGACCGCAGGCAGGAAGGTACTCGCCATGGACTGCGAAATGTGCATCACCTCGCCGAAAGGTGTGACTCCGCAAGTCTTTAGTTTGACGCGGGTGTCACTGCTCGATTGGGATGGGCAAGTGGTTCTTGACGAGCTTGTCAAGCCAGCACAGCTCATAACCGATTATTTGACGGCCTATTCCGGTATCACACCAGCCATGATGGAAAATGTGACTACCACATTGAGCGAAGTTCAACAAAGGTTGCTGTCCATTTTGACACCCCAGACGATCCTCATCGGCCACTCGCTGAACAGCGACCTGAATGCTCTGCAGATCACACACCCCTACATCATCGACACGACCCTCATCTTCCCACACCCACGTGGGCCACCCCTGAAATCATCACTGAAGTGGTTGGCACAGAAATACCTTTCCCGCGAGATCCAAAAAGGGCACGGTTCAACCGGGCACAGCAGTATAGAGGATGCACGTGCCTGTCTGGACCTTGTCAAGCAGAAGTGTGAGCGCGGCAAGGCCTGGGGCACATCTGAAGCAAGCTCTGAGAGCCTCTTCAAGCGCCTTGGCCGTTCTTCACGCCCTGGCAAGCACAAGGCAAACCCTGCTGGGCCTGAAGAGCCTAGACGCTCTGCCGTGGTTGACTGGGGCGATCCGAGTCGCGGGTACGGTGGACAAGCTGATGTCAGCATTGGCTGTTCGAGTGACTCCGAGGTTGTCGCTGGCATCACGCGGGCTGTCAACGGTGATCCAGAAGATAACACACAGCCAGCCGGAGGCTGCGATTTCGTATGGGGCAGATTGCGCGAACTCGAAGCCGCTCGTGGCTGGTGGGATAAGTCGAAGTTGATCGACGCCGATGCTCTGCGTGCTTCTACCGTGGCCAATGGCGAAGGCTCGTTGGCTGCTACCGTCCAACAGTCGGTCCAGAACATTCGCCAAGTATGGGACAACCTACCCCCATGTACCGCCCTGATCGTGTACAGCGGATCCGCGGATCCCCGGGAGATGCGGGAAATGCAAGCTCTGCAGCAGAAATTCAAAGAAGAATACAAAGTCAAAAAGTGGGATGAGCTGAGCGTGAAATGGACAGATGTGGAAGAACAACGTCTCCGAAAAGCCAGCAAGGATGCGCGCAAGGGTCTCGCTTTGCTCGCAGTCAAGTAACTCTTCTGTTACCGCAGGATCCTGGCTCACAAAGCAATAAAATGGAGGCGCAAGGATTCATAGCAGTACCTATGTCTGGTAGAGCGCTCTGGAACGGGTGAGACGGATAATATATACATTTCGTTCTTGGTCCGCTACGAATGCAGTAAGATTATGCAGCAATTGCTTCTTCGGTGACTGGTGGAGGGGGCGGAGCATGTTCTGCTGCGAGGGCTGCAAATGGTTTAGCATCCTGTCGCACGCGTTCCTCGACCTGGGGAGCGTCAGAGTCTCGCATAACGACGTCTACCGGTCTGTTCTCTTCCTTTTGATCCATCACGCTCCGGCTGTCGCTTTCACTCTTGAGAGGCTGGGGCGCGGACATTTCGTGCATTGGTGTTGATCGTTCGCGTGTGCTTCTGTCTTCTGAGAGAATTCTGTGCATAAGCTCGCGATGTCTCTCTTGCGGTGTTTCGGTGCCATGATCTTCGGACCCTTCTTCGCCTGCAATAGCACTCGTTGGCGTGCCTGACCTGGTGCGGCCATTGGGCTCTTCTGCGTGCGAATCAGTACATGTCCCTAACGAGAGCATCGTAGATACCTTACCATCGTTCTCTGCTCGCTCGGCCTCCTTCTTCGCATGCACTTTACGCAAATTATTGGCACTGCTCACGCTTCGCATGTCCGGCCTTCCGTCCTTTCTGATCAATATCCCTTCTGCGTTTCTAACGGGCTTCGTTCTCGTTTTCTTGCTCGAACCTCCAGAAGATTGATCTGGGAGTGCAACGTGCGAATCGTGGGGTGAGCCATGATTGACTGGTGTTGCAGGATAATCGCTTGGCCTTTCGCCTACAAAGCTGCCACTCGGCGTGCTCCTGTACACAGACTTGGGGGAATGTGATTGAGCAGAGCCAAAGTGACCGTTGGGTGACATTCGGCCAGTAGCAATCTCTGCTCGTTCCCATTCGGGTGTGTCATGCTCTTGTGTCTCATGGCCACTGCCGTGAGCTGCAGCCCCACCACGACCTCTGCCTCGCCCACGGCCCCTCCCTCTTCCCCTTCCACTCCCGCGACCACTTGTAGGGTGTCCATGAGCTGTAGGTCCACCCACCTCAGTCCTCCACTGCTCTTGAGGTTCAGGTTGCTGTGTGGAAGTAATAAATCGAAAATTGTGATGCGCTGCGGGCTGTGATTGAGACCCGTCCGATGGCGCTCGACTTCGTGAGTGGAAAGGCACATCTGCAGGGCTTTGGTTGACTGATTGGAACGACTGCTGAGTTGGCCCGTACGCATCCTCTCCATGGATATTGTGTGGCATAGAATTGGGCATGAGCGGCGCCAGTCTTGGACGCTTTGTCCCATTCAAAGCCTCAAATTCTGAAGACCTGGTTTCTGGTGATCGTTTCACAGCAGTGCTAGCGTTCACGGCGGACCAGGCTCCTTGTTGGGTTCCACTATTGGGATGGATATCTGGCTCCATGGTATTTGGACGTGCTTCGGGCAGGTTATGTGTAGGAGATAAGCCAGGTCTGTGCTGCTCAGCAGGTCGCCAACCAGATAGAGCAGAAGGTGGTGGTAGGGCTTCTGTCGGCCTGAATAGTGGGCCTGGTGGTGGCTGACCCGGCTGTGATTCCCCTGTGAAAAGTCTCGACGCTGAAGGAGGACGCGGGCCATGTGGATGTTGAGCATCTATCGCGGACTGAGCGGGGAGGCTGGAAGGGTGGCCACCAGCTGGAGAAGCGATTGAGTTTGTCCGCATTGGCGGCAGTTGGGTATGCTGTGGAGGCTGCAGTGGAAGTTGTTGCTGTTGTTGCTGATGGTGCTGTGGGTGATGCTGTTGCGGATGTGGGTGCTTAATATGCGTGGATGAGGCTGGATCTTGAGGTCCTGCTTCTCTGAAGGCTGCAGAAGGAGTTCGCTGCTGGCCTTGAGCGATTGCTGCATTGCCGTCTTCTAACCTCTTCATCCGATTCTTGACTAGATCCAGTTGCATGTTCAAGCCATCGATCTCATTCACACGATTCGTGAGTCGCTGCAGCTGCTTGGCGACTACTTCCAAATCGCCAGAATCATGCCGCTGGTGCTGCTCCGCGGCCACAGGTCGAACACGCAAATCTCGCTGCACATCGCTCACGGCATGCATTACCTCATTCATCTGCTGATGGAGTCTCCCCACGGCAGCCTCGATTTCAGTGAATTGGCGTCGATGTGATTCCAACATTCCGGTGTTGTAGGATACCTGTGCCTGTAGTCTTGAGATGGCGCTGGTCCAGATGTCGTTATGAAGTCGTTCTTGGGTAGCATTCTGCGCAGACGATCTGCGTGCATGGTCAACCGACCGGTGGGGTATTGCTGGTGCTGCATCGCGCTGTGCAGCCATCTCTTGGCCCATTGAGATGGCACGAGGCTCTGCAGGCTTCTCCATTCCGACTGCTCGCTGTGCCGCACGCAATGAGATAAGCTCGTCTTCTACAGCATAGCCAAAAGTGGAGAAAGCTCGAAGGGAAAGAGCTCTCCAGCAGCGGCCTGCGATCCTTCGGTCAGTCGCAGTGCAAACACCGTGCAAACACGCTGGCCTCGGATAGCAGCAGCAGTAGCAGCGGATTGGCGATAGACGCACAGTAGTGGGTGGCAGCAGTAGCTGTCAAAGTAGTAAGAAGAACAGTATGCAGAGAGGAAACGGCAGCGCCCAAGGTTTTGTGTACCGTACCTTGTAGATAGAGCGACTAGTTAGCGGCAAGCCAAGGGACGAGAGAGCAGAGCCAATCCGTACCGTGGGCAGGCTTTGACTTAATAGGCGCAGAGGGTTATGTTTTGGGACAGGCAGGTAGAGCTAATAGATTGGCACGCGGTGGAGCAGCATTAGGAGACAATCTACCTCGCACACGGCACACCCGAATAGTCTTCGCGAATAACGCTTGGGGTAGATTAGAGCCGAAGCAGAATAGTGAGGATCCTGCTGAATGCAGAAGCATGATCTGTGCGTGCGATGGTGCGATAGGAGGCAGATGCGCAGAGCTTCTAGACTTCTGACGTACCAAACACATCCCCGGCGACCAGGTGGCCT